AATATTTTTATCCCGTTTAAAGTAATAATTTATTATTTATTCGAACATAATAAACATTAAATAATTTTATTAAATTTTTATAAATTATTTATTATAAAAATTATAATTATAAAATATATTATTTAAATAAATATAAACCGAACGTATAAATTATATAAGTTTAAAAGTTATTATTTAATATTAATAAATAAGTTTTATTTTATTTAATTTATAAATAAAATATAAAATTATTTTTATTATAATTATTAACATTTAATAATTACTTTATTTTTATATTAACACATTATTTTATAATAAATATTTATTTTTTTTTTATTTTTTTTTCTTCATTTTATTAATTTTATTTTATATTTATATAAGGATTATAAAAAATATATTATTTTTAATATAAAAGATTTCATATAACTTTAAAATATTAATTTTAATCGTTTTAATTATATATTTTTTTTTAATATTTAAAGCGTTTAATATATATTCATTATAATAACTATATTAACATATATAAAAAAAAAAAAAAAAATTTTAAACCTTCGTATTTTAAAAAAAAACAATAAACTTATTATCGTAAAAATCACGGTAATTAACTTATATAAATTTTATATCGTACTTATTAAAAATAAATATTTCTTTATATATTAAAATATAAAATAAATATAAATATATTATACGTATTTAATAATTATTTTATAAATTAAATTAATATTTTAATATTTTAAAATTATTATAAAAACATAATATAATTATAATATAAAATAAATTTTTAATAACATATAAATGTAAATAAAAAATTAATAATTTATTAATATTATATAAGCTTTTAAAAACATAATAATTTAATTATAAAATACGTATTAAATATTATATTTATAATAAATAAAATATTAATATTTAATTATTTTAAATTTATATATTAATATTCTTTATATTAATAAATTATTATTTTTTAAAAATTTTATTTTCGTTAACATTAATAATTTTTATAAAAATAAAACACATTTTCTTATAAAACTCTTTTAAAATTAAATAAATTTATTTAATTTTTAATAATATATTATATAATTTATTAACATTTTATATATAATAAATTTATATAATATAAATAATATACGGTATAAATATAAATATAAAAAATATTAAACTTTAAAAAATTTTTATATAAATTTTATATTAAAATAATTATTATATTTTTAATTAAATTTAAAAAATTTCCGGAATAAATAAATAACATTAATTATAATTACATTAATAATTAATAATTAATAATTAATATTTAATAATTAATAATTAATAATTAATAAAAATAATTAATAATTAATAACTACGTAAATTATAATTAATTATTTATAATTATTAATTATAAAATAAAAATTAATAATTAAATTAAATTAAATAATAATTTCTTTAATTATTAATATTTATTTAACTTTATTAATAATTATAAACTTATAATAATTATAAGCTTTTTAATAATTATTTAATTTTAATAATTATTTAAACCCGTTAATAATTATTTAAATTTTTTAATAATTATTTAAACTTATTAATAATTGTTTTAATTTTTTAATAATTATTCACATTTATTAATAATTATTTACTCAATAACCATAATTAAATAAAAGCATTATAGTGATAATAGGCTTTAGTTTTCGTAGAAGGTAAATCATTATCCGATAGCAGGGGTTCCCGGTATGGTAGGTAATTACCAAGTCGAAGCCCCTTCAACTACCGAAGGGCTAACACCCGAGGGGAAAACGGGGATTCGCGACTCCAGCACCTAACAGTACCTAGGCAGGTTGCAGCCGCAAGGTCGCAATTTATCTACTACTACCTACCTAACTACCTACACACTGTAGGTGCCTACTTGGCTTGCTGTGCTCGGCCGTTAATGCGTTGCCCCCCTTGCGGTTGGCGTACTATGTAGATTAGGTCTAGAACAACGGGCGATGGGTACGCGCAGAGGTTGCTGAATTGGAACGGGAAATTCTGCACGTAGGCTGATTGTCTTGGAATAGGGGAACAGGCAAATAGCTTATGGTGATGTCGGTGGTCTGGAGGGTCCGTGGGACGGGATTGTGGTGGCATATGGAAATGTGCGGCTTGATACGTTGATAGGGGTCTCGAAGGTGTTAAGGTACGATATACTAGGTACTATGTTCACGTTTGCTTGTTTGGGTGGATGGGTTTGCACTTTTTTAGATGTGTACTACCTTTCATCGATATTACATCAGGATTTCACACTGCGTTGCTAAGCCCCAACCGTTGGTCATTAGGTGTACACGTACGTACGTTGTTAGTTGCGTGCCAGTAAGAAGTAGATATCCATTGTAGGACTACAACATGTCTCTGGAGAATTATCTTGATATACCTAATAGGTGGTATTAGTAGAGGTTAGAACCTAGATGTGGGAGGACCCTTTAAGAAGCAAACATACATGTACCTACGATTGCGTATCTCGAGAATAACCTAACGCGGCTGCAATGCCCCTCTGGGCATTTCCCATCTGAGTAAACCATCGTGACACAGCAGTTACTGCACAGTCAGCAAGCCTCTAGGTCGTATGTAAGCGTTGGAGTGCAACGCACCACAGCAGTGGAAACTTCGACGACGAAACCCACGCGGGACGAATCCGGGCCGGAGGAATCTGATACAAACCTTAGCTAACCTTCCCCCATACGTGCGATCAAAGACTGGAGACTGGAGACTGGAGAAGCCCCAAAGCCAAGAGATTGCCGGATCCTCCTTCTTCCTCCCATAATAGGAAACTTGCAACTAAGGTTATACCGACCTGGGGCGCATTTAAATGAAAAATTAGCGAGTGTGACGTGCGAGTGATAAAGCTACCGAGAAGGCTCCTTGATTGGATCATCCGGGGCGCCTGCACGATGACGATCTTTTACATTGTGCCCCTGGCGCAAGTGGCGTGACGAGTGGCCGTGAGCCGCTTGTGGTATTGCTCTGTACGCTAGCCAGTTTGGGGGGAACGGTGTGCGTATCAGATTCTTGCTCCCCATCTGTATATTGTAGTGTCTCGATTTGTTCTTAGCAGCGATAGTCGGTGACGAAACATTTGTTGCTGAAGAACCGGTTATCCTGGGATGGATGGCATCTCAAACTTGGACTTCTTCCTTTTTTCTTCTCATAGCCACCTTGGTTACCTCATGGAAACAGATGGCATACAGTTATTGATTCGCAATCCAACAATGGGGGGCAGGGAGCAAGAAACAACCAAGTCAGCCAAATTCGAGTTCCGCAAATGATTGTCGGTGATTTTCAGAGTCGGGCACTTTTCTGTGTCAGATGCATTTCGATAGAGCCATGCTTGACGATCCTTCGGATTCGAATCGTGTTAATAAGAGAATATTACATAAACTAGGAATCGAGGAGAGTGATATTCATGAATATTGCTCCCTCCATACTTGCGAAACTTGTCTATGCGTAACTCTCCACGTGTGCGTTATACTACTACATTCGCATTGCTGTATGTCTCTTTCAGAAACGTCGGATCACGGATTAGACGTGGAGTACTAATCATTTCGGCAGGGCTCTTCGAAGCCCTAGCTGCCGAATCCCCTTGTCTTATTAATAAGTGACGGTGACAGTCTAGACAATCTGACAATCCAATAGGGAGTTGCCTATCGCGTCTTCTGTGAAGTCTCCATTGGCCTTATCTCCAGTCAATTTTAATAACAAGGGAACGTGGGGAAAGGGCAGCATAGAAACTCCCCCTTATCAAATTTAGGCATAGCGAAGTTTGAGGGACTTAACTATTAGCACACGAAGAGTGCATTCTTCCTTTCGATGAGAGAGCCCTGCTCAGATTGTTGAAGAAAATAGGGATTGAAGAATCTTGAATTTTGGAAATTAAAAATTGAAAGTCAAAATGTACGTAAGAATGTTGTAAACTCAATTCATCTGACCTGGTTGGCTCTTTCACATGTTGGATTTGGACTGTTAGACCCCTAAAGTCTCACTCCTTCCATTCTCAAGCCTCTCGGTCACCTTGCAGCAGCCACCCGCGCAAGTTGTGCAACTAAGCTAAATTCGCACCTGAATCGGTGGTATTGCGACGCTAAACCCCCTCCGTAGTAGTTGCACAAGCGATTTTTACATTCAATCCTATCAAACTTGTCTTGTTTTTCGCTTGGTAATACATGAGAATATAGACAAATCATCTAGTAAGAATGCTTAGAATAGACCTGAGGTTTTATATGTCGATTTTACGATGTATACAGACATTCAAGCGACACACTAGTCTAGCGCATAGAAGCTGTCATTGTATGAACCCGACCTTCGATAAACTCTCTCGTTTCGAATGGGTCCGAAACGGTCTCGTACGAGGGACTTATCTTCCTAGCCCTGTCACCGAAAACCCCACTAATATTATGTAGTTTGTCTAATAAATCGTGCTACAGTATACATCGGATATGGCTGGTGCAATCAATTCTGCGCTGATATCGATGTACATGATACATCATATCCCGGTCAAGTATGCAAGTGCCCTCTAGTTACTCCACGTATCGTTTATCGTGCTCTTTCCCGTTCGCAACATTAGACTAGGACCAATCTTTTAACCTTCAACTTCTTACCCAAAAAGGGGAGCGAAGGGGGTCCCAATTTCGAATCTCCTTCTATTTGCTTTGGTGTTGATCACCGCAGCCAAGACATCGCGACATTATTTCCCCAGTCCTCTTTTTTTTTTTGCTCTTGACTTTTTTCGACCCGTTCTACCCATTCTCTTCTGTTGAGTTCTGTCTTCTTTTCTAACGTGGGGATTCTTACCTACATGTACTGTACCACATTTTCCCGTCGTCTTGACCACATCTCATACTTCATACCCCGGCACATGCTGTCGTAATCGTTTTTTATCCGACCGGTTATCCGTTACAACGTTAACCCCCTACATTCATTTTTCCCATTGAAAATCTAGAAGAAACTTTCGGACGACATTACGTCTTGTACAGACGATTTCTTGTTTGAGTAGAAACAGATACGGTCGCGAATTCGACCTGTTGCGCATCGCTGATCAAATTCCTGGTCGAGGAATCCAATATAGAATATTGAGTTGAGGGAGTGCTTGTCAGAATCGGAATTTCCACCTTGACCTTAACTAGACCCTCGATATTTGGCTTGGCAAGAAAGTTACTGCCACCTCGCGATGTTCCTGGCTATTAATGACCTTCCTTAAATTTTGCGATATCCGGCTTATAGCTTCGTCCGCCCCTAAGCCGCGTATATTCCACCCAATCGGTTCGGCATGATGCTAGCGGTGCAACCGCGTCGGCTACTATCGCGACCGAGAGGTCTGTTGATTTTTGCGGTCTTGGCCGCAACTCTCTACTGGTCCTTGCTACATGGGTCTGCTACTCTCCATGCCACTAGATGGTATGATGGGCGAGCTGGTTCGGTACAGGCTCCCCTAAAGGAAAACATCGAAGCCCAGCAAGCCCCTCTACCAGCGAACCAACAGAGTAATGGCGAACAGAGCCAACAAGCTGAACCCGAAATACACGAAAAGACAGAAGAAGAGAAAAAGAAGGAAGCAGAGGAGCAAAGAGAGGAGAACCTCCGAGAGCAATTCGATAGAGAATACGAGGCACTTGCTAAGTAAGTTCAGCCGCTATTATCACACGGCATTCTCTAACAACTATGTAGGGAGCCTGGCGCCGACGCGATATTTGGACAGACACTCACTACTCTTGAGCCTTCGAAGAAACGGTCACTACAAATCGAAGAACACTTGACGCCCGCCATATCTAAAACTTATTTCAGCGACCATCAACCATATATCTACAACCCATATCCCAAATACAATGAGAAGGCCTGGCTTGCCGAGAGGGCCAAGTATGTGACCTGCGAAGGCCCAGGCGGCGCATCGGGAGGGGACGTAATGGTTTTCAAAGGACAGCCCAAGGCGTTTCCCGAGCCCGGATTTGGCAGCTACGAAATCCTCGGCATGGATGGGAACTTGTGCTATGAGCGCGAGACAAGATTGGGTGTATATGGCTTTCAGGCGGACAACGACACGTCGGAATCGTCGGTTGACTGGGACAAGGTCCACTGGGGAGACCTGCAGGAGAAATGCGCTCAAAAGAACAAGGCCCGATTCAATCTGCAAGGACATTCCAATCCTTATATCACAACAGTCTACTCGCGCGACAATTCGAGCTCGAATAGCGAGAGTGACCTTAGCCTATCGGAAACTCCCCTGTATAATCTTGGGAAGGGTAGTCCACCATTGCGCCGAAGGAGAGGCCTTCCCGTACAACCCAAGTCTGGTAAATCTAAACCTCTGGCTGGTTCTGAAGCGAGGACTGCTCTCTTATTACGGACTTATACTGGCAAGGAATACAGTGAGAACGATAAACAAGTGATTCGATCTTTAATCACAGAGCTTTCGCTACGTACCGGCGGTTTATATCAAGTGTTCTTGTTTGTGCACGTCAAGGACACTGCGTATGCAATTTGGGATGATGAGGAGACGTATCAATATGTTCTTCAGAGGAATGTGCCGCCGGAGTTCAGGGATATCGCGGTCCTCTGGAATGACGAAGCCACGCAGACGATGTATCCGAAGATCGACCCTAATAAGGCGACCGTACATGTCTCGCAGTGGTTATCAGTCCAGAAGTTCGCTCAGGAGTTTCCAGAGTATGATTATATCTGGAATTGGGAGATTGATGCAAGAGTTACTGGCCATAATTATGACTTCGTCGAGAAATTGGCCACCTTCGCCAAGCGGCAGCCCCGTCGGGGGTTGTGGGAACGTAACGAGCGTTACTACATCCCGTCTATTCATGGGGATTATGACACACAGTTTCGAAAGGAGGTGGAACGCGTATCAGGGAAAGATACAGTCTGGGGCCCTCCGGAATTGCCCTTTGTTACCCCAATAGGACCGAAACCTCCAGTTGCAAATCCTGAAGATGACAACTACAAATGGGGTGTTGGCGAAGAAGCAGACCTTATCACCGTTGCCCCTATTTTCAACCCTATCAATAGTTCGTGGATTAGTGGTAACGAGCTGTGGGGATTTAATGACTCTACACATGCGACCACAGACCTACCAAGAAGAGCCACCATTGTCACGCATTCTAGAGTGTCAAAGAAGCTCCTTGATATCATGCACGTCGAGAACCTTCGGGGAAATCATATCTCGTCAGAAATGGTGACGCAAACTACCGCGTTACTTCATGGTCTCAAGGCAGTTTACGTCCCAATGCCGGTCTTCTTTGACCGACCTTGGAAAGGCAAGGACCTCGCCAGATGGTTCAATGGCGGTCTAAAGGGAGAAAGTGGAGGCATCGGTTGCGCCATGGGCTGGGGACGAGAGGCGAGATACCGTGGAAGCACTTGGTATTATCGGGCAAATCCACCACAGCGACTCTACCTCAACTTTATGGGTTGGGAAGACACTAATGTGGGTGGCGAAGATTGGGAGAGCACTTACGGACGACCCTGCCTGCCGCCCATGTTGCTCCACCCTATAAAGGACATCGAACCAACCGAACCTGGATACAAGAGCGAGTCAAATCTCCCCTACTCTTAAGCAGACGGGCATACAGCAGTATTTTAAAATGAGGACCGCCTTCCCCTGCTAGCTGTGTCAGAGTTCAATACTCTCCGTCTATCGAGGAACAGATTTGGCGTTCAGAACCCTAGCATTTCTTGGAACTCAATATTTCCTATACGTGCGGCGAACCATTATTAGACTCAGTCTAACGACCAAGTCGCCTTGGGATACTCTGGTATTCTCTAGCCGGATTCAGGTCACCGCAATCAATCAGCACTTCGCGTGATTAGAAGCCGAGTTGGTTGGCTTGATCCCGGCTTTTCAAGGGCAGGCAAAGGTCGTTTTCTTTGGATCAGATTTCTAGAAACTCGACATTTAGAGAAATCAGTGCAAGACACGACTCGAACAAAACAAGAGAAGTAAAAAGCAGGAACAACATGATGCGGTTATAGCGAGGGAATTGAACTCATCGCATTGCTCGGCGTTTCGCATACCTGGCGTCAGATCTGACATATACGCCGAGCTTCGTCTCGGCCATGAAGAGATTCATTGCATGTACGGATTTCGGATCAGTTAGGAATTAACTCCTCCAGCTGCGTGGTCCTAGATGGAACAAGGCACGCTGCGAGTTTTCAGAGTAGATATGTTATATTATGTACATACCTATATGTCAATGAACATACTAAGTTACGATGTCATTTTGTGTATAATCTTGGGTGATGATAGATATGGTTGTAGAGTTCGACAATGTGACAGAAATATCAGATCATTTGACATGCGACCTATCTCAAAGTTACGACTTTTCAACAGCTACCTAGGTACCTACTCAAGTGTTAGAACACGCGTTTATTAGTCTCAGGCTTAGCCTAGGTACCAAGTAAGTGTAAATCGTCTGGTGTAAACTTCTTGTATCTATTTTACAGGTAGGTAGTCTTATAGCTGCGAGCAAATGGTCCTGTACATCATGAATTCTATCCAGTCTTCAAGCGAGATAAACAAAGTCTACGAGTATATGCTAATCTAATGACCAAACTAGAACGAAACGCACTCGTCCATCTTATGAAATTGGGATTGCCCCTTTCTCGTCCGGACTATTGGTGTCCGAAGCGGTGGCTGAAGTATGCACATCTTCCTCATCTCCGGGTGCGCGTCCGATGATAGCCTCGAATTTCTATAGGACTCGAGTTAGCAGAGTCAACAGTAACACATACGTGAATATATGGGCGGCGGCGATAACTTACGGGTCCTTCAAAGACGTTGCCTCCAACGATCCAGTATGTGCCGACTAGGAGAAAGAATATGCCGATGACGACGACTACATAATCTATACATTGGCAATTAGCAAGGTAGATCATGAGGAGCTAGATAAAAGCCGGAGGGTAGAAGTAGGAGCTTACTCATATCATCCGGAGACACAGGGAGGCCGGTTGGGAAGCAGAAGAACTGTAGTACTTGTCAGCATTCTTTGTTTTCTCTCGTCTTATTTTGTCAAATATCATTTCCCCGACAGGCCAAGAAAAGCAGACACGTACCACAGAAGTAACGACAACGAAAATCGCGGCGACGACATTCATCGCCCACCCGGCGGGCCCGAGGTCGAAGTACGTGTGCTCGGTCCGGTAGTGGGCCAAGACGCCGCGGCCGCGGATGAGCAGCGTGATGACGGGGAACACGTACGACACGTTGAGGAAGATGGTGGTGCTGGCCGCGTACGCGCTGAAGGCGACCGAGGGCCCGAGGTACAGGAGCCCGAAGAGCACGTTGAAGACGAAGGTGAAGATGATCGTGCGCACGGGGACGTCTAAGCCTGGAGTGATGTGGGCGAAGCTAGAGAGTGTCAGGTTGACGGCTATGGTTTATAGAAAGGTGGGAGGGGTGGGAAGAGGAAGGGGAGAGAAACTTACTAGCCGTGATACAAGATCCCCTTGTCTCTGGCCATCGCATAAAGCAGCCTGCTCGAACTTGTCACGCAGCCGTTCGTCCCGTTGATGAAGCAGACGGCCAGCATGAGCGTCAGCACCGTCGCCGCGCCCCTGTTCTTCGTCCCCTGCAGTATCAGCTCCGCGATGGGCATGTTCGTCGGTGTGCTCAGCACAGTAGCCGGGTCAGTGATGCAGAACAGGATAACGAGGATGAAGGCGAGGCCAGTGACGCCGCCGACAACGACCGCGTATATGATAGCGCGCGGCGCATCCTCGGCCGGCCGCGGCATCTCCTCCGTCATATGCAGCGCGGCGTCGAAGCCGATCAAGCTCAAGGCGCTCTGCAGCAGCCCGAGGATCCAGGCCATGCCGTCGGACCAGCCGGTCTCGTTGTCGAACTCGGCGAACACGTAGTGCGCGTCGTTCTTCTCCGACGTCGCGAGCAGCACGATGCTGATGACGACGACGCCAAGCAGCGACCAGTACAGCGCCGCGTCGTTCCAGCGGCCCAGAATCCGGTTCCCCCAGATGTTGGCGCCGGTCGTGAAGGTCACGACCGCGAGGAAGATCAGGTACGTGCTCCACGCTTTGATCTCGTAGGTGCCGTTCGACGCGATGACGGCGGCGGCTTGGATGAATTGCGCTAGGGGGAATGTGTTAATGGCTTATTTCGGTGTTCTAGGTATGAGGGGGGCGGCCTTACCAGCGAAGAAGCCCTCAGTCGTCACGAGCGTAAGCCAGCCCGCGATATTTGTCCAACCGACCCAGAAGCTCTGTTGCGATTGTGGTCAGCCCAAAGTACTCCATACATCCCTATCTCTGTCCTAATCCCAATCCTTTCCTCCCCATTCTCTTAACCTCCTCACACACAGACACAGACACAGACACACAACACATCATAGATGCAAACATTCCCTCATAGCAAAAGAAGAAAGGAGAAAAGAAAGTTCACCCACCATAGTCCTCTTCCACCCGTCCGCGCAAAGCGCGTACACGAAGTGGTACTGGCCGCCGGCCGTGGGCCAGATGGCCGCCATCTCGCCGAGGCTCGCGGCCAGGGCCAGGTTACACAGGACGCAGAAGAGGAAGCCGTACAAGAAAGAAACAGAGCCGCCCGAGGGCAGCACGAGGCCTATCGATCCCGCCAGCGCGATCCATGTGCTATTTTTGGGGGGGTTTACCCGTCAGTGAGCGTCCGTTTGTGTTATCATCGTCATCATTGTGACGGTATAACGGGAGATTGTGAGGTGTAAGGTGAGTAAACTCACTTGAGGATGGCGAAGGTCAGGGCCACCATGGTCAGTCGCGATAGCCGGGGCTGCAGCTTGCCCTCGCCTGCTGCCGCCGCGGGCGGCTCGTGATGCGTCGCGACGGTCATCTCGTGTGTTCGACGTGTCGTTCCAGCTCAGCTCTGACGCAAGGTGCGACGTTGTGCGACGTCGTCCGGGGCTCAGAAGAGAGAGGACGAAAGCTTAGAGGAAAGGAAAGGAGAACGGAAGATCAAGCAGGGTTCAGATTGCGGAGGGCGAGCTGGAAAAAGCAAAGTCGCGCCCCTTAAGTAGGTAGCCCGCCGTGAACGGCAGCATTGGACGACCTTTGGATTATCGTATGGGATACACAGAGAGTCGGTTACATATACCTATATTAGTAATGGTACGTACGTGTATATATCAACTAGACTAGCTGGGTTAGCTAGATGAAGCTAGGTGAGCTAGGCAGTTGAAGAATGGCAGGTTATCTACCTTCAATGGCATGGACATCCATGAACGCGAGGCGGCGGCCAGCTCGATCGACGAAAATACCCAGGCAAGTTATATCAGGGCCTCAGCTCACGTAATTTATCTTTTTATCGCGGTCATTATAGAAACAAGATAAAAGATGACGTTCATCCCTTCGCGCACCACACTTACATACACTACCTAGATCTGGCAATGTAGGGGGGCGGTCCGTCGGCCAATCACGGGGAGGCGTCGTCTCAGACGCTACCTTATCATTGGGTGGGAGTGGGAGACGGGAACAATTATGCACGGGGTGGGCTCGCGCGCATTACTCTTCTACACACGGGAGGTGCTTTGCCTGCCGAATTGTGCTTGCTGATTGCAGATTAATAATAAATGATGACCGTTAAATTCACCGCCTACTTTTACACCCGGGCGCGACGTTTACGCTCTAAAGCCCGCTGCGAAGTTGCGGCTTTCGAGGCGACCCGTCAGTTTGTACGAAGGAAAAAAAATCAACATAAATTCGTGGCCTTCTCCCAATTTCTTGTCCCTCCTTTCTCTCTTTCATTTTTGTGAATTCAATGGTTTCTTCTACCGTCAACTCCTCGTGTTACTGCGCCCGTTTATTATGTAATTCGTTTTCGTGGAGTTTTGTCTAATAAAGGTCCCCATCCATCCCGTCTAGACCCCGGACCGCGGTGCAAGGCAAGGGTCCTAGGAGCCCTAGGTGAATAGGTGAACCCTGTTCAACTTGTCCTCGTTCGAATTAGATGGCATGTTCCACGCGTTAGGCGATAGGCGTCTAGGTGCTGTGCCTGCTGTGCCTTTTGTGCCTCGGTTTCACAGAATGATAGTCATGCTCGTTCTGGTTCGGGCCTCGACGTTACATATTCCGTATGTATGTCTGATATGCAATGCGCCTAGGGTTCCACATATCCCAGAACCCTGGGAAGGGAGTCTGTGAGAGTTTAAGGCCCGAGGGGCAAGTCCGGAAACTTCCTTCCGAGAAAGCGATAGCTCAGCTTGTCAGCACCCTTGTTGGTGACCGGGGATTGAATATCGTGCTATTCCCAGCTTCTAGTATATTGTTCGACAGATGCCGTTGAAGCGGACGCCGGTCAGTCGCCGTCACGCGGTCCCGTGATCGCGGACAGTTGCCAACGGAGAGACGGTAGGACGTGGGATGTAGGACTTCACTTGGGGACGTGCAAATCGCCCGTAAAACTAGGCGAATCTAGGCAAAGTTGAGGCATATTGGTCACAGCTGGGGAAGCTCCAGCTCCTCTGCCCAGTTTTGTTTCCACTTTAGCCTCGCGACTTTCCTGCATCTGGAAGCGAGATCCACGCGGGTTAGCTATATTTGAAGCGGCGCTAGTTGATCGTAGAAGAGCCTTTGGAAGGACTCTGCGATCGATCATACGAACGTGACGATCTTCGTACGGCCGTGCCTCAACGATAGAACATCTAGTCAAGTTTGTTTTTAAAGGTTTGGAGAGCAGGAGGGGACTTTCGTGAATATACGGGCAGGGATATTTTAAGTACTAGAGATGCAAGGGCTCTCTGGGAGCCTTACCACGGTGCGTAAAAAGAAAACAAGTATGTCGTGGCACTGGTGATTGTTTAAGCTTCTGCTTTTTCTCCCGCGGCTGCAGATGTGCGGTGCGAGCCTATGCAGTATCAACTCGTGGACCTGCCGCATAAAGTGAGAAGAAGCTGCAAGAGCTGCAAGGAAGCGTCGAGCCGTGTAGCATTATGGGCCACACCACGTACAGAATGCTTCCGACGTAACCAATGGTGATGTTCGGCTACTGCGTGACGCGGCCGCCAGGACCCAGACTAGCGTCTCGATGTAGCAGCAGCCGAGAGAGTAGCAAGCTCGGGATTCGCAGCATGGTACTGAAGTGGCTCTTGGGGTTTGCTTGCTGACTGCAGACGCCGTGGCTCCCCGCACCTGTATGTTACTGCAGTGAGACGCTTCTGCCGGCATGGTATAGTATAAAAGGGTGGCAAGCATATGATCGACTATAGCTAAGGGTGCTTCCCCTCTTCGTCCCCTGAGGAAACTCTCTTTCTTTCCAGAGTTCGCCATCCGCTTCACAATGACTGCCACCGTTCGCGTTGGGGCTGTTCAGGCCGAGCCGGTATGGCTAGACCTTGATGGAAGCGTCGACAAAACCATTTCTCTCATAGAGAGCGCGGCTGCAGATGGAGTTCAGGTACTTGGATTTCCTGAGGTCTGGATTCCTGGATATCCGTGGTGAGTTCGGCCGAAGACTCGATAGGGCCTTAAACAGCTAACGTCGACTTGCTTGCCTCAAACTAGGTCTATGTGGACTTCGAGCGTTATCGAAAACTCACACATCATCCACGACTACATGGCCAATTCGATGCGTAAAGACTCGGACCAGATGAGACGTATCCTCGCCGCGGTGAAGAAGGCGGGAATGTTCGTGGTCCTCGGATATAGCGAAAGAGATGGTGCCAGTCTCTACATGGCTCAATCCTTTATCTCTCCTGAGGGCGAAATAGTTCACCACCGCCGAAAGATAAAGCCCACGCACATCGAGCGGACAATATGGGGAGATGGGCAAGCCGAGTCGCTTAAATGTGTCGTGCCATCCAAGTTTGGCAATATTGGTGGTTTGAATTGTTGGGAGCATTTGCAACCTTTGCTCCGTTACTACGAATACTCGCAGGGAGTTCAAATACATGTTGCTAGGTCAGACTTCGATATTCCTTGTTTCTTTATATCATCATTGACAGGCCCCTGCTGACCGAAATTGTGTAGTTGGCCAGCAGAGTTTGAGATGCCAGACCCCGCCAAAATCAAGTGGCTATACCACGAAACGGGGGAAGCAAGCTACCGAGCCAGCCAGTTCATGGCTATTGAAGGGCAGTGCTTCGTCCTCGTCGCATCACAAATCTTAACCGAGAAAAACCTGGAAAAAAATAACCTTTCCGGCAACCCAGTCACGAAGACGGTGAGGTCTTCCTAACTCCCCACCATACCATATAATATGTGCTAACATAACTCCTCCCTTTTTAAGCCCGGTGGCGGATTTTCCATGATATTTGGGCCCGACGGTAAACCGCTCTGCGAACCCATCGGTGCTGGTGAAGAGCATATCCTGACAGCGGATGTTAATTTGCGAGATATCGACTACCCAAAGGCGTTCATTGATGTCGTTGGCCATTATGCCAGGCCGGATCTGCTCAGCTTATTGGTGAACCCCACCCAGGATTTACATGTGACGAAAATGGCAAAGTAGATGTGGCCATTTACGGCCATAATTATATCGCGTGAAAGATAGCGGGTGGATGAGTATGGTGGAAGATGGTAAGTAGTGGTGGTGGTGGTGGTGGTAGTGGCGGCGATCATGACGACGACATATGGGTATGATTTGATATGATAAGGATGGGGGCGGAGAGGGGGATCAGGGCGGCGGTGCGTTTATATCGTCTTAGATGCACCACGGCGCTGTAATATTTAGGTTGACGACGTTCCACCATTTGGTATTTGAGGTTCGGCCGCTATCGGCCTGGAGGTCTTGTTGTTTCCAAAGGGATTCGATAATATCCCGTAGGACATAAACGTTACCAATGTGTCTTTCGTTGTCCATTCGATCGAGTGTTTGAAGGATCATAATTCTTTGCTGGTCATTCTCCGTCTCGCACGCGATGACAAAGAGTGGCCATGGGCTTGTACAGACTTCGAGGCTACTCAGCGCTTGGAAGGCTTGCTCTAGATACATTGACCTGAGGTCTTGGTTATGGGTGCAGTCGCCTGTCCTTTGCAAGTATAGGAAGGCCGCGATTCGATAAAGCTCTGCCGTAGTAAGGATCCTAGTCCGCTCCTGCTGCGGTAGGCGATGCGCATCATGAGGATCCAGATGCTGCTGGAGGCTTGTTACTTTACTTTCAAATAGGTGCCATTCATCGGCTCTCTGAGTCCTTTCTTCGACATTAAAATCTGCAGACTCGCCCCTTAGCTCGATAGCACGTAATCCGTTGGCGTAGCTTATGATCTCCATAACTTCTACGGAACATCCAAGAGATCCTATAATCTGCTAGCTGTTAGCTAAAACCGTGCTTGTCTGGAAAGTCAGAAGAGTGGAATGAGCATCCGTACCAGAGATTTATCAAAACTCGCATCGTGTAGGAGCTGTAGAGATGCCGGACACCGGGTTCCATGAAGAAGCGGCTGACTAAAGTAACCTAGAATTTCATGATAGAGGAACCATGTATATAAGAATCCATACTTCAATCGTCCGCCGTGGATAGAGGCAAGCTTCTGAAGAATAGTTTGAGCACCGTGAAGATGCAGATTCCAGTTTCCCTCGTTCTCATCAAATACCTATCCAAGATTAGTACATCTACGCACGGAAAGAACATACGCATGCGCTTACATTATAGACGCACAGCATCATTGACGTGGCTAGTTGCGTCTCAGTAATCCCGACTGATTCGCTCGACAAGGACGAAGATAGCGACCGAAGCGCGTCGGCCTTGTAAGATAGAGCATGTTCGGGGCCCCAGAGATGAAAGGCTGATACGGCGAGCATGGCATTTCTAAGTCCATCTGAGGCGCTTCCGATGCTTGAGAGTGCCATAGGCAGTAGATCGTCGCGAAAGCCGTTGTTGACGTCAATTGTGGATATCATCTGAGAGAGCTTACGTCGGTCTAAAGCGCTAGGTATTAGCGAATCATCTAAGGCGCGCGAGCCTCACGAGTGTATGGATCGTGGAGGGTTAGTTCTCACAGTAATCGATGAGATGCGACTCCCTCTCGTGGAGATTCGAAAATAGAGGAATGATTCGTCCAGGCCTTGGCTGGGCCCGAACGAAGGACAAGCAAATGGGCGAGATGCCTTTTCTGGCTATAGCTAGATCTGAGTAAGTCACATTCAAAAACTGCTTCCCATAATAGGCCGAATCAATTTCGTGATGGTGGATCGTGTGGTCGGGAAGACGATTCAATCTGCGACGACCATCCGGCTGATCTGGCCACGCGAGACGGATCCCATATCCTAGACATTCTCTCCCGGTGCGAAGACAGTTGTTACAGGCTGGGTAGCCGCGGTCACATCCGATCTTACGCCCTTTCCGACACGTTTAGTAAGTGTTGCGATTGCTGATGTTATACTCGAAAAACTTACGTTTGCAGGTCCAACACCCCTGCGCCCTTCTAACAGTCTCCATCCTCCGGAGTCAAGAATCAGGAATCAAGTTTGTGTACAAGTCTTTTGTTAGTATGAGGCCACACCCACGGGGTCTGAGCCTTGCATCTTCGTACGCGGGTTTTGGCTTCTTTACAGTGGCGAGGCTGGAGAAAAGCAGTGCAGCGGCGCAGACGCGGAGGCAGAAGGGGTATATTATCCACAGCAGATCGATAACAAGGCAGATGAACAGATATTCTACTTGGGTCATACAATTCTCGAATCTGCCATCATACGACGCATTGTAACGATTTAGCTGTACGATTTAGCCAAGCTGGGAGACTCTGACGATAGGATGGTCCCCGGTTTGCCAGGTACATTGGATGTACGTTTGACTTTCGAAGATTGTCGCAGCGATACCGTACTATTCAAAAATATCAAGATCTCCGCAATTCCCTACCGACCAATTAGAGAGCCCTGGCTGTCAGGGTTGCTAGCAGTCAAATCCCGAGTGACCGGGCGAGACCCCGAGCGTCTGGCACCTGGAAATGCAGGAGAGATGGGCTCGACACACACATGCCAACGAAGAAACGTGGTAAAATCAGATGGAAAATTTTCGATTTCGTGAAATTCGAGTCGATGCCGGTGATAGAGATAGAAGTAATATCGACAACTAGTCGGCGAGGAGACCAGTATTCGGCAGTTCGGCGATTAAGGGGCGGGATAATTGTGATGCCGCTCCCAAGTGAGACAGTGATGCTGACGAAACTTCTGGGATACAAGAATCTTTGCTTTTACGTCATCCTCATGCGATTGTAATACCGTAAAGGATGAGATTCAAATCCCATATATTTTCCTATTCCCCGTGCTCTGTTTGAGATAATGACAATGTCTCATGTGCACCTCGAGAAACTCAACAGAGGTGAGATATCGGACAAGGTGAGCTGGCGTGCTGGTGCAGCCGAGGGGTGTGGTGGTAGTTCAGTATGTAACCACCACTTTAAGACCCTGATGACAACAATGACAGGCAGCAATGACAGGAATGACAGCGCACCCACAACACGCCTGGGTTCGCTTGGGGTCTTGGCTGGTGGCTGGTTGCTGGTAATGCTGGCAGGCTGGCTGCGCTCGATCATTATGACCGGTGAGATGGCGGGTAAGGTCGGAAATAGACGCTCTAGACCAGAGAAGGGAAAGGTCAGAATTGATCAGGCGATGGCGAGTTAATCGAGTTAATGATGCCAGGGGCTCTCCCGCGGGGGGGAAACGCTTCTGTAAACAAGTTGACTTCCTATTGGGTATTTTTGGCTTGTGGACAACCATTGCAGCTCCTTGCTCTAACTGGATCCAGAACTCGGCATGGCAAAGGCGTAAGCTCTGCGGAACGCACCGCCATGTATCATATGTAATTTGCCCATGTAACATGTGAGTTTAGGTCGAACAGGCCGGGTCTAGGTCCAGATATCGACCTGGCAGCTGGTCGATCTCTCTTCTTATTTGCCTCCTGTTGGAGAATCTGGGGACTTTACTAAGTGGCTTAATAGAGAAATGGAGACATGGAGAAATGAAAAATGTGGCTTGGGAAAAGGGGGCTAGTGGCTAGGTGTGCATTGTGGCTTCGGATCGACTCTATTCCGCTTACATAAACAGTTCCTTCCCCAGCCTACTAGGTACTAACCCCAGCAGCCGGCAAAGGCTTAATAAAATACATACTTAGTACCTTCCGCTCGGTCTCGCTTACCGAAATAGTGCCTGGATCTACTCAGCACATGAACGAATTGGGTAGCGGCCGAGGTTCAATTCACATGTGCAAGGTCCGAGAGAGACATCGTCATCGTTTCTCGCATAGTACATTATGTACGTGTAGCCTTTAGCTTACTCAATCCTACGATCCTCCAAATTTTTGACGTTTTTCCAACCAAATCCCACGTGCTCAACGACTCAACAACTAGACAACCCCTTACCGCCGTCTTCTCTTAATCGTGCCAACTCTTGGTTTGACAAATACCGCCAAAATGACCTTCAAGAATGGTATGTCCGTTGTCGCGCGCACATCCCTCGTTTCGCAAATTACTAACCAGTCTCCTCTTGATAGACAAGTTTCCTTCTTCGGAGGCATTCGATGTTATCAATGCCGCGTTATCTGCAAGCGAAGCCGATAAAAAGGATGCTATCAAGCAAGGAAATGCTATCTTTGCGTTTACTATAAAGAATAAGGCCGGCGAAACCGAGAGTTGGCATATCGATCTAAAGGAGAAAGGTGCCGTCGGTACCGGCGTTGGGACTAAACCAACAGGTAATGGACCGTCGCGACTCAGTTGTCGAATCTATTGGCGTCAAACTTGGCATACTAACTCGAGATAATAAACAGTCACTCTTTCGCTTTCCGACGAAGACTTTGCTAAGCTCGTGTCCGGCCAAGCTAATGCGCAACGATTGTTCATGTCGGGAAAACTCAAGATTAAGGGCGATGTGATGAAGGCGACCAAGCTACAACCTATCCTAGCAAAGGCGCAGACAAAGGCCAAGTTGTAAAAGATCGTCGATTGCCTTGCGACTCTCGTCCATTTTGGATTGGGCTTTTGGAGATGTAACAATCAACATGTATTATATATCATAATTACAAACCGAACTACCACAACCGAAGCCTGTTTTGAAACTTTCTCTCGACCATCTGCTCTAAATTAGAGCTGCAGCTATGCATCATGTAAACATCATAGGCATAACCCTCAACAGCGGGACGAGGTTATTATGTGTCTACGACATATAGGAAAATTTCTACTTGGCATACATATAGGGAGAAGTTAATTACAAAGGTGTTGTTGCTCTTATATCCTTTAAGTGGCTTAACAAGCATTGCCGTTGGTCGAGGTCTTCAAATCCTCCTTAGGAGATCGCTTCCAAGCAAGCTTTTCGGGAACCTCAGATACCAAGCAGTTTTGCGATCTGAGCGGGGGGAGTTCTACAGCCCACTCTAATTTGGCATCCTGACACAGGTCAATAGGCCTCGGATAGAATGGCTGATTGGAAATAATACATACATGCAGATCCATCAAATAGCGCCTACAGAATTCAAGTCGTACATTTGCGTCCCTGATGGATCAGGTTAGCTAAGCTTTACTTACCACTTATACTCCTATAACTCTTACATACATAATAATATATATCCAATGATATCATCCATTCGAGGACGGCGCAAGGTCCCGTTGTGATGTAAGTGGTATGGAAAGTTGCATCCATAGATATTCTATATACCAAGTCCAGTCTCCACATGCTAGGTCTTCTAGAAGAATGGTTAGCTCACATGCAAGAAGCTGTTCAATCTAATTGTTTTCGAGATCTCAGTGCATTTGGGCAGATTTCGATATTGGGAATTGTAGGAACCCAAAAGCAGGTACGTAGGTACAAAGAGCCAATGCTGAAATGTGGCCTGTGCTTCCCTTAGCTTCGACTGTCCTGTATTGATACATAAGGTACTTTGCAGGTCAGGGCAAGCGCGTCTTTATTTTTTGCCCAATGACGTGTGGAACGGTTGCCGGGAGCACGAACAGGACAGCAAAAGTCACTACCTGATTGAGTTTTTGGTGTTCATTTTATGGGGAAAGGTACAGGAAAGGTGCGAATACGTACCCGCGTACCCTTATTATTTTTTTCAGTCACAGAACCCCAAAATAATAACATCACTCCCGATTTCTTTCATACCCAAAGCAAAAATCTTTCTGCCCTTGCAGTCCATCACAAGGTGTCAAGGATTATCAACCATCATCAACCAAACTTTCTATCCTATCTGTTTCGATTCATTTCAATTGTTGCATGTCAACAAATTTCGAATTCCGCTGAGAATTTGCCGCTTAGGCTTTTCTTACCTCTTTTTCCCTAACATTCATTCCATTCTTTATCCGCGGATGACTTGCCCTCTGACTGGTTGCAGCCTGTCGCCTAAGTGATTACAAGTTGAATCTCCTCCTTCCCCTCGACGCGTCCATCAACATCAATATACCCTTTTCCTTTCTCAATCACCTCAACCACCACGCGTAATCGAAAAGACCTAGAATTTCATTCATGCCTGTATTCACGATGGATACTACCACACCACACAAACCCCGTCCCCCTCCGGGCCAACAGGGCTCGACGCCTTTCCGCTCTGCCTCCGCAAGCCGATTCCGATCATCGCTTGTGCCCATGAACAAGCCATCTCCCGCGCGTACATCGCGTCTCACCGGAAAACTAGCACCTACGACAAATCCTGCGTACAGTCGCGACCTTTTCCGCACCAACACTCCGCAAACTGTCCGCACCGCCAAATTTGCGCCAACCCTGCCCGCAGACGCAACAAAGATGACGCCAAGCGCCCGCAAGTTCACGCAGAAGAGTACAAGCGGGGGCATGAATGGTATAGCATCTACTGAGCTTTTCAAGATGAGAATCCCGTCACCAGACCCCGAATTGTCTGGCGAAGCTCTGTCCAAAGAAGTCCCAGATGATCCTCATCGCAAGGGTACCATCTACGCGGATCAGTTCCTAGCTCACAAATGCCCACAGAACTTCGACGATCTCCAGCGACGACAGTTCTTCTGCATCCTTGATTTACGAAGACTTAAGTATGCCGCTAATGAGATATTTGCCAAGAAGGATTGGAAGTTGAATATCATGAATTTTGCGAAGGAATACGAGAAGAGTAGAGGTTTGATTATGCTACGATATGGACTTTACGAATTCAAGAACGTCAAGCCCTCGGAAGAGGTTCTAAAGAGGTGGAGAGCGACTCATAACTTGCCCGAACCCGAACCACAAGCTGAGAGCGTACCTACCGCGTTTTCCGCTCAGAGCGGCCGTCGTCTTACAGGAGCGAACAGTTTGTCGACGAAGCGCAAGGCTGAGGATGACTTGACACCGAAAGATAATGCCTTAATGGCGTCAACTGCGAACCAGAATAAGCGTCGCAATTTGACTCAAGAACAGGCCGATCCCGTCCTTACGGGACCTGCGCCTTTTAAGAAGAGTAAACGAAAGGTAGACGATACCGACGAGCCTGACGAGAATCAGCCCAGCAAGGTGCAGAAGCCCACTCCTTCTGCTGCCAAGTCCAAATTTGAGAGCATCCTCAACAGAACACAAAGCGGCAGTACCTCGCCAATCAAGAGAGCTTCGTTAGCACCCTTTGGTACTCCCAAGCCCGACGAATCCCAGAACTCGAGTTTTGCCGGCAAATCGAACCCATTCGCATCGTTCTCGAACGGATTCAAGCCCGCATCTGTGGAAACGGTTAAGGACGGCGGCTCTTCAGGTTCGGTGCTTGCTGGACAAGATACTAAATCAACCCCAGCCAAAAGTGGCGGCAATATCTTCAGCTATCTTTCCGAAAGCTCCGCTAACAGCAGTGGTAACGAGAATGGTAACGCTGATGAAGGCGATACTGAGTCTGAATCTGAGGAAGAAGAAGAAAGCCCAGAGGCGCCACCCAGCGACCAGCCCAACGGCGCTGGGAGTGCTGCCACAAGTACCCCTTCCACTCAGAGTGACTCAGCTCCATTTGCTGCTGGTAAACCCTCTGCTACTACCTTCGGCCTCTTCAGCCAGTCCAATAAGGACCTTGAAGCTAATGCCAATTCCAAAGGTGGTCTCTTTGGACGAGTTCAGATGGGATCTAACGGACAACCACTTCGAGCTCCGTCCAGTGCGGAAGAACAGACTACCTTCACTTCCACCGAACAACCCCCGGCCGAAAGCGAACAGACTAAGACTCCCACTCAACGTCCAGGTGACTATACTTTCAACGCAGCGACGACCCCGATATCTTTCGGCTCAGTGACGACTCACAAGCCGGAATCTAGCAGTGAGCCTGATAAATCAGTGGATACGTCGACGGCAAAGCCGACTGTGAGTTTGTTTGGAGCAGGTGCCCCAACTAATGCGGCATTCCAACCATCAGCTGCAAGTGCAAGTATATTCAATACACCTAGCACATCTACTTTGTCCCAGGCGAAGACAGGCGGCACTGCAAACTCTCTCTTCTCAGCACAGAAGTCTACACCATCAACTTCTAAGTTATTCGGCGGTGTTCAGAAGGCAAATGAGAAGGACTCTTCAGCCGAGGCTAGTAAACCTCCTTCGGCTCCCAAGGAGCCTTCCCCTATCTTTGGCGCCTCGTCAGCAAGCACAACTGCTCCCACCCCCACAACCAAATCACTATTTGGCAACTCTCAGGCGAATGGAGGTACCGGCAGCCAATCGATATTTGCAAATGCTGCAAAACCGTCTGCATCTAACTTATTCGGCGGCTCTTCAAGCGAGACACCATCATTTGGTACGAGTGGTGCGAAGGTTAACGGCTCTAGCACAACGAAGTCCCTATTTGACACTCCAGCGAAGCAGCCATCTGCGAGCTTCACTTTTGGCGCATCAAAGCCTGAAACCCCAAGTGACACGCCTAAACCCAGCAACGGCCCTAGTCAGACGTCGAGCAGCTTCAACACAACTACACCCAAACCGATCTTTATTTCTGAGGCGACCAAGCCTACCACCACCCCCGCAGCATCGTCCATATTTGGTAACAATTCAACTACCCCAGCGGCATTGTTTGGTGCTAAGAATGGCGAGGCAACGCCTGCTGAAAAGAAGCCAGCCCCAACAGCAACTCCCTCACTGTTTAGTAATAACTCAACCACCTCGACCAGTCTGTTTGGCTTTAGAAGTGGTAATGCAGCACCTGCCGAGAAGAAGGATGAACCCTCAACCGCCCAGCCGGCGAGTAGTTTCGACAGTACTTCCAGCGCGGGGCCCAGTTTCACTTTCGGGGCCCAATCCATAGCACCAACTGTATCCAGTTCGCAGACTTCGACTGCGCCATCGATATTCTTTGGCGCTGGTGCTAATGGCACCCAAGCCAATGGCGGCGAGCCGAAGAAACCCGAGATTTCGTTCGGGGGTTCCACAGCTGGTTCGGGCACGACTCCGTTCGCCTTTAGTCAAGGGCCTTCGAGCTCCGGCACCGGCTTCACTTTCACGGCTGGTGGCAACGGGCAGTCGTTCAATAACCCCTTCGCCTCACCAACTCCCTCGCCGTCTGTCTCAATGTTCGCTGACAAACCTTCAACACCTGCGCCGGCCTCTACCTTCAACTTCTCCTTTGGCCAGCAAGCGCCATCAACCCCCAATCCGGCTCCAGCTAGCCAAGGATTTTCTTTCGGAGCCTCTTCCAACGCGACCAACGGCGCGCCTAGTCTTAGTTTTACAACCGCAACACCACCCCAAAACAACGCAAACCTGTTTTCATTCAAGTCTACCACGGCAGGTTCGATGGGTTCCGGTAGCTTTTTGCAGGCAAGTGGCGATACAGGAGCTAGTAAGACGTCTCCCAACGAGCAAAGCATTGCAGGATTCGCTAACCCCTCTCCAGACTCCCCGTTCCCGGCGCCTTCCAGCATTGGCACGACTCCGGTAAACGGCACGCCGGAGCCGCAGACTCAGAACGAGGATGGTGAAGAGGCGCCACAGGAGCAGCTTTCGCTCACGAATGGCGGACCAGGTGAGGAGGATGAAATCATTCTGCATGAAGTACGGGCCAAGGCCATTAAGTTCATACCCATCCGTAAGGGCGAGGATGAGGAGGAGAATAAGTCGCCATGGACGACTCAAGGTGTAGGTCCTCTCCGCGTCCTCAAGAATAAGACAACCGGAACTGTCCGCGTGTTGCTCCGTGCCGAGCCGAGAGGCCATATTGCCATGAACAAGGCCCTCTTATCGGATATCGAGTACAAGTCTACGGAGAAGACGGTCAACTTCGCGGCAGCAAGTGACGACGGCAAGGGACTCGAGACCTGGGTACTACAGGTCAAGAAGCCCGACTTCGCACAGGAGCTGGTTCGTGTGCTGGAGCAGAACAAGGGCGCGAATAAGAAATAAGATTGACAAATTCACATTGGTGTACGGCGCAGGGTGGGTATACTAAAGCATAGCATTGCTGCTGGTATTGTTTGAAGTTCTTATTTTCAGGGTCAAAAAGCATTCGGGTGCCCTGAGTATGGAAGGCATCGCTTGGTAACGTCGCAAGTTTTTATTGGAAGGGTATCGAGCAAAATGAAAGATGCATTCACCACTATAGCTAATGTGTACCTGAGCCTAATTTCACCAACCTCAGGTTGTAGATTAATGTCGTTACAGTCTTCCATGATAATGATAAAGGCCTCAGAAACCTGGTATGAAAATGTGCATATCTAAACTGGGTCCCACTATACGACTTCCCTTTCTTTAGGTATGTAGGTACCTGGTAGGCAATATGTAGGAGCTGGTGCCCAACGATAACCCCCCTTTTTATCGAAGTTTTCATCTTGTTGCCCAATCAAGTAGAACTACGGAGGCTAAGGTTGGTTACCGAAGAATTCAAGGTTGATTAGCCGCACATGTATATTTCGTGCATTTTGGAGCGGAATCTGTTACGTGCATGTACAATGGCTAGCCCAGTAGCCCTACTAACTCTGCCTATCATGGTGCCGAACAGCGTACTCCAAATGTACACGTTTGTACCTTCCAAAGTTAGCCGTGTGATTGTCGGAAAGAGCTCTAGGTCGGCCCTATCAAACCCATAAGGTTTAAGGTTACAGGTTTTTTCTTAGTCTTTTTTTCCCTCACCGCAGAGCAAAATTTTCAGTTGATGCACTGGAGAAGGCAAATATTTTCGCCGTGTCAGAGTAACATCCGACTACTGAAGTTTTTATCGACCAACTGGAAACAGCGATTGCCTAGACCTATAAATATCTGCCAAAGTCGACGTAGCAGCAATAGTAGGCTCTTTTCCACTCTTGCCCCGCCGACGGTACTCGATATTTACTATTTGCTGTTTACGGAGCCGAAGATGTCTGGAGAGATCGTCCACGAGACCATCAAGGGTAAGTTGCATTGGCATATCATGTCTGATTGATTAAAAAAACACGGGTATCTTCGACCCTTGATCGGGGTTGTACAACATATTTCACTTAGATATATCGAATATTCACAACTCTGTCTTTATCTTTCTCTACATCATACCCCCCTTTAGATTTATGTCATGACTGTTTCATTCACTCTGTTTCAAGGCCCTGGCACTAACGATATCTCGCAGATGGCTGGTTCAGAGAGATCTCTGACATGTGGCCTGGTGAGTAAGGACGATGAACTTCCCCCTTTTGGCAAAAAGTCACGTAGTCAAAAGGGAAGTGGGGACTTTGAAAGTTTTATTCTAATAGGAGTTTCGCCTTTTCATTCCAGGCCAGGCCATGACCCTGAAGGTGAAGAAGGTGCTGCATCACGAGAAGAGCCAGTACCAAGACGTCCTCATCTTCGAGTCCACCAACTACGGCACCGTCCTGGTTTTGGACAACGTCATCCAGTGCACTGAGCGGGATGAGTTCTCCTACCAGGAGATGATCACCCACCTGGCCCTCAACTCCCACCCTGACCCCAAGAAGGTCCTAGTCATCGGTGGCGGTGACGGGGGTGTCCTCCGTGAGGTTGTCAAGCACGAATGCATCGAGGAGGCTATCCTCTGTGATATCGACGAGGTATTATTACTCAATTGGCTGTTGCTACCGTCGCGGTGGAATATATATAGCTAATACCAGTTCTAAAACCAAAGGCCGTTATCCGCCTCTCTAAGCAATACCTCCCTGGTATGGCCGAGGGCTTCAAACACCCTAAGGTGAAGGTCCACGTTGGCGACGGCTTCAAGTTCTTGAACGACTACAAGAATGCCTTTGATGTCATCATCACCGACTCGTCCGACCCGGAGGGCCCCGCCGAGAGCCTGTTCCAGAAGTCTTACTTCCAACTGCTATACGATGCCCTGCGCCCCGGCGGCGTTATCACCACTCAAGGTTGTACGTCTCCTTTATATCAGGCAAAAGTTCGCAGAGATACCGGGTGAAAGAAAACGGCACCGAACTTTGCGCCTGGTTGTTCTTAAACAACCCCCCGATTTTTTCCTATGAAGGGTCGAATCTTGGGCTTTGACGGGCTGTGTTTTCCTCGTGATATCTCCTTGCTCACTCACCTCTCCCCATACATATACCTTTCTGAGTGTTTCCCTTGGTCGGGTATTTCGAGTCTTGGGTCTTCATCTAGGCTGAGATTTGCATCGACCCCCCAATTCCCTATTCCTCATCCCCCTTTCCTCATCACCTTCCCCTCTTCTCCCCCTTCCCTAGGTCTTCCCAGTCTGTTTTAAACTCACCCCCCTAGTTCTTCCACCGAACTCCGTTCGCTAACTCTCCGTCCTCCGTAGCCGAGAACCAATGGCTCCACCTGCCGCTCATCACGAAGCTCAAGAAGGACTGCGGGGAGGTGTTCCCCGTGGCCGAGTACGCGTACACGACCATCCCGACCTACCCCTCGGGTCAGATCGGCTTCATGGTCTGCTGCAAGGAAGCCGGTCGCGACGTCAAGAAGCCCGTCCGGTCCTGGTCCCCCGAGGAGGAGGCCAAGCTCTGCAGGTACTACAACGCGGAGATCCACAAGGCCAGCTTCATCCTACCCACTTTCGCCGCGCAGGCTCTGCAATAGGCGCGGAATGAAGCGGGGAATGCTGATCAGGTAGATTCGGGATGAGGGACTGACTGGTGGGCTCGGGTAATGAATGTTTATATGAAAGCTACTGAACGAATTGCGCGTTTGTCGTAGATGTCCTATTTAGGCCGAGGGATAAGGCTGGATAGGTAGCCGGAGGATGATAGGTATATCGACTTAAGGTTAAGAGTCCCCCCTTTAGAAAAATGGAATCATTGCATCATTTTATGAACGCTGTGAACTTGTGATAGTCCCCGCGTGGTCTGTGAGAATTGCTAGGTGAAGTGGTAAGTCTGCCAATTCGAGGTATGAAAGAGTAAATCTAATATAAACTATCAAGTATTTTTATGGGCTCTTATTCATGTCACTATGCTTTCATCGTCTGGTCTATTTTAGCTTTTATCAGGGAGCATGGTTTCTATGTGAAGACAGGTCAGGATTATCTTCCAATTTTCCAAGTTAAATTTAGATCTACAAGGCTTATGACTTCACGAGAACTACTTATCTAAATGGAGTTGAAAGGGAGACGTCCATTTTATCAACTAAACTCCTAATATCTTTCTCAGTCGTTTCAGCAACCCCATCCCCTTCAAACTAGGGACCTCCGCAGGTGTTAGTTTTGGTAATAGGCCTCGCTTTGTACTTATCAGGGAGATAGTCCTTGCTTGACAAGAGTGCCTCTCCCATAACCTCGGGATGATGACCGAGCCATCAGAATCGACAATCTTGATCTGATGGAATCTAAGCACACACTCGAGGGCATCATAATCCAGAGTGACATCGTCAGGGTTCGACCTAAACTTTCGGAACCTTTCCGCCGCATTATTTGCATTCCCGAAGTAATCGAGACAGCAAATATCATAATCCAAGTCGTTGAGTGCAAGGATGAATTTCTAAACAAGTAGGTAGTTAGCCGAGGGAACGCCCCCTAATGACACTAAGAAGCTAGGAAATGCAAGTTGGAATGACCCTTACATTGGTCGTATCAATTGTGTCGACTGGAAATACGCTCCACGTCCCGTCTGGTTTGTTTATCTTCGTCCATTTCTCTTCTCGAACCGAGACCTTGGGCTCGGGCTTCAAAACGCTAACTAAAGACGGATCTTCGTCCGCTGAGCTTTTTCGTGCGTTCTTGTTCTCCAGGTCGACTAATATCTGCCGCACGAGTCTGGAAAACTGTATCTCCACGGAATACGTTTCTATTGTGACGAATTCGATGTTTTTGCTGGGTATGATATCCAGGCTTCTATTAAGCGTTTCCACGACTTCCTGGTCGATCTCTTCGGCTTCTTCCTGAGGAAGTCTCTCGTCGTTCTTGTCAGATGAATAGTACCGAATCAAGGCAGTCTGGCTACTTGATGTTTCGGCAGTAGCAGTAGATGTCTTCTGGCTGCTGTCTACTGTCACTTCATCATCTTCCCTTGCGGCAGAAGTCCCATTTGACTTGGGTCTACCTCTGCTGGCGTCTCTGCCTGATGGCAGGAGTGTTGAGTGAGACGAATATGTTGAAGCTTGCTGCCGTGACTCGTTACTAGAATTATGTTGTAGATTCGCCGTACTGTTTTCCAAGATATATTTGACTTGAATATTTTGCACACTATTTACGTTAACAATGCCTTCCAGTTTGCAAGAAGGGCAACAGACGTGTACATACTAATAATTGTTGTGCACTGCACCGCTCCGATCAATAGTCAGGAGCGTCAAGATCGGCGTCAGCATCGCAATCTGCTGTTGCAGAGAGTGTCTAAAACCCGTAACCTTCTCCTTGCTCCGGAAATACCATTTGAGCCGGAGGCCGAATTGTTCGAGCTTCTTCTCGCTATCCCGGAAGCGCTCCAGGAGCGGGACAAGACTTTTCTGCAGAACGTCGTATATCCTGAAGATCTGGTCGCAGATGTCCATGATACGTTTCACCACGCCGCCGATTTCGTCGTTGACGTGCGGCTGCTTGTCGAGGACGCCTTGAATCGTCCTCATTATCTGCGTCGCCGAATCCACGTCTCTGGCGACATTGCGCACTTCTTCGCCGGCGGCACCGATGCCGTCTGCGACGGAGTACAGCACGGTTGTTACTTGGATACCAAGCGAGAATAGTCCCGCGATGGTAGAAGCTTCCCCGACACCTGCCATGGCTTTTAGCTACCTAGGTACTATTGGAACAAGACTTAAACTGCTAGCTCGTGGGTATTTATTATCATTGAAAAGCAGAAACGATTGTAAATGTCATGGGGTAGTTGAATCGGCCTTTACGCGAGGCTGAGTGATGAAACCAAGCGATATTGACAGGCACAGCCCCACCCCCAGGCGTTTTCTGCAACGAAATACTTCGTACGTCTGATTCGATGATCGATAAAAAGGTTCTGATATACAGCACGTGCGTGTCACTTTTTATTCTTGTCAATGCTAGCTAGGTACCTACCTACATAGCAAGTAGCTAAGAGCACCTTCAATTGACATGTGCAGCCTGCTACCTACTTAAGCACGAGTCTTTCTCGCTAGATAGCTGCCAATTAAAGGGATAAGAGGTTGTTAGATAGAACCCGAGACTTCTTTACAAGACTTTCCCTCCTACGATACTAGCTTCATAATATCCATCAATATCTTCGGCTTGGATCACTCTCTTATCAAGGAATTAGAGATCGAGAACACGATTGACATCCATTTAGACGGGCGAAGGCTTCAATAAACGTAGCACCGATGGGTCATGATACAGAACCCCAACCCTAACCCTGGTCCTAATCCTCGACAGACCTTCTAGCCTTCAGGGCTTCGCAGAGCTGCAGGAACCAAGTGGTAGAATACCTTACTTACCGCTTAGTAGAAAAAGAAAAAGTGATTTGAAATTCATCCAGACATCGACATCACACCACTTTCGCTCTTAATCCAGCATATCCCCCGCGCGTTCAGAGGGAGAGAGAACCGAGGCTCCGGGGAAAGGAAAAAAAAACAAAAAACAGGAGTAGGAGAAAAAGTAAAAAGTCCTAGAAATGTGGCTATGGTACCGAGTATATAGAAAAACAAGGGGCAGAGAGGGAGAGAAGGCAAAAGAAAAAGGCATCAAGTAACATCGTCTGTGACCGGCTCGCTAACCGCCGCTGCAAGAAAGCTTCTATATATAAACCGGCTGACTCAACCAAACCGGACCGATGGCGACAATATAGTTTAATACGTACGGGTACGACATCGCAATAAAAAACTTCTCGCATACACGCGCGCTTGTTTCCCAACTTAGCCGTCGGGTGACTACTATATTAGAAACATATTTACGGTCTGTTCGCTCCTCAAGAAGGAGTGCTTTACATTGCGATAGACACGGCAATGCATACACACGGACGGGCTTTTGGGGGAAAAGGAGAGAGAAGTAAGTCATGTCATATCATATACGTACCTAGGTAGAGGTATCTTACATAACAATTCCCCCTCATCTCACTCCCTCCGAACCCCTGGCTCGGTGCGTTAGTCGGTCAGTTACCCAGAACCCCTCGTGTAGGATCGCAGAAAAGATGATGTCAAGCGGCGGCGCGCGAGATTGGGTAGGTATGTATAGGTATGTTAGAGATGCCGGTTATGCAAAGAATTCCTCGATCTCGAGCTTGTTCCTACGAGCCGTGCCGTGTGGCTCTCACCCCGGATTATCAGCCCGGCATAAGGCATGGGTGTTGGGCGGTGAACTCTCGATGCGTACTAAGCACAAGGCAAGCAAAGCAACCGAACCAAAGAAAAGAAGAAAGACAAGAACCCCCGTGAAGGTTAAAGTCCACCGTAGATCCTACAAGAAAAAAACTGCGTTGCAATGAAAGGACAGGCGCATCGGCGCTTAACTCTAATTTAGTATGTTAGATACTTACTTAGATACATATCTAGGTACACATCTAGGTAGGTAGGTATGTTGGTATGTTGGTAGAATAGGAATCTGACCTGACCTGGTAAGATACCCGTCTTCCTTGTCTCTGGCATGGCGTGGCATGGCAGGGTTCCTTATATAATTATAACACGTACATATATGTTAAGGCAAGATAAACGCTGTGACGAACGCCACCGAAGCGACATCCGAATTCCTTTGCGGTTGACGGGTGGTGGGGTCTGGAACCATAGCAAGGCTGCCGGATTCTGGGCATCTCCTTGACTCGCATCGTAATACCATCTTCGGCCTTAAGCAGGGACCATCGAATAGTATTAGGGACATCGCGTACAATATAGCACTTGGCTACCGTCGCCGGAAAACAGCGGCTCGATCGAGTAGGTACCTACTGACCTAGTCTCGCCAACTAGGTAGGTAGGTAGCTAGGCAAAGAGCCGTGGTTTCTAGATCGGCAGCTTGAAGCCTAATAGATCGGTGCTCGAACTACGCCGCTCGATAGCCAACGGCTGTTGGGCTAGAGGGGCAAGATCCTCCCGTTAGTGTCGAGCAATCACATAGCAGATCAATAGTCTAATAAACGTAGTTGGGGGCTCGTTGGACAGCCCCACAGAAGCGCCGGGCAGCTTAGATCCGTGTGTATGTATATGTTCACAGCCCGCTCGAAGTCCATTCAAAGTTTCACGCACAGACGTTTGCGGGCGGGAGATCATTTTTAAGTATGGTGCAACGGTACCTATTTTTTTCTTCGACGATGGATGCGATTTTCGCTAGCGCACCATGTTTTCGAGCACTTCCAAGAAATCTTATCACGACTCCTACGATCGCTTTTATACACCGAGCAAGATCTGACGGGCCGAAGAAAAGCCTACGATATAATCCTGTACTTTCACAGAACCGTGGACCGTGCTACCTAAGCCATGAGGATGGTCGTATTTGGAGATGACGGCTGCTATTGCGGAACAATGGCACCATTCGGCATGTCTGGGGGCTACGATGGTAACCTGACTACGAATGTGGCCAATGAAGGCCTCGGCAAGCCTGCCTGGTCTGCATGTAGTGGTGCAGAAAAAGCAAGGCTTGAGATCCTTCGAGAGTACGTATGTAGTTGTAGTGGTGGTGGGCAGTCCTCCGGGGTGAGACGGGGTGAGACGGCAGTGACTGTTTAATTCGTTAACCAGGGAATGTGGCTTAGAGATCTTAGGTCTTTAGCCAATTTTCGGTGTGATATGTCAGTATAACAGTCGTATCGCAGGAATCACCAAGTTGAGCGAGTAAGACAACGATGATCTCAAGTCGTAAGAAATGGTCGTTGCCGATTCCCGTCGTAAGTTGCAACTGGTAAGCCGAGGCAAAGAGTTGTATCGGGCAACCAGCGCGAGTCCCCATCGTAAGGCAGATCGTGAGCTTCGAAGCTTACATAGTACATCCTTCCAGATTTCACTCGATACGATGAACTCCAATTATGAGATTGCAGCAGGACTTGATAACGATCAATAAGTTGGAGACAACCCCACGATTGGGGGGTTTGATATCGGGACCATATTTTTCGGAAATATGGTTGGGTCGAGGGAAATCGGAACCTTTGCGCGACTTGCTGCTGCACGTGTAGGTGGTATGTATGTACCTACCTATGTATGTATGTAGATTAGATCCTTCTGATATGAAATGTCTCGGCGGCCATGTGTTTATAATTAGTTCGCAAACCCCCTTTAGACGGTTGATGGGCAGGAGGTAGTATTTGAAGGCAAGTTAACGATTCACGATATTCGAATTATGCCGAAGTCGTATTAGTGAAAGAGATAGGCGAGGACCATGATATAGCTCCTATGGTCGGGGATAAAATGTCGATCACTTTCAAAAGATTCCCACTCGCACTGCCGCAACGCGCGGATAGAAGACATCCATGTACTAGGTACCGTAAGCTTCCATGTGAACAGACGCTTGCAAGGATGCCGGCTACGCTAGACCATGCCCTAAATTAAGGGTGACACGAGCCTCGAAGCTAGGCCTCATCGAATTGGGAGAAGGACGTTAGTACCCGCTACTCCACCTCTAGCCACGTTTTTTTCCCTTTTTAATATATGCGGGTGTTGGGCTGTTAGCCTAACTTAAAAGCTCCCTGGGATAAGTCCGGACGAGGAGCTACTAAAGCATGCTGGGGCGTTGGGATTACTGACTTGATTTGCATGGGACTTCGTGCCGATTGGGTGTTCTGTTGCTACAGATAAATTGTAAGCATGGTAGTGTAGAGCGCAGAAGGACGGTGTCTGAGATGTGTACCGGGATCCATCCGCGCTTAGGAAAAAGACATTCGGTTTCTTTGAGGAAGCCTTGCCGATTTGCCTGCGAACCTAAGGAGAAAAGGGGGATTGGATGAATCGGAATCTGGAGGAAGAAATACCCATAGGTCTAAATATACAGATATTCAAAAGCTATGATAGGAAGTAATGTATGTACGTAATCTAGTATTCGCAGCATTATCTCCGACCTCTAGTGAGGACTATGAATGGCTCGCAAAGCTGATGTGTGGCTCTTGATCGTCCCTCGTCGTCATTAGTGGAAGCCATAAGGTTGCAGCGTTGCGTGATGGCGGCCCGGCCATCTGAGCGAGTAACCTCGAGAGGCTGACAGCACATGGCAGTGGCACACACAGACATCGAGATTGGTGACACCGATTGCAGGACGAACTAATGACAGGGCATGGCGAGTTTGCTGATGTTTGGATCGGACGTCGTGTAGGGACTGTAGTTCGAGGAGGTGTGGGTGACACCGCCGTAATCAGCACTCGAGCGAGTACTATGGTACAGCTCGCTATGCGAAGTACTCGCATTGGTACTCATACGCATTGCATGCATTCCGAGAAGCTCAACCGGGACGAGCTAGTAGTAGGTAGTGGAAGATTAGCGTCTCGGGCTCGCGAACCCTATGTGCGGCGCCCGTTCCCCCATCCTTGGTGTCTTTGCAGGCTTGCAGCAATCCTCAAATTGGCGACCTCAAATGGCGTGTTTTATAGCGGAGTTCTGCTGAAAAGTTCCAGAGGCCTAGAAGGAAGTGTTTCGTCTCACTGTCGCTTAATACCCAATACTCGATATTATATCCAATACATGCCTAAGCCTTACTGACAATTATTGCTTTTTCATACCGAGCATAAGTATGATTGTTCTTTATCATCGGTGATGGAGTTTCCGAGTTGAGTATGAAACAAGGCTGATCGTAGAATGTTTGCTTAGATGTTCTAGAGCTTTTGGAGATTTGGGAGAAAAGAAAAGAAAACACAAGTATAGACCCATTTGTATATAAAGTTATCATGCTAGTAGCTTGTATCTCATTAGTTGGATGTCGCTTCTTTTCTCTTCATGACAATTAGCTAAACATTACTTCATCCACATCTTCTGTTACACATACTATTAGGCCTATATAGCAGGTAGTTAATATTATATGCGCAAAGCTCAGTAAGAAGAAGGTTCCAGCGTTTCGATGCTGATGGGTATTGGCGCTGGCGGGTAACAATACTACGGTACATCAGCAGCGTCATGCCGTTAGTCGAAAAATAGTACGCTGTGCGTCGTAGTCGCGTGGTTTTGATGTTTCATTCCTGCAAAATACATACATCCGCACATGTGGGTAAGTATTGGGTACTGTACCTCATAAGCGGAGTTGCTCAGCAGATAATCAATCTATTCCCTGAAAGGACTCGTCGTGAGGACCCCAATCCAATGTTTCGAGTACCTCTCATCTCCACACTGCAAGGTACACACCTATTTGAAACTCACCAATGCCCAGCAGAGCTACAGAAGTAAATGACTTGGGTGGAAGTCACTGCTAGCCACTACCTTAACTTTAAGTCCTGGCAGTGGCAGCCCGGGTTGCTTTCTGACTTCTGACATAACAATTTTGCCGTACCCATCAATTCCAATTACTACCCAGGTAGGTACCTAGTACCATTAGGTAGGCTAGCAGGTTACCTCTAGCTACCTAGTAGCTGCCTTCAGTCTCCGGTTCTCCATTTTCCCTTCTCCAGTTCAACACCTCCTCAACTTCGCCTTTCGCTAATGTACCCTCAACCATTCAAGGGAATCAAGGGAATCCAGCCATCATTGTCCAATACGACAAAGGAGCAGAAAGCGTGAAAGAGAAAGAGGCCTTGATGTTTCACAGCTTTATCAGCTTGACTGATGGTTAATGGCTAGGTAAGTAAGCAGCTTTAGGTGGTGCTCCATGGATTCTTGATACCCATTACAAGCTTCTAGCCCTTCTAGCCTTTTTTATGCATCGAGCATGGGTTGGGAATCTTTCCCATTGTTTTTTGCGGTAGCATTCTGATTCATTCCCAACGTGACACTGTACCCTACTATTACTTCGCCCTTTTCTGATTTCTTACCCCCCCTTTTCCCGTTACCTGTCCTGGTCTAGAGAGTTCCAGAGGTGTACAAGAGGCATACATTAATCCAACCCATTTCCTCCAAACCCGTGCTAGCTTTCGAGGTAGCGAACAAGGGCGCGGATGGTAGATGCTTGTATTATGTAGGTAGAAGGCACCTGGGCTTTTCCTCTCTTACTACATAATACCATACCTGCCTACATATTACTTCTGCTGACAGGCGGTATTTTATTTATCATTCGAGCCCTACCCGTTCTGCCGTTCGAACAACCTTATTCACAGCTTCCCGTCTTTTTCTTCTCTTTGCTCGAGCCTCCTCCATACCCTGGCAACTTGACAGGGTTCCTATAATTGGTCTGATCATCCTGGAGACTCGAAGCAACAAAAGCTAACGAGACCCATCCAGTCTTACCCAGCCTGGTTGACAATTGATTGTTTTTATTTCTTTCCTCTCTTTTTCCTTCCAAATTATAAGGAAGCGCTTAAGGCAAAATAAGGCTTCCTTGAAGTCATAATAACGCCTCAATCACTCTCAATCCCGAGTGCTCTCTTGGTTTGATTGCGCCGTCAGCTTAAGACCCTCAAATAGTTATTACCGAGCTGTTTCGTTTTCAGCCCCGGCTCACCCTTTTCCACACCACCACGAAGCCGCGCCTTCAGTCGTCCGCTTGAATACATTCTTTTCATTCATTCATTCATCCATTCTCGCCGTACTTGCCGGTCTTAGTATAACTATCTGTGCGAGGCTGTCTTGTATATAAATAAACAAACAAACGAAGGGAATAAACGGGACTTGCTTTGTTCCTACACCCGTATTAACACACGACTAGCCGAAGCCCAGTCCCAGGAACAGAGAACACCCCCGTACATACGCGCCCATTGCCCATCATGTGTTTCGGCAGCAGGAAAAAGAGCGAAGAGGGCAATGCGCGATCACGGGAGCTTGATAAGATCATCCGTCAAGATGAGAAGAGAATGTCGCGAGAGGTCAAGCTGCTCCTTCTAGGTACGTACCCGGAGTCTCTCCTTACGAAATCATCAACTGCTCTCCTGTGTCTCAGCTAGCGGGACACCGCATCTAACTCGGAACTTTTGCCTAGGTGCCGGAGAGTCGGGCAAGTCAACGGTGCTCAAGCAGATGAAATTGATTTACGCGCAAGGCTTCAGTAAAACGGAAAAGCTGGAATGGAAGCCGGTCGTGTTTAACAACGTCGTTCAATCCATGCGTGTTATCTTCGATGCCATGGCCGATTATTCCATCGAATTCGAAAATAAGGACAACGAGGTATGTGCCCTGTACAGCTATGCTCTATTAAGTTTATGAGTGGAAGGTTTCTAGCGGACTCCGAGACATGGCTAGCCTGGTTTGATCCTCGTAAATTTTGATCGCTGACTCGGGGCTTTCAGAAAAACCAAGCCCTACTTCTCGTTGACACGGAAATATCACCACACGATTCTCTTCCTCCGGATTATCTCGCACCTGTGAAAGCGCTCTGGGCCGATGGTGGCGTCCAAAAAGCTATTCTCAAGGGCAACGAATACGCCCTTCATGATAACCTAGCATAGTGCGTAAATTCTGTTGATTTTGATATCACCAGCGACCGTGCTAATACCTTGACAAGCTTTTGCGAAGATGCCGACCGTATATGGGCGAGCGATTACGTCCCCACCGACCAAGATCTTCTCCGATCCCGGTTAAGAACGACTGGTATCACCGAGACCATCTTCGACCTAGGCCAATTGACGTATCGAATGTTCGATGTGGGTGGCCAGAGATCCGAGCGGAAGAAGTGGATTCATTGCTTTGAAAATGTCCATTGCTTGTTGTTCCTCGTCGCAATTAGCGGTTACGATCAGTGTCTAGTGGAGGACAAAGATGGCGTGAGTAAAGCTAAATCCCGGGGGTCGGCAGTGTAAGCGTAACGATTACGGCTAAGCTAATTGGCATCTCGCAGAATCAAATGAACGAAGCTCTCATGCTCTGGGAATCCATCGCGAACTCTCATTGGTTCACCAAATCCGCCCTCATTCTCTTCCTCAACAAGATGGATCTCTTTAAAGAGAAGATCGCCACGAGTCCTATAACGTCGCACGGTTTCGTCGACTATCAAGGGCCGCCGGACGATTACAAGCAAGCGAGCAAGTACTTCATGGACAAGTTTAGGGCCTTGAACCGAAATCCCGAGAAAGAGATCTACGGACATTTCACGAACGCTACGGATACGAACTTGCTCAAAATTACGATGGGCTCGGTGCAGGACATGATCATTCAGCGCAATTTGAAGCAGCTGATACTGTGAGTCGCCTGCTTCTGGACGTATTTTTTCCCGAATCATGCCCTGCGAAACCGAATCTGGCCATACCGTAAATCCTAAGGGGTCTCCAGGTTGGTCAGCGATTTTGCGGTTGCATTCGAGACAATAGGATTACAAGCAGTGCGGCTGAACATTTCGAAGCATATAGCAATAGTTACCGCGCTCTTTATGTAGCCGTACGATACTGCTCCTCGCGACGACCCGAAGCGCAGCAGCGCTACACCATCCGCTACCGTTATCCCCTCAAATTCGATTGTGGAGCATGGGCTAGCCGAGAAAATGGCCGACGTACTCGGATCGGCCGATTCACTGTGCTCCTCGGAAGCGTATATTGCAGTAGCTTTGGATATGGGACTTTCCCTGGGGGTCCCACAGGACGAACTTTGGCCACAGATGGTGGATTTGGAGTTCCCTGGGGGTTGGCGTTATATGCATTGGACGATTTACAATCTCTCTCCGACACGATACGGTTCTTTAGTTATGATGCTGGATACCACAATGTTTGTTTTTTCTAATTCGCGTTCGAAGCTTTACGGAGACGAGTTGATGAATGGAGGAGCCAGTACGATACCAACTACTCATACATCAATTAGGTATATTAGGTAGATCAGACAGGTGTCAAATATCGAGGCCAACGATGAAACTTCAACCATCGCATGGGTTGAAGTTTGCCGTAAGCCGCTCACGTAAAAATATAATTGATCGAGTAAATATACCTAATTCCGAGAAAGGCGTCCAAGTCTCATTGTGCAGGAAGATAACCCAAGTAAATTCAAATCAGCTCAGAATCATGCATCACAAGGTTCCCAATGGGATGGTCTGTGGGACACGATAGAACATGGACGGCCCGCGGCAGCGGACTTTATTTTGCTGAGAGTCCACGATATGAAGCGGAATGATGCGCATGGGCAGGTATGATCGTGGGGAGTAGCACAGACTAACGGTTAGATACATCAACGATGATCCTGATGATCGTGAACACTTGTGTTTTTAGTGTCCGTGGTGTGGTGTTTATCTTGGTCTACCACTGTTATTTACCTACATATTCGTGATAAGTAGATGCGCAGTGAATCTTGTGCCATACGATACTTTCAACACATCCATTAAGACTCTGTATCCTATGAGTTTAACAGGTTAAAAAGCTCTTTATTAAGTAATCACCCGTGGACTAGTACATATTTATTTATCAGTTTCATTTATTCACGAAGTTAGCACCACCTACCAGATGGCATTAAGGTAATAAGGTTAGGTTATGACACGTGGGGAGATATTTAGCAAGGTTTCTAGTGCCGAAACCAGCTTAGTCGAGTCAAGCCGTCAACCGATGGGATCTACCTGCCCAATTACCTCGTATGTAATTAGCCATTGCCGATTGACCAATAATGATTGGTTTTGATACCCCTAAATAGCGATCAACCTGGCAACAGGGAAACAACAAGCTCGTTATTGACATCAGCCTGTTAACTGAGATCATCGAAAATGTAGGAAACAGCGTTCTCGTATTTTCGCCGAGCCTCGCATCTAGGAGTTGAGTTTCTTCTTTTTTTCTTCTATTACTCAACTAACATTCGTTTGTCTCAAAACATACACTCTGACTACGGAACTGATAATATCTAATAAACAAAACTTCATCGCCTTTTGACGAGTGTTGTATTTGCATGGTTCATTGTCCCATTCCAAGCATTTAAAGGTCCTACAATAAAAGCATTCACTATTGTAACTGAAAGTGCCTCCAAGCTAAACCGGTCGCTTGTCTACCATCGTCTACTATTGTTTACCATATACCCTGGGAACACATAATTTTGACGTTTCTCCCCCCAACCTATTCTGTAGCTCCCAAGTTGTTTCAGCTTGGATCACAGGCGCGGGCAATTTAATCTTTTGGTTTCTTGAAAGGGAGTTCAAATCCTCTACGATACCACCAGATGACAGACCATTCACCACACATCCAAGATGGCAGAATCAAAGCAAAATCCGCCTTGGATGTCTGAAGGCCAAGCGGTACTACCACAACAACCGCAAAAGCGTTCATGGTGGAATAATCAACAGCAACGCTTCCCTATCTTGCAAAAGAAAAGAGGCGTTGCTCTCCTTATCACCATCATGGTATTACCTCTCTTCGGCCTATTAGGCCTTCTTGCCTTACGAAATCGAGGCGGCGGCAGCAGCGAGTCTGCGGGAGGAACTGGGAGTACTGGCCTCGTTACGGACGACACTTATTTCTATGGTCAATCAGAGCCTGTTTATCCTTCGCGTAAGTACCTATCTAGACCGTACAACTACCTTTATCAACAGCTGGATAGAAACTAATACACGCGTCTATAGCGATGATGACGGGTACTGGAGCATGGGCCGATGCTTACACCAAGGCCCTCAATTTCGTAAAACAACTTACGACCGAGGAAAAGGTAAGCCTAGCCTCGGGCCTCTCTTCATCGACCGGCAGTTCCGGCACGGTAAATGGTTGCTCGGGGAACATCGACGCCATACCCCGAATGAATTTTTCGGGATTTTGTCTCAACGATGCCGGCCAGGGTGTTCGTGGCACGGATTTTGTCAGCGGATTCCCAAGCGGCCTCCATGTCGCCGCCAGCTGGAACAAGGTCTTAGCTCGAAGCCGTGCTGAGAGTATGGGTCTCGAGTTCAGAGTCAAGGGAGTTCAAATCCATCTCGGACCCGTTGTTGGCCCACTCGGCCGAGTAGTACGCGGCGGCCGTAATTGGGAGGGCTTCTCACCTGACCCGTACCTCTCGGGTGCACTTGTATCAGAAACCGTACAGGGTATCCAATCTCAAGGTGTCATCACAAGCACAAAGGTAAGGTCAATCCATGTATATGAGCGAGTCCTAGCTAACCGAGTATGCAGCACTTCATTGGTAATGAACAAGAGACGAACCGACAGCCTACTGGTGATGTCGAATCCTTCTCGGCTAATATTGATGACCAGACTCTGCACGAACTTTACTTGTGGTAAGACTGGTGTTTCTAATCGGTTTTGGAGTGTAATAACTGACTTGATTCCAGGCCCTTCCAAGATGCTGTCAAAGCCGGCACTGCCAACGTTATGTGCTCATACAATCGAGTCAACAATTCGTATGCTTGTGCGAACAGCAAACTCCAGAATGGTATCCTCAAAACGGAGCTAGGCTTTCAAGGAGCTATCACCTCGGACTGGGGTGCCATGCATGCTGGTGTAGCGTCAGCTGAGGCCGGAATGGACATGGTAATGCCGAATTCTGATCTATGGGGAGACAACCTTACGAAGGCGGTCAAGAACGGATCAGTCACGGAGGATCGTATAAATGACATGGCTACACGAATCATGGCCGGTTACTACCAACTGGGGCAGGACCAAGGATTCCCGGATCCTGGTATCGGCATGCCTGCAGACTTGTCCAAACCGCACGACATCGTCGATGCAAGAAACATTTCATCTCAGAAGATTCTGTTAGATGGTGCTATCGAAGGCCACGTCTTACTGAAGAACAGGAACAACACCCTCCCGCTGAAAAAGCCGAAGATACTCTCGATATTCGGCTACTCCGCCAAGAACCCTGATCAATGGAACTACAAACCAAACGGTGGCGTTGCCGCGTGGACCTTTGGAGGCGAATCATCCTATCTCGGGCGCGACACAGCAGCTGGGTTTTCAGGCCACTACTATGAAGCCTTCTCTGACATAGCTCCCAACGGAACAATATTCAGCGGTGGGGGTTCCGGCGCCGTGACACCCGCTTCCGTTAGCGCGCCATTTGACGCCCTGAACGCCCGCGCGTTGGACGATCGTACCGCCGTGTTCTGGGATTTCTTCAACCCCGAGCCAGACGTTACCGCCACGTCCGATCCTTGCCTTGTCATCGTCAATGCGTTCGCAAGTGAAGGATATGATCGCCCGGGTCTGCGAGACGATTATACTGACGGATTGATCCGGCACGTGGCAGACCGATGCAACAATACTATAGTGGTCTTTCATAATGCCGGCGTCCGACTTGTAGACCAATGGATTGACCACCCCAACGTGACAGCACTGATATTCGCGCACTTACCTGGAGAAGCATCCGGTCGAGCGCTCGTATCACTCCTCTATGGAGAATCAAACCCGTCCGGTAAGCTACCTTTCACGATCGCCCGCAACGAGTCCGACTATGAAGCATTCGCGGGACCCGACCTTCCATCCGGCCAATTTGAAAAGTTCCCGCAGTCCAATTTCAGCGTCGAGGGCGTGTACATCGACTATCGCCATTTTGATCTCAAGAACATCACACCCCGGTACGAATTCGGGTTTGGTTTGAGCTACACTACGTTCGAGTATTCGGACCTACAGGTCACGAAACAAAACAGTACGAATACGGACGAATATCCCACCGGCGCGATTCGCGAAGGCGGACAAGAAGACCTGTGGGATGTGGTGGCGACGGTCAACGCGACTATTCGGAACAGCGGCGATGTGGACGGTGCTGAGGTCGCGCAGTTGTACGTGGGCATCCCGAACGCGCCTGCGAAACAGCTTCGCGGTTTCGAGAAGCCGGCGGTGAATTCGTCAGCTACGGTGACGGTCGGGTTTGAACTTACGAGACGAGATCTTAGTATTTGGGATGTGGTGGCCCAGAAATGGCGCCTGCAGCCAGGCAAATATGGCGTTTTTGTGGGAGGCAGTAGCAGGAATTTGCCGTTGACAGGCACTTTAACGATATAATGAGTTGCACTAAAGGTAAAAGGGATAGGTATGGCCTGGTAAGGGTAATGATAAGGATATGAATAGGGTATGGCTAGGGTATGGATATGCTGCATGAGACTGACTAGGTACACATGATAACAGGTGGGGATAAGGGAATACCTAAGGACAATGCAGCTACATAGGTAACAACTCTTAATGCCACGAGACGATCGCATCTGCACGTTAGAGCCATGAACCCGGTTCGCCAAATAAAAGATCGGTTGGAGTTACTCTTGGGAGGGTGGCTGCTAGAGTGGCAATGGCCATTACGAAGACCTGTGCTTTTATATAAGTCTTACTCATGCTGCTCGGGCAGTCAGGTAATCACCTCTACATGAACTGCGTTCGGACCAGTATTCGGAGCTATACCTTTCTCGCGTGTTACATAAGGCGACCCTTGAAGTGAGAGATTTGATTTAGGAAAAAAAACTCTGTTATAAATCTATGATGGATGGGATGTTACTATTGACGGGATAAAAACTAGGGCGTATCGAGCTAGAATCATTAACGTACATAGTACGCCTCCATTGAGCCTCATTGGCGCGTCGGGATATTTTCTAGTTACCTGGGTACTGACGTTTTCCTTCCCCCCTCCACCCCCTTGCCCCCGAAACCTATTTGGTCCCGCCTCCAAGGTTCCCACCCATCCCTTCACATGCAGATAACGGTAGTAGCAACCCCTACCGACCGCTTTTCTCATCTACTTACGCAGCAGTAGAAAGCTCTTAACCTCAGCTGGGACAAATCAGAGCGAGGTAGACGAACGCCTTCTTATGTAGAGGGTATGCAGGGTGGGGCCGTGATATATTATTCCTTGAGCCAATGGTAATTGTTGATCGTTCGGATGACAGCTTGTAGCTTACATCGGCTTAGCCCCTTTTGTGATGAGTAGGTACAACTGTATGTGGCCTCTCCCCGGCGCTTTTCAGCCTCGTTCTGGATGTCTCACCGATATTTCGCTTGTTCTGGAATGCTAGGCACGTAAGATACTACCTCTAGAATTCTTCTAGAAGAACCTATGCGGGCTGTCTTGGTCAACGATAGTTTCGTTCTGTGTGGAAAGTTGCTTACCTAGGGTAGGTAGGTAACCACGTCAATATTGATCATTACTTAGGTATAATTAACTTATATCCATTGATAGGTACTGGATGAACCCGCTGTAATAGTCAATGTCATCTGAAGCGGACTTATAATAAACGGTTCGCCCTTGAATGGCTGACTGCCAAGGACCTCGGCAAGCCCTTCTTACCTACGTTCAAAGCTGGGAATAAGACTAGTGTGAAGACGATATAAAGCGTACTGAATCGTCAACTCACATAGCGTGGCGTCGTTAATATCGAACTCCTCGGAGTTAGGAGTTTAGTTATGAATAATAAACGACGAAGGAGAGAAATAAGAAGTTGAAAGATCTTTTCGTAAGTTGATTCATCTCATCTCATCTCATCTCATTTCTCACCTACACCACCTTTTCTTATTTCTCGCCGTCCCTCGTACTTGTGCTACCACTACATGTCGCCTCATCGGCCAATCCCTGTCCAATGTTTTCATCCTTCCCGGCTCGAGCTGTCGATCGTCGATCGCCCAGTCCAGACCAATTGTCTACTTTCCTACTGCCAGTCTAAAAACCCCAGACGTTAGCAAAAACGGCAAACGGCGAACGGCAGGAGGGTTCTTTACCTAACTCAAACATCCCCCCTGGGTGAACCTCGAAGCTGGGAAAAAGCAAATCGTCAGCACTCGCGAGGTGGAAAAAGGTTCGTTCCGCGGAAGTTCTCGGTGTCGGGATCATCAATATTACATCATTAGCCCATCAGCCTGTGAGGCTGCGAGTATCCGAAACACCCCTTTACGCATCATCTAATACATACGTCCTTAAGCAGTCTAAGACACGTTCTCTCCTCCCTAGGTCTCCAGTCACACAATCCCGCCTTACCCAGGTACTCGACCTGCACATGAGGACATGACATCTCCCGTTCCTGGTATCGGTTGGCAGCCAGGATTATCAGATCTCTCTTACCGGTCGTCTCGGTCTGGCCGAGTACGTTTTACGATATACCGCGCCCTATATTCCCGTACCTACCTAGTCAGTAAGGCAAGTGTACAAGGAAGTCGCATAGAATTATTCGTCAACCATGTCGGCGTACATAGCGACGGCGAGACGGGGTTCCGCCCACGAGATCTCGCCCGTGTCCGAGACGACGCCGGACTCGTCGCCCGGGCCGTCTCCAAAGCGGCACTGCCTCCAGGGCCCTCCCCCTTACAGCGCGATCGATGCTGCCGCCGCCATAGGTGGGCTGGCCGCCCGCGCGTGCGAGAAATGCCGGGCTTCTAAGCGCAAGTGTGACAAGAGGCTGCCCTTCTGCGACCGGTGTAAAAGGTGCGGTATACCCTTCCCGTCCCGTCCCGTCCCTTCCCTTCCTACTTCGACAAGTTCGGCTCGGGTCCCTGCAGCAGGTGTCTCTAATCCGGATGTCGACGTATTATATACCACTCTCTAGGCATCCCGCTATCCATCTATCTTACCCTACCCCCCCCTTTAGGGACGTCCTACCTACCTACCTGCCTGCCTGGATACGCGCAAGGATACGAGCCCGACAAGAAAGCTGACCAAGCCGAACAGGCTAAACGCCAAGTGCCAATACGTGCACGACATCTCCAGCAGCGCGAACCCGCACGGGGCCCAGTTCGTCATCTACCAGCCGCGCCCGCTGACGCACGACCCGCTCCTCCGCGCGCCCGAGCCCCTCGACGGCATCTCCGCCGCGCAGCTGCTGTCGCTCGTCCCCGCGGGCGCGGGCGCGGGACACCCGCCGGTCGACTGGCGCGCCGCCGTCACCAACTACTTCTTCTGCGTGCACCCGTGGTTCGCCGTCGTGCACCCGGCCGTCTTCGAGCGCCAGGCCGCCGCCCTCGTCGCCTCTCTCGCCTCCGGCTCGCCGCCGGGCGATAGCTACAACAACGCCATTAACAACAACAGCAATAACAACAATAACAATAATTACACGCCGCCCTCGGTCCCTAACTCGCGATCCAACTCGACGTCGACGGCTTCGCGCCGCGATTCTGTTGCCGGCTTGAACCTCACCCCTAGCTTCGCGGACGCGCTGACGACGGCGTGTCAACAGCAGCAGCAGCAGCAGCCGAAGACGACGACGACGACGAGCACGGACTGGTCGTCGAAGACGGTCGCGCTGCTGGTGCTGGCGATGTACCTGAACACGCGGATGCGGCTGACGGTGGATGCGGGGGAGCAGCCGATATTCGACGCGACGTACCGGACGGTAAAGCGGCTGCTGTCGCCTCTGCTCCTGGGCTGCGTCGGGGACCCGCGGCCCAGCGTGGAGCTGGTGCAGGCGGGCGCGCTGCTGGCGCTGTACGAGTACGGGCACGGCGAGATCGTGACGGCGTACCGGACGCTCAGCCAGGCTGTGGTTACGGCGCGCGTCATGGATATTAAACCTGGGCAGATTGCTGATGGTGTGGATGATGACGCGCTGATGCTGAGTGTGGAGGAGGAGCAGATGGGGTGCTTGTGGTGGGGGATGTTTATTCTTGAGCAGTGAGTGTTGCTATTTTTTATGAAGTAACCCCCCCTTTTTTCCCCCAGGTTGTGTTGGGTTGGGTATGAAGTGTACGAAGGGGATGTTTGCGGGTTTTGGGGATATAAGATACGACAACCCGACGAATATTGAATATGGTTGCTTTTAATATAGGTTTCGCTATACTAGTACTTACAAAGAAAACCTAGATCGATTCACCAAGACGAAGACGCCAAAGACCTACCCTTCCTCCTCGAAACCCCAACGCGCAACACGCTCCTCCCGGAAACGCCGCCGATGACGCCTCCGCCGGACGGCCGCAACTTCCCCGTGTCTCCCCCATCGTCAACAACGGCGACGACGGTGACGCGGCACCTAAGCACAAGCGTGCTCGTCAGCAGCGAGAAGTTCGGCGGGTTCCAGCTGTCGGCGAAAGCAGCGACACTGTTCCACCGCGCGATCCGCATCGACAAGGAGCGCGACGAGAGGCCCGGGAAGATGCCGCTCGTGGCCGCGTACGCGGACCTCGACCGCGAGATCCGCGAGACTACGCTCACGCTGCTGAACAACACGCTGGATTGGGAGGGCGTGCTCGATTGCTTCGCTATGCTTGTTAGCGCGCTTTTCATTCTTTACTTGCCGTATTTGGCTGTGCTTGAGAGTAGCTGTAGCAGCGGTATGGATGTAGAAATGGGGATGGGCGATTTACCGCTCCCGGCGCCGCCGGAGACGTTGCATTCTTACTCGTCTGAGTCGTCGAGCGAGTCGGCCGAATTCAGCGGGGCTTCTTCTTCTTCCGCGGCGGCGGGCGCGACGATAGACGGGATTCCGGGCTCGCACTCCGGTTCGCGCTCGGGGTCGGGGGCAGGAATAGGAGTAGAGACGGGATCGTCGAGCCCGGCCGACGCGATCCTGCGATCGAATCCGGAGCTCGACACGGCGGTCATGGCGCTGCGCTTCGCGTGCAAGATGTCGACGGACATCTCGTGCAAGCTCAACGCGGACTACGGCGCGAACCCCAAGTCGCCGGCCCAGCTGTGCGCGCCCGCCGGCGCCACGTGTTACCTGGTGATCCTCGCGTTCGCGAGCCTCGGCCGCATCTTCCCCGACAACAGGGCCGAGTGCCAGGAGAACATCGCGGAGAAGTTCGAGAGCTTGACGCTGTTTAGTTTTCGGTGGGGTATTGCCGGTTAGTGCCTATTCATTTTCCCTCTCTTGTTAAGTTTACGTTGGGTTTGGGGAATAGGGATTACAAGTCCTAGATGCTGGTCCTATGATACCGTCCCCTCCCTTGGCCCTAACTTGTTCGAGAGAAGTCCGGGTGTCGCAAGTTGATATTGCAGGATTGTGCAAATATGCTAACCAAGATCACAGAGAAAATGATGTCACAGCTCGAAAAGAAAATAGGCGTGGATCGAAGGCAGTATCTGAAAGGTTCGAAAATAAGACCGCCGACATATGCCGTGGCTTTCGACTTCGGTCGACAGTGACAAGACGCTTTCCCCTGGGGTGCGGGTAGGGTTCGTGTTTGTTGTTGGGTGTGATGTTTAGGACTTACGACGGAGTATAACGTTCGCTTATCTGTTATGGAAAAAGACCTACGACCTGGGCTCGGAGGTTTAAGCGGAAGACTACGATTTCTTCCGGAATGGCTATATTTCTATCGCTAGACGAAAGAGGATTTTGATGGGATATGTATAGGCGCTTTCTTTGGACAATCTCCTGCGCCCCTGTCTCTCTAGCTGGGTTGATCTCGGCTTATGGATATAAACTTGGTGTTTGGAAAGGGGCAGGTTATTTATTTGCAAAACATCCTTCCTACCCGAGTAGGTACACAGGACTACAGCACTAAAGGTACGGATTATACAGGTTTCAAATGGCACGGAGGATCTATTTTTCTAGGACTCTTCTCAGAACGGCGTTGGCGTGGTGGCGATAGTTATCTGAGGCCAAAAATTGATTCCAACTTTGATATATATTTATATATTGACCTACTCTCAACCATATGTGATATATATGTGCAGCATGTTCACATTCATTCCTCTTTGATTACGGGCGAATTTAGCTCACGACTCCTCCCTGAGATCCCTATACCAAGGCAAGTATATAAACAACGAAGTGTCATAGTTAATCCACCCACTCTTCTACATTCGTAACCCCACCGAGGTGTATATAATTCAAGATCGGCAACAGTCGCTCCTAACTATTATAGAGAGTTACGGCGCAGCATACAACTTCTCCGCTTCTCCTCTTCCTCTCCAAGTTGCCAAGTAAATAGCAAATGTCTCACGTCAGCCATACAAGACGCCCACTTCACGCCCATGGCCTTCATCCCTCTCTCCAACATTCCACGACTAAAAAATAACAACTACAACCCCCTCACCCTTGTTACCCTTTACCAGCGATCTCCCATACGCAACTTCTCTACTCCGGTATCACGAGCGAAGGAAAACCTAAAAGCACAACTAGATTCTCGTCCTGAGACGCACGGTATATAATGATGCTACTACACATACTACATTCTTAATAAATGTACAACCCCATCTTCCTCTCCATCCCTATCCCAATCTCTCTACTCACCCGCAGCAGTAGCCGCGACCAGACCAACCTGTTAAAGACAAAACAAACGCGAATACAGGCTCTAAGGGGTTGGTATCGTATCATGACCACTCCAAACAAAACAAAAGCTCGAAACCCTTAGGAAAACGACACGGACAGGATAATACAAATCTCGTCGAGAACACCCGGTTGCCAGGGTTACCACCGACATCCCGGGATTCCGTGATCGCTTCCTATAATCCCACCTCTATGCCCTGATGTCATAATCATCTAGGTACGTGGTACCTAAGCACCCAATATATACCTAGGGAAAGACGGGGGAGGGGGATACGGGACCTTCGTGCGGGGCATCCGAACCCCATACGTAAGCGCGACAAGGTATATGCGCCCGAAACCTCTAACCCAAACGCCTGTCAAGTTAGAAAACAAAACGCCGGATAAACCCAAGGAGAGACGACCGTAGTCATTCGACAGAAGAAGAAGCGTGTCATAACCCGTTGCTCCCCACGACAAGCACAAGTAACATGCCGTTGAGCGCGCACACCGCCACAAACGCCGCCCACACGGCAAGCGTGTAGAGGAAGCCGACGGGGTACCGCCGGTACAGCATAGCTCCCAAGCCCATGCAGGAGCAGAACAGGCTCGCGACCGAACCGACCGTGACGCCCGCGTCGACCTCGAGGCGCATCTTATGACGGCCCGTAGCGATCAAGATCCCCGAAATAGCCAGTAGGATGAAGGCGGTGACGAAGGCCAGGATCACGGCGCGCGTGAGTACCTTGTCATGGTACAGGGCGATCTGGTAGTCGGAGCCCTCTTCGGTGGCCGGCAGGGCGGCGTACTTGGACTTGTTTCTGCGGCCGATGCTCGAGTTCAGGGATGACGCGTACTCGTCCTCGGTCGTTTCGTTGTCGGTAGTGTGGGCGGTGGCCGAATGACGAGTGCTGAAATAATCGACTGGCGACTGCCCGCGGCCGGAGAGAAGCGATTGCCTTTCGGACGAGTGCGGCGAGCGCGTCTTAAGCCACTGCCGGACCTTATCCATCGGCGCCGTGAACATGGTCTTAACGTAGACGAATCCAGGAAAGTCCGCGTTTGCGTTTGGGTCAATGTAAAGTGCGTATCCACCCTCCTCGTAATCCCCCGCTTCGCTGCCGTGGTCATATTCGTTCCAGTACGTCATCGATGAGCCTCCCGGTGTGCTCACGGACGAAGACTTCGGCTTCCGTGTTGGGGACGATCGGCGACTGTGATTAGGTTGTTCGGAATTCGCTTTCTGTTTCTGCTTCTGTCGCTCGGCTTGGAAAGAGTCGATATCGGGAGAGGCGGCCTCCAAGGTGGTGAGCAGCTCACGATGTTGCAGTCGAAGGGGGGTGATGTCGCGCCTCGTAAAGCTCTTAGGTGAACTTAGGATGTTCTCCTTGAAACGACTACCCAACGTTGTCGAACCGGTCCATTTCTATAAGGTTGAGTAAAGGTTAGCGCTGTGTCATAAGCAGGCGTAGGTTTCTTCCCGCATCGGCACACAAAGTTAGGTGTAGGAGCATACCCTGTACTTCTTCAGGATCTTCCGGAATGCTATTATTTGGGCGTTAACAAATCGGCTCAAGGCCTTGATGTCGTCGTCGCATTCGTCGATTTGTAGAGCATACTTGGCCAACCGCCGTTGTCGCTTTGGGGACACACCACCTGCATTGTTGCATCGTACTATAAGTTGGTGTACAGAGTCGGAGAGGTGACCTGAACAGCTGATGGTTAGTTGATTGTCATATGCCAATTGACTTTGTTGTGGCGTCGGGAGGGCTTGGTAAGACTTGGCAAAACTCACGCAGGCGCCTCGAGATCTCGTCTGCTTTGCTTGTGACAAAGAGACCGACCCGGTTATGTTGATTGCAGAGCTCGAAGTAGAAGGCATCTTCGAATCTTTTCAGAGCATAGTCCTGTTGTCCCGGAATTGCTATGGCGGTAGCCTGGTCTTTCGTCGTATGCGCCTTGATTTGGTGTTTGAGCGAGTTGTAATCGATATTGTGTAGACCCCAACTTGGAACCGACTCTTCCTCAAAGTGTTCCCCGTATTTCATCGTCGATAATTCTCACGATTTGAGCGACGCCACCGCGGTCTAAATAGCCGCTGCGACTCTATTTCGTCTTCGTCAATAGGCAATTGGTCAAAGTCCCGGCTCTTCCTATGGGTACGGCACGAATTGAGTGCATTCGGTGTGGATAGAGAAAGATTGGTCGATATCGATGTCGGTATCAATGGGACTTTTTGTTAGTTTTTATTCGTTTGTTTGGAAACGGGAAGGACGGTGATAAGAGTACTGGTGGTGTGGGGAAATCGGGAGTTTAGTATGTCTCAGTGCTCGGACCTTGGACCGTTCAACCTTCGTTTTAATCTTCCATGTGCAATAATAAGAATATGACGTTATGTGTCTTATCCGTCTGGTCTGGCCTGGCTGAGCTGGGATGGTACGAAGAAGATACGATACGTAGGAGGCCCTCGTTTCTTGGTGCCACCTGCCTTGGCTAGTGGGTACCTATACGTAAGTACCTGCAAGAATAAACCTTGGAATCGAAAAGGTGGACAGAGATAAGTCGGGATGTCAGGATGTTTAGTCTGTACCTAGTCTTTAGAAATGTTTATCTGCACAGACAAAATATTCAGATATTGATCGTCACTTTTCGGGTTCTAAGAGGAGCAATTGGGTTTCAGTGACAGGTTTAGATAGAAGAGCCTAGAATTCTTCGAAGTTCGAAAGTCAAGCGAATGTGAATGTAGATGTGAAGATCAACCGACGAAGGCGAAGAGAAGAAAATAAAGGTCAAAGTGGTCTCATTATTTACAGTAGCGCCGAGCTATGCAGTTTTTATTTTTAAGTATTATGCAGTCTCTATTTGTATTCGGCCGGGATTCCCTTGAATGAAACGCCCCGGAGAAAGAATCTCGAGATTTTCGGACGGTTCTTCGTCCCGCTAGACGCCTACGATTTCCGAATTCATCCAATTCAACTATCTTCTCTATTACATATCAATGCCGGGACACACCTTGATCAGCCTTAACTATTCTAGGCATTAGACTCTTCTTGATATCTTAGCGGCTTATACGTACCTACACCAGGAACTATAGCGGTCTCGGCCCCTGCGCTGATCTCATCCAGACTCACCAGCACTACTTCTGCTATCTGGGTAGATACTATATACTAAGGCCTACTTGATACGAGACGGTTTGATGAATATCACCAGATCTACCCTCACGTCGTTCTATCGCTCCTTGGCACCTTACGTCTTTGTTCTCGCTACTCCCCCAAGCTGCGGTGAAAGGTTACAGCTGAAATTGCTCACATGCAGGAAAGAATATGTAATTGATTGTAAGTGCAACCATACTCTCGAGACGAGATGATGTTGGCAAGGTAAATCAATTGGACCGGAGAAAGACTTAAATGCTTATAATTCATTATATGCAAGTTCTCATTGCATCTAACGAGGCAGCTACAAGTCAAAGCCGTAGAGGCAAGCTTATTCGTTAAATACCCAGCAAGACCCTGGTTTTAGTATAGCGAGACATGGATTTTGATCGGATCTGATTGGACCATAATGTTTAAACTCTTGTCCTACACTACACAATATGTACCATTACCTAACAGCCGGGTCTGATAGTACATGTATGAATTAGCCTGCATAAGCAGGTATTACAGGTTCGCTTCATAAACGTAATCCGCTTTCAATGTTGGAATTCAATGTTTCGATTGAGATAGACTGCAGCAACGATGCTGTCGTCGTGCAGCTCCTTCCCCTCCAATCAGAAACCTTATATCCAACACGTGTGCTTTCACCGCTATATAATAGGTCTTGAGACATTCTAAAAGCTCTTCCACTTTTCATTCCCGATCCCTTCATGTTACCTAACACTACCCTTACCACCCCTCCCCATCCGTGCTCTCTTCACCGTTAAGGCATACTGACCAGATCATTGGTCACGCGACTAATTGCTTCTTTCTGTGTGTTGTCGTATTCATTTCGCAGAAAGAAGCGGGAAAGCTCCATCCCAACTCCATTCTAACTGCGCTACAACACTACGAACTGCAGCCTTTTTTCGTGCCATCCGCTATGGACACTTATGGACTATGGCGTTCTAGAACCTTTACCGTCGAGATTTCTTAGGTCTCGTGCCCACTTGCCAAAAGCATCGCCACGACTATCCCGATGATGTGGGCAAAGTGGATGGCTCTTGAGTCCTCCACAGGAGGTCCGCGAGGATCATCGTACTAGTGCAGATGAGGCGTTGGGGTTAAGTTCTCCATGAAAGTGTTTCATGAAAAGGAGGGCTTGTGTAAAACGCGATTATATATGAGCAAGGGATTGTCACAACTTTTACTGCGACGTCGTTTCGGTTGTATACACGCGGTAAACTGCATGTTACCAAATCTCGATTCTCTAGAGCGCCACCTTAATTCTCAACTCTCACAGCCCACATCATCTACCGCCATGATTACGAATTACGGTATGCGTGAAAGTTGTCTAAGTAAAAATCACATTTGGAGCAGACCAGATCGGCTGGACTTTCTATAAAGGTCTCGTCTGAACGGGGAGCCATTCCGGTTAAGCAAGGGTTTGCAGGAGGAATTCTGATGGCTGCGATACACGGTAAAAGTTCCATAAACGACCACTACCACCACCGGGTCCTGACATTACCGTCCATCCATATGCTCGTCTCAAGTAAGACCGAGCCGCAGCATGCAGCATCGATTAGTACGAAAAAAATCGAATTTCAGCTTCCCCAATTCTCCGAATTCGCTCTGGCCTTAACTCGGGGAAAAGCCTTACGAGCCGTACTTCAGATCTACCTAGTCACGAAATAGGTATTTACCAACTAGGCGTACCCGTCGCCCACGCGATCTACAGGGTACATGCTGGCTATATAGAGCCGCATCTGAGCCCTAGCTTCACTCCCGGAAATCCGCTTCAACTTACGCATTGCTACTATTAGTCATAAATTGTTGTTAGGTAAGGGTCTGGAAGCTTTCCAACAGGAACGTCTTTAGTCTCTTTCTTAGGCCATTGGTCCAAGAACGAGAGGAAATGCCAAGCCAGTTTGTCAAGCGAGTTACTAGGTTGGCAGGCTGGAAACTCGCGTCGTTCTGATTTCTCCACGAGATGTCCGAGATACAGGCAACTGAGACAGAACGATTAAGAAAATCTCAAGACGTCAGATCAGTTGCCGAGCGGCTTCGGAACAGCTACGCTGACGTGCATGGCTTGCCGGTTAGTAACTGTGGAATGTGATCAATCACACCTTGTCTATTCCCCTCATTGTCCTTTTCCATACAATTATTGCGCTCCCTGCCCACCTACCATTTCGAATTCAAATTCTCCGCGCGGCTATCATCCACTACGCAACATGAAACGATGGGGCTGTAGGGTGCTCATTATCTCGCAACACATACTATGAAGATCGACAAATACTCATATTTCTTAGATACCCGCTCGTCAAAGCCGGCCTAATCAGCCGCAGCTGCCGCTATGTCAATCCTACCCACTCTGAAAGCCACCTAAACGGTTAAAAGATCGCAGAGTAGGGGTAGGGGTGGGATAAAGCGGGGGCCAAGAAAGATCGTGAGACATAAACCTAGCTACCTGGTAAGCCTCTGTCTAGACTAATTCTTGCGCGGCATCCATTAAGGAAATTGCTCGTGTGCCTCTTGTGTATGGCAGAAAATTTCACGGCAGCTTTTGCGATCACGCGTTCGCCCAACGCTCCAAATGTTTGCGTACGATGATAGCTGAGAGACAATGTTCTGTTACGCGCAACTGCATATTCCGTTGCCTCGTGATCTGATTACACCCTCCGAGGCTCCGACAATATCGAGTTCGATTCTAGATTCTCCACTGAGAGGAATGGGTGTGTTGAACCTATCTAGAAGAATGAGCAATAGATTTCGTGATCTAATGGCGGAAGATGGTTGCGCGCTGACGAAGAATGAAAAGTGCATCCGCTGGGCCAGGGCCAGATGACCTTACGTGGCGCTTCCCTCGCGCTCGTCTTCATCGGGCAGGTAGGTAGGTTGTAGGTTCATGGACGAAGGGTTACGCGTTGGGTCCCATGGCCGTCTCAACAAGCGTACTCAGCATATATCTTTTACGTAGTACTTGGGTAAAGGAAAAGAGATTGTCAATATCGAAGCAACAAAACAAGCTCATTCTTCTAGCAATCAACTGACTGACTGCAATCCGATATTCACTTGATGCTTCTATAGGAAAGAGGAAGTCTATCCTCCTAGATGCAGGTGGACATGGGCCTTTAAAAGTGAGTTAGGTAAATGATGAGGAATAATGCCCAGGGCTGCTTATATAGCAAGAGTAAAACAAAGCTTTGTAACGCAATGAACCGTACCTAAGCATAGAACGGAGTAACTACATATGCGCACCCCCTTTTTGGTTACTCCTATAGCTCCGTTCGCAAGGTAGCAAGTGATACTATTCTGGTAACATCGTAACTCATACTTCGTGAAGAATCCCGAAGGTCTCTACTATTCTATGAGTTATATAAATACAGCACGATATCCACACTTCAGGGGAATGAAGTACGGTGGTTCTGCCGAAAAGGCTTAACTCCCCTTTCACCCAGGCTTCCCTTTCCCACGAGATTGAACGTACAAACCTACCCTCAGCCCCAATCCAACCTCAGCCTTCACTTTTTATTCCCACCCACGAACTTAAACCCCACCCCCGACCTCCTCCTCACCAACATCGGCCCTTCCTTCGCCTCCTTAGATCCCTCCACCAGCCCGGGCTCCTTAAACCGTATCTTCCCCGCGTTCACGTCCGGATACACGTCGAACCGGCGCTGCGTCGACAGCGGGATGTTCCGCCTCGTCTCCGCGATGAGCGCGCCGTCCAGCTCGCAAGAAACAATCTGCTCGCCCTCGCCCGCCTCCTCGAGCACGCGCGCCATCGGGTCCACGACCAGCGTGTGCCCGTACGCGCGGTACGACGCTTCCTCGTCGCGCGCGGGGCTGCACAGCGCGACGTACATCTGGTTATCCGTCGCGCGGGCGCGGCCCAGAAGAGTCCAGTGTAGGGGCCCCGTCGTCGTGTTGAAGGCCCCAGGGTACACGAGCGCGAAGGCGCCGCGCCGCGCCGCGATGGTCGCGAGCTCGGGGAACCGCACGTCGTAGCAGATGGCGACGCCGATCCTGCCGTACCCCGGCAAGTCGATGATGGTGACCTTGTTCCCCGGGAACAGGACCTCGCTCTCGCGGAAGACGATCTTGCCCGGGATGTCGATGTCGAAGAGGTGCACCTTGCGGTGCGTGCCGAGGAGCGCGCCGTCGGGGCCGAAGGTCAGGCAGGTGTTGTAGTACTTCTTCGCGGCCGGGTCCGGGTCCGCTTCCGGGATCGAGCCCCCGACCAGGAAGACGCCGGCTTCGGCGGCCATGGAGGAGAGCGCGTGGTAGGATGGCGCTTGCTCGGGCGTCGGTGGGGAAGGGAGCAGAGTCTCGGCGTAGGAGGGGAAGTACTCGCATCCGTACGGCGAGTTGAAGCATTCCGGCAGCACGACGAGTTTTGCGCCGTCGCGCGCGGCTGAGAGGACCATGTCCCGCGCGTGCGCGAGGTTGGCGGCTTTGTCCGGCCCGGAGGCCAGCTGGATGCAGGACAGCTTGAGAGACTGCACGAGCACGGGCGCGTTGGAGGTCGCCATGGTTCTCGCTTGTATCCTTGCCAGATGCGAGGGGATGCCGGTGTGCGTAGCTAGAGGTGTAAGTAGTAAAGGCTGGGTCGGGGTCCGGGTCCGGAAACGAGATGCGGTCGCGAGGGTGCGAGAGAAGGCTCTTAGGGACCTCGAGAAGCTTCTCATAGTTGATTGGCTCGTTATCGCATTCCTGGCATCGGCTTAGATCTTGGGGTAGCAGAGGAGATTGTATAGGGGTACGCGATAAGACCTTTCCTGAGCTTAAGTAAGCCCTGCGAGATCGGGAGCGCCGAGTTGGCGCCGTGTAACCTGATGCGGGGCATCGATTCCGGTTGGTGCATGTGGGAGATCCGATGTTAATACGGGGATATCGTTGTATCGGTGAAGCTATCTTTATTAGGTATACGTATCCCCTGAGTTTGGATAGTATCTTCAGAAACTATTTCGACTCTAACTAATCCCTCCTTTTTCTTTCCTATGATCACTGCTTGGCGCCAACTGGGGTTAGGAAGCAAGTATATTTGGATTCGTCAGAACCGTTATTCATGGTACAGGTACTTGTCGACGAGCCCAGCATCGGCAGCTTTGCCGGTGATTGATGGTTATCAAAGCTGTGATTCCACTGGGTACCGCAAGCAAGTACGAACCCATCGTGAAGCCACCCGACACGTCTTTGTGGTCGACGGACCACCAAATCGATATTCCAATACTAGCAATCAACGCCCCTATCTCAGCTGCCAACAGGTAAAAGCATGTGTATGTTCGTTTCTCTTCTCCATGAGCGGTTGATGCGGCGCCAGAGGAATGATATTCCAACGCTACCGGTTGTTGTTGTTGTTGCTGGGAGGATTGCTGGTTGATTTCAAGCCTATGACCATTCGTATGGAAGTTATCCGCATGGGCACCGCCGTTGCTTGTATATGGCTTGTCTGATTGCGCGTGGTTCCCAAGAGAGTCACCTCTAACGACGATTACCGTATCCCTTAAGGAGCTGACACCAGAGGAGTTGCACCGATTGGAGCTACCTCCAGAAAGCCTAACATGGAGAGCATTGAACTCCTCAAAAGTATAGCCATATAATAATGTAAGTTCTTTCATTAACCTTTCTTGTTCTCTTATTTCTCTATCGAATCGTCTGCGCAGGCGATTCAATACAAGCTTGATCTCACTAGGAGATTCCATTCCTTTGATAAGGCTGCGAAATCTGTATGGTCTCTTCCGCGTCTTCAACTCTCAACGCAGAGTGATTCAAGAAACTGTCGGATATAAAAATGTCGAGATTTATCTGTGAGGCGATTAGGAACCAAAAGTGCTAACACCATGAAGGACTCTACATCAGTGATGATTTCAGCCAGGTTGGATTATAGCCTTTGCGCTCACCTTCGTAAGAAGCACCCACAAAAGAAATCATACACTCGAGTCGGTCACGAAGTTATGACGTCTAACAAACGGTTCCACACGGGTGTAGGTATTACTTAGGCAAAGTTCAATATATTTTAGATAGTAAAATAGGTAGGTAACTATGTTCCAGTTGTGATTAAAACTGACAGCACGATCGAAAATAGCATAACATAGGTAGAACGTATGAGAAATTATGGGATATCAACCTATGTACACCTCCGTTTACAGCAGACTAGGAAACATCCATACGGTGAGTCATCAAGCATGGCTAGTAATTGGCAAGCCTTTATCCCTACTTCATTACCTACCTAGGTAGGTACCCATATATTTTGCATATGAAGCGCCCCAGAGATACTGTAGTAACCTGACGGGCATACTTGGGATTAACCAATAACGAACTGAAGTTGGTGAGATTTTTAAAGTCTAAAAGCCTTATTACTACCTATGGGTGGCTGTGCTCGTTTGTTGGGCTGTTAATTTATCTGTTTAACGTCTGAGGCCTCTAACCTTCTAAGGGGTATGGGACGTGATAGGCATATATCTATGTACATACATGCATAGGGTACGTACATGAAATCGAACCATGCTTCAATAATCCAACATTCCTGTAGCCCTCTCCTCTACGCGTGGTTCTCTAAGCTGCGAAGCCTTTTGTCTTTGATGATGACAGCATGACCGAACGTCACGCATTACCAATCACAGCTTCGCCCGAGCAATTCTGCCAGTTGCTCTAGATACTTCTTGTCTACCTCATCGAAACCGCTAAGGTCGGCGCAGTCAATATCGATGATAGCAACCAGTTTCCTCGCCTTTTCCCCGTTACCCTCTGTTTCTACAGTAATAGGGACCACTATCTCACTCTTGCTATCCCCATCGCATGCGATGTGGCCCGGGAACCGCTCGACATCCGGAACCAACTGCGTCGTCTGAGTCTCTGCTGCCGTGCCGCAAACCCCTTTCCCGAAAGCGATGGTCTGGCAGGCTACTTTGCCCTGGAAAGGGCCTAGAATAAGTTGCTGCTTTGATGACGCTGCCTGCGGGTCGAGTGTGTAAAAGCCTATGACGACGAAGTTATAAATCTAGCATTCACAGCAAGGCGCATTACTAACCCGCCCAATTCACCTGGTTACTCGGCTGCGGCAGTGACTTGTAGGCGTGCCATAACAGGGAAGCCGCATTGGCGAGATTGCTTCATAAGCGTCATTAGTTGATATTCCAGTCTAGAAGGCACTCCTATTCTGAGACGTACCACACCTAAAGATGAAGCATAAATACGAGTTTAGTGCTTAAACGTTAAAGGTAGGAACATACCCAGTTTCTTTGACCTTCAAAGAGACCTTCGGCCTGTAATAGTACTTGAGTGTAAGCTTCGTCTTTCGTCACCCCCTCAGCAAAATTCGACGCATTGGCATGGACCTGATAAGCATCAGTATAAGTTGGAGGTGGAATCTCTAAGCTGGATTAAAGCTTCCGAACCATTTTGTGGCTGTCCGATGCCGTCTCGAACCTCAAAGTTCTAAAGGGTATAACGTTTATACTAAGAATAATGAAGCCGTGTATAAGTGTATCGTGGTTTATAGCAAAAATTAGGTAGTGATATATATAAGAGCGTAGATTGTGATTCGTGAGGGAAAAAACGGGTTTCATGGCGAGCGAGCACGCGATCGTTAGTTGAGGGGTCCACTCCAAGCCCGTGGTAAGCCCTACCCGCTGCCGAAACCTTACCCATATTTCCGGGTCTCATAAAATTGGGAAGTGTCTATCCGCGGAACACGGAGGTGCCGGTCTTTCCTCTGGTGCTGCCGTACTTTCCTCTTAAGAGCATCCGTTACCGTAACAGATATTGGAATTGCTTGTGATAAGTTAGAAAATAGGCTATATTATACCCAATCGTAGAACTAGAGAACTAGGTAGGTTGTATAATCAAACATTGGTTAATTCTCATAACCGCACTTCTATGATGGCTTTAATCCCACCTCCTCAGGCCTTGAGGCCATATTTTTCAATGAGAGGATCGATTAGGTTCTCACCCAACGCCAGTCAGTTGGAGATAGGTTCAGATGCTAATGGTTGTGTAACCTCTGCATTATCCGGGGTAGACAGGGTACCCATCTAGTTGTACTCCTATTGGCGGAACGATGCGGCGGGCGGCAGGAAACCCCCTGAAATCTAGATTGTACAAGCATTGCCCTTCAGATCTTGGAGTCCAGATTAAGTAGCATGTCTTCTCTCGGAACCAGACGTCCCGGATATCGCGACGAACCTATTATTCTTGACAGATCTGCAGATATGGACGTCTTCTCTTTTTCTCATGCGTGCAATTCTAATTGCCTACGTTAGTCGAGACTCGAACTTCCCAGTATAGATCATCCTCTAGAATATTTTGTCGGTGATAATCTAGAGTCTTCGTAGGTATATATCATAAGAATGGGACAAATACGACCACGACCAAGATGACGTCGATACTCCGAACCCCCCAACGCGTTCCAACATCCAGCGCTCGTCTTCGGCAGGTCGTCGTCATATCCGTCATCTGTCTGGCTCTATACTGCTTCCTTCTCGTGCCAGACCACAGCCTCGACTCGTCACGATCAACCATCGTCGACACCTTTCCCCAATCCCATCCTCACCAGTCCAACACCGATACCAACCCAAAGTCAAGTCCGGCATGGATATCAAAACACCCCCCCTCCCTCCTTAACAACCGACACCTTAGCACATCCCAATGCGCCAGCGCCTTCCCCGGCCTAACCCACGAGATCTCCCTGCAAGTCTCCAAAGGACCCTTCACCCTTCCCCGACGGCCCCATGACCTCGGGCCGCTCATAGCCCGCATCCGCAACAACCAGCTGTCCATCCTATCCTACGCGCGCAAATCCGACCTCTCAGCCGAGATGCTCCAGCACCGCTCCGCAACGCTCTACCAGCTCGCCACGGCGCTCCTAACCGCACCGGCAGACGAACCGCTGCCCGACACCATCCTCGCCATAAACCACGAAGACGACCCGATCTCGCCCTCGCTCTCCTACTCGCGGCCCGCGGACCCTACCTACGACAGCAGCACAAAGCGATACTTCGCCATGCCGCACTTCAGCCAGTACTCCTGGCCCTCCCCCACAATCCATTCGCTCCCCCACGCCGCGCGCCTCATAACCAGCATCGAATCCAGCCTCCCCTGGCCCTCCAAATCCCCTCGCGCCCTCTGGCGCGGCACAACCTGGTTCAACCACCCGCGCGCGGGCCGGCAACGCCAAGCCCTCGTCTCCGCCTCGCGCGGTAAGCCGTGGGCCGACATCGAGGCCCTGAACGCGAACGGCTCCAACGCGGTGCCGATATGGGATTTCTGCCGGCACCGGTACATCGTGCATACCGAGGGGCTGACGTACTCGGGGCGCTTCCACTTCCACCAGCTGTGCGCGTCCGTCGTGCTGAGCCCGCCGGTCGCGTGGATGCAGCACCTCACGCACCTCGTCAAGCCCGTCTTCAGCGCCTCTCTGCCGGGCGTCGCGCGCGCGCGCCAGAAAACCTCGGAGGAGCCGGAACTGGAGCTGGCACAACAGTACCCCGCGCCCTGGGTTCAGTCCGCGTGGCCGCGCTCTTACGACCCGGAGCGCGATGCGAACATCTTGTTCGTGGCGCCGGACTGGTCGGACCTCGAGTCCACGATCGAATGGCTGGAGCGGCACCCGCGGATCGCCGAGGGCATCGCGCGGCGCCAGCGGGAGCTGTTCGACGGCGGGGGGTACTTCAGCGGCGCGGCCGAGACGTGTTACTGGCGGGCTCTGATCCGGGGGTGGAGCGAGGTCGTGAGGGTCGACGAGAACGCGTTTGATGATTTGGAGGAGATACCTTGGGAAGAGTTTAGCTTGAAGGAGATTCATAAGTAGGATCCGGATGGAGCTTTGATGAATCAAGGGGCGTGGAATGTCACGAAAACGTCGTAGGGCTGAGACATCGAATCTAGAAGATTACAAAATTAGAACTTTTACTGGAAGATCATTATTATGGTACACCTTGTGACTATTATATTATATACACACAGCAGCCCACCTCGTTTCATTACATGCTCCTTGCGCTTAAGCTCGCGAATGCGTCTGGGCTGTGCCGACCGTTATTCCAAGCCATCTCCATCCCGAGAGTCATGCTTTCCCGACTCCTTGCACCTGAAGAAGCAGAATTAAGATTACTGTGTGATGCAAACGGGCTCGGAGCTGTAGCTGCTGGTGTAGGTGCAGCAGGGGCTGCTGCGCTGTTCATAAAAGGATTTTTGGTTCCTGACAAAGGTGATGGAACGTTTTGTTGCGGAGGCGCCTGTGCGTGTGCTGACGTAGGAAAAGGGTTCGTCTCTGTGCTGGGTGTGCTCTGATCCTGGTTTTGCAGCTTGGTCGGAGCTAGCTGAGGATAATTATATAGAGCCATGATAGAAGCCGTGTCGGCTCTTTGTGGCTGTTGCTGTTGATAAACTGGCTGAGGTTGACTTGCCACCTGCACCAGCGGCTGTGGGTCATACCATTGTTGCTGGGTTGACTGGAACTGAGGCTGGGGTTGAGATTGCGCCACAGGGATGGGAGATTGTGACTGCTGGTTCGTCGCAAAGAACGGGTTACTCACATATGGAGAATGGGGCGAATTGTAGAAGTTTTGCTGCGACTGCTCAGGGATCTGATTCAGAGTAGGCGACGCGATTCTAGTCGGTGACCTAGTGAAGGGATTGGTAGCAAAAGACCCTTGATTTTGGAACGGTGAGGTGTTCAACGACAGACTCGGGTCTGGAGTCCTGGGTGCTTGTAGGAAGGGGTTATATCCTTGTGGCGTTTGAGCTCGGGCAGTCGGTTGAGAGTAGGATTGGCTGTTATTATAGGAGAGTGATGAGAAGCTCTGGGTTTGCGGCATCGGAGGAGTCATGGACTGCGAATAAAACGACTGCGATATTGGCTGAGGAGTCGGCACTCCGCCGGTGTGGTGAGGGAAGAGCGCTTGCTGAGATGTCGGTGCTAGGGATAAGTTTTGTAGACTCTGGTTCATATTGAACTCGGCTTGTTGATTCGGCATTCCAAATGGGTTCGAACTTGCAGCGTAAAAAGGGTTCCTGTTCTGTAGAGTTCCCGTTGACTGCGAGGACTGAGGTGGTGCCGGTTGTATGTCCCAAGGGTTGTTTGACATAGTACTTGCCGGACTCGGTGCAGGAGGCGGGCTCGACTTAGATAGCCCAATTGGAGGTCGTGGCGACGTGGGTGTGGGCTGGGGAGTCAAAGACCTAGAGGAACCGGGTAGGGAACCATCGCGAGATGGTATAGGTAATGAAGGGCCTCCGCCTTCTCCAAGCCGCACCAGCGCTTCCACCGTCTTTTCAAGGTTACCATTCACGCCCTTCAAAATCATAGCATTACGTTTGTCGTCCATGAACCCCATGTCCCTAAGCTGCGTCAACTTTTGTGCCGTAGCCTCTGGGCTGTCTTGGTGTACACTAGCTCCGAAGACCTTGGACGCCTTGTTGCTCTGTTGGTTGCGTTGGGTATCATGGGAGCCGAAAGAATTCTCGCGCGTGCGCGTATCCTTCTTAGATCGGAAGGAGAAGAAACGACTACCTGTTTTGGGTGGCAGCGGCGGCGGAGTGCCTTCGTCAGAACTTCCAGTATTATGCTTCTTCGTGCCATTTACTGCTGCCGGCTGTATATACTTAGCCCGTATAAATCGTTCCATAGCAGAGTCGGCTTCGTCAGCATCGATGGGCATCGGAGGCTTCTTGTTTTGAGCATTGTAGATCTTGTTGGACGCAACGTTTCCCACTCGCTTCATGCTCTATAGGCACTGTTAGTCATAACCGACTCGGTTCTATCACGTTGAGATGCTGAGTCATTCGTACTTCAACCTGTTCATTCGACCAACTATCCATGCTAAGCGACTTAACCTTGGAGATATGCGTGCCCAACTTGCGATGGATGGCAGCGCATCGCATGCAAAGAAACACGCCCAACTACGATTATATTAGTTTCTGATTTGTCTTATTCTATTAAGGGATAAATGGTCTTCGCGGTCTTCGTAGTGGCTAGAGAGCGACGATAACGGGCATCTAATTAATTAAGCACGTACATTCCATGATGCCCAAGCTTAAAGGTGCAACGTCAGCCATAGGTTTCAACGGTGTTGGGAACGGGGAAAACAAAGCAGCAAGCTCCGTAAACATCACCTACCTGGATTTCTCGCTTGACAATCAGCGCAGAAATTGTTTCCCGGTACATTATGTACAAGTTCCTGCAATGCTTTCTCGTTTCGCGCCTGTTGGCGTTTGCTCATGAGCCCGGACATATTGGCGCTTTTGAAGGTAAGTTGATAATTGATGCTCTCGTGAGCATCAGTTGAAAACAACGAGGGTGGATTCGGTTACACTGGCGCCGCGGCTGAAAATTGGAAAAAAAGTCGGGCTTAGAATACTACAACCAACTAGGAAATTCGCGTGGAGGCTGGGAGACGAATGGGAGACGAATAGACGACTGAGGCCAAAGGAGCCAAAAGAGGGTATGTCGCTGGTTGATTATAGGTCAGGGGGTGTTAGTCCTCGATTCGGATTAGGGCTTCATCAGCATCCCATCAGCTGGTCAATTCATTATGATTTGAGAAACGAAGCGAGCAGGAAGAAGTAAGGGAATGGAGTCCAAAGTAGCACGCCCGCTAAATGCGAACGACCATGTCAAAGCCAAACTCATTCAAACTCCAAGGGCGTGAAAAGAGAAAAGATAATGAAAAATAACGAGAGGAAGTTGGAGAGAGGGAAAAAAAGAATTGTCTCCTAATGCTAAGTAAAGTCATTCTCTCCTCCGAACGGAATTTGAAGAAAGGATCGACGGGGCTCACAGACTTGGGTCTGGATCGCAATGACTTTCTAAAGAAGGACGACTAGCAGCTCCATAAAAAGAAAGGAGAACATTGGAGGCTTGACTGTACGAAAGTACTTAAACCTGCTCCGAACGTTAATCTTGTAAGGTTTCTAAGGTTTCTACGCAGTACAAGGTTTAGCTCGCCCGCTCTCTGGCTGCTTTGACTCGGCCTCTAAACCTGGTTAGGCTTAGCACCGGCTAACACCTAAATAACGCCTAACAGTTCTGGCAGTTTAAGCTATTATTAACTCTTTCAACTGTCGTATCGATAACTGCAAACCTGGAAGTTTGGTAGAGTTAGATTTGCTGCATACATGCAACTCTTTTGTGCTTTGACGTTATAAACTTCTCAGGCTTATCTGCATAATGCATATCATTTCTGACTTGAATGGGGTGGATATAACATTTTATCTAAGACATCCTGCCGTTTCTCACCTTCAATCTTGCTACTATAAACTCCCCTTACCCAATGACGCGTGAAGTTTCATTGTATGGATCAACCACGTCGAACACAGAGCTGCAACAGTCAATTCTCTTTATATGACTTTGAAATCTGGCTCAACCTTCATACCTTAGAGACCCCGCTTCAATCCAACGCGCCGAGACCGTATGCTATGACTTGACTCCCTAATTGTTACAAAGCAACTTTAACGCAATCAAGGGTGTAACCCGTATATACTAGTACACGCCGATGAGTCGAACTTTTCAGTGACAGGAAGAGAATTGAGGTCTTTGTCATTCCTCTTCGTCGATGAGATTAACAGAGGTGAGAGGAGACTTTGCTGTATGGATATCTCATCCCGCCCCTCATGTCATTACAGCCACCATACCTAGTGTAGGTAGCTCATCATCTTAATAATGAAGGATCCAATCCTCGCAGTACTCTGACGATCGCTTGGCACCATGTCTCGATTATTATTCTTGGCACTTAGAATATTCAGCAATTCAACGTCCCTGAATCCGTCGGGCCGATGGTATTAGGAAGTTATGGTTCGCCGTCCTAGCTTCCACTACCAAATCCAATGGATGATCTTGATGATTTTACTTGCAGAATAATTCGTGGGCACAGCAATAAGTAAGCTCTTCGCCACAAAAACTATATTCCTTTACTAGAAACGCGTTGAGGATACGGAATGGGGAATTATTCGCTCTTGGCCGGTATAGGCTAATTCGTTCTCGATCTTCAGCCCGAACTACTAGACTTACAGCTGAAGAACGGGTAGATATGTTCACGTTCAAAAGAAATACCTAAGTTAGTCTTTCTATATGCCATTCACACTACGAGGATACGATTCAAACGGTGCTGCTGGAAAGCCAGAGCCTTACAGATCCCTCTAGGATCAGTATTTGTCACCCTTGGTATCGCTATTGGTCTCTCAATTTTATGCAATGGTAGTATGTGTTTAGATAAAGACTTGCCAGTGTGCTAAACATCCGATACTAGTTGAATTCCTTGCTACGAGTCAAGTCGGCTACCTGTTATTTGACTTGTTTCCCGCAAAGTGCAGGATCTCCCATTCTCGCAGTTTGAAATAACTACACTCGTCTTTTCGGTATCAAGGCTCATTGTACATTGTCTATACTGGAAGCACTAGGGAGTGGTGGACATAGATATCATCCCAATGGCAAGGGCCAGAACCTCGCATACGCCTGACAACTAATTGCCTACTTAAAAAAACGATTCAGATGTATAGGAAAGGTAGGATCAACTCGAGCTAGGTATTATGCTGCTATTTCAGAATATTAAATATATAGCATCGTAAGACATATTGCACTGTAACATGCCTCATGCTTAACTGGCATTTGACATAGGGGTTCTAGGTACTCTACAATATCTAAAGCTATCACAAGAATATTATGTACGTATTTTCACGATAGGTCTTACAATACCTAGGTACTCGTACGAATCCATTTGTTACCTGACTTCTTCTTAGTATGATAATTAACCAACACCTTACCTCGAGGCTATACGTGGTTGAATTACTAATATAAGAATACCTAGCGAAATGTGGGCTTCGGACCAGACTTTAGTGTCTTACCCGCCGGATTACAGCATTTGGAGGCAATAGCTTGCGATCGATAGAAAAACGACGATGACCCAACTTCAAGCGGTCAAATAATGTGAAAACTAATGCTTTGAAGAATCAACTTCGTTCCAGGGATACGATTACATAAGATAAATTGTTTCTATTTCAACATCAGAAGGAATTTTCGCTTCATTCTCACTTAAGACCTTTCATTTGTCACTCACATCGATTAAACTAGCACACCTACTACCCCTTTGAACACTCACGAGAGGACGTATCTAAGCACAACTACCCCGTAACAGTATTGTAACATACAGAACCACTTAGACCACCGCACACAATGGACACCGAGACCTTCCTCACCAAATCCTACACGCAAATCCGCTCCGTCGCCGCCGTGCCGGCCGGAACCCAAGCCCGCACCCTCCCCACCTCCTCCGCGCTCTCCCTCGCCCGCTCATCCCTGCCCTCGCTCTCCCCCTCCCCCTCCCCCTCACCATCCCCATCCTCATCCTCTTCCCCTTCCAATTTACCCCCCCTCGCCCCCCTCGGCCCACAAGCAACGATCCAGCACCTCCTAACCGCCGTCGCGCCCGCGCTTCCGGGGCACAACCGGAGCGGGCGGTACTTCGGGTTCGTGACTGGCTCGTCGCTGCCCGTCGCCGAGGCGGCGGACAACCTGGCCAGCGCGCTCGATACTAGCGTGCAGGTGCACCTGCCCGAGCAGAGCATCGCGACCGAGGTCGAGGACGTGGCTCTGCGGTTGCTGCTCCGGCTTCTTGGCTTAGAATCAGAAACAAGCGAGGAGAAAGGGGAGGGTTTAGGCTGGGAGGGCCGCACGTTTACGACGGGCGCGACGGCGAGTAATATCCTGGGCCTGGCGTGCGGGAGGGAGGAGGTCGTGCGCAGGAGGTTGCCTGCCGCGAGCGAGGCGACGGTGGGCGAGTTGGGGATCCTGGGGGCGTGCGCGGAGGCGGGCATTAGGGAGATACGGGTCCTGACTAGTATGGGGCATAGCTCGTTGTCTAAGGCGGCTTCGGTGGTAGGTTTAGGACGACGCGCGGTTAAGGAATTGCCGTATAGCGAGGCCGAGCCGTGGAGGTTAGACTTGGATGCCGTTGAGCGGGAATTGAAGCGCACGGAAGAGGGTATCGCGAGTATTGTGGCTATCAGCGCTGGTGAGGTTAACACGGGCCGGTTTGCTACGACTGGGTTGGAAGACATGAGGAGGCTGAGAGAATTGGCGGATAAGTATCAGGCCTGGATACATGTCGACGGCGCATTCGGCATCTTCGCCCGCGCTCTACCAGATACAGACGAATTCGCGAAGTTGCGGGAAGCTACAGCAGGCCTCGAGCTCGCGGATAGCATTACTGTAGACGGGCATAAATTACTAAACGTCGTGAGTCGCATTCCTTTTACCCCTTTGATATCTAACCCTATCAAACACCTCAACCCATCCACCCTTCATCTTCTAACCAAAAACCTAGCCCTACGATACCGGCATATTCTTCACCCGCCAGTCCGCAACCCTACACGCCGTCTTCCAGAACCCGAACGCGGCCTACCTAACCCCCTCCGGCTCCGGCCCCGCCATCCCCAGCCCCCTAAACATCGGCATCGAGAACTCGCGGCGCTTCCGCGCGCTCCCCGTGTACGCCGTACTCCTCAGCGAAGGGGCGGCCGGGATCGCCGAGATGCTCGCGCGCATGGTGCGGCTAGCGCGGGGCGTAGCCCTCGCCCTCATCTCGGACCCGGATTTGAAAGACGACTACGAATTACTACCAGCCGACGACGCGGTCGAGAGCACGCACGTGATAGTCCTGTTCCGCGCGCGGGACGTGGGGTTGAACGGCGTGCTGGTGAGGAAGATCCAGGACTCGGGCGAGTGGTACGTGAGCGGGACGAAGTGGAAGGGGGAGCCGGCGTGCCGGATCGCGGTGTCGAGCTGGAGGGTGAATGTTGAGGAGGATTTGGAGTTTGTGAAAAGTAGGCTGGCTGGTATAGCGAAGGAGTGGAAGGAGGGTGGTAGGTGAAAAGGATAGGGGTAGAGCTTAGGTCAATCTCGGTGAGTGATAGGGAACAGTTAGAATCTTGAGAGATTTCGCGGGTTAAACGAAAAGGGATCTTGCAAAGGACTCCGGTCCCTATGTAATTTTATTAGATGCGTTGAGGAAGCGAGTCTCCTATCTAGATAGATTGACCGTTTGAGTCTTTTCTAACTTTGTAACTTGGAAGGACGCATAAAACTCTGTTCAACACTCGCAACATAGAAACCCTTCAGGCGTCTTATCCCTGCTATGAACGAGGGTCGGCACTTCGAGTATAAGAGCATGCCTAGCCTGATAGATGAGTTATACCCTATTGAATGGCTCCGATGTACCCTGTCCGCTTTCGAAAGACTGAACAATGAGAGCAAGGAACTAGCTTTATGTCGTCTCTCTTCCATATCGAGACTCAACTCTCTTAGCGGTGGTATGTTCGTTATTCGCAATGGCAGCCTAGTCTTCCGCGGTACTAGCCCTGGTCAATACGCAGGCGACGAACGCAGACCCGAAGCCTCGCATCCCACTTCACACATCACACGGCGTGAATCATTTGAATCTCTATCCCCACCATCAATCACCTCACCCAAATTTCCTCGTCCCACCCTTCTTCTTGTCAACGCCGTCCTTCTCCGCACCCTTAAGCCTGCCCTTGCCGATCAACTCCAGGTGCCCGGCCCTCTCGCCGAGCAGCTTCTCCGTCTTGGCCACCATGCCCGCCGCGAACTTCTTCTGCATCTTGTCCGCGGCGGACGCCTTCTTCGCCTTCGTCACGCGCGCGCCCTTCTTCGGGGGCTGGGGCTTGGCTTTCCTGCCAGCGGACGCGGGCGCGGCGGAGGATTTCTTGGATTTGATGGCGCCTTGGGCCATGGTTCCTTGCTGGTTGCTTAGGAGGTAGGTAGGTAGATAGGCAGTTACCTAAGCCTTGGGGGGTCGGGTAGTCGGATCAGTTGGATGGCGGGATGGTTCGTTGGGAGATGGATAACCTAGCCGAGTCGGCTTCTGGTCTTCTGGTTCGGACGTCTGCGCTTCCGTTCTATTTTTCTTCGTCGCTCACCACCAAATATTTGGGTTCGAGTCCTTCCAATTTTAGACGAGCAGTACCCGATTACCAAGACACGTATCGTACGACGACACCTCTTAATCGTCTTTTTCTTTTGCTCAACTCAACCCAATTCGAACCTCAAAACCCCTAATTTTGGAACCGTACACCTCCTCGAGACCGGAGTTACTCGTCGTCGTCGTTATTGTTGAAGAGCTTATGTTGGCGGTGGCAGTGCTCTTTCCGGAACCTTTCCGGAGAATCAGTGTTAGGTTATTTCCTGCGAACAGCAAAAAAAAAGTCTGCTGCTAGCGTCCCACTGCAGTAGTTAAAAAAAGGTACCCCACCCGCAGAAACCTTAAAAATCTCTCTAGCGACAAAGCGGGGCACTAGCTCCCGTCGCGCTAAGCCTCGCCTGTCTACCCCACTACAGCGAGCTCAGGTCCCCGGCCGGTGAACAACGTCTGCAAGCTGCCGGAAGCCCGGATAGCTAAGCTGCGGCAGGTACAAGGGGGCTGTGAAGGAAACGTCTAATATAGTTACTTTGTGTAGGTAGGTTATCTGCATGAGCATCGGTGATAATAGATCCAAATATATCTATTTAGTACTGTGATGTCCCAAATTGTAACTGAGTTGCACAAATGAAATCCGGACTCATCATGGTATTAGTATATGCTCTGTAAAAAGTACTTTGAGCTATTTTAGAAGCACCAGGTGGATATGTTCACTTGATGCGAAAATTGAGTGAAACGATGCTGTTGAAAATGCTACAACGATAGAGTGCTACCGAACAATCATCTCGGCTATGTTTTTGATCATTTCGATTCTGTTAACTGGTTTCCCCCAAGTCTACCAATTTGTAGCCCAATCTATGTATAGTACAGTATCCTCACACTTTAGCCTCTAGGTTAGCTATTCTACATATACAGAATTGACATACAGTGAGAATGCAGCGAATGCGTCCTGTATGCGAATGAAAAATGGGTATCGCATCACCATTCCTTCCGCCCTTGTGGTTTGAACTCTTTTAACTCCGAACCAACCACCCTTGTTTTCCTGTACCCAAAATCTGGATCATTTTTCCAGATGCCGCACATTAAAAAAAAATTATACATGTGCCCTTAAATATGATACATATTTGTACAATGCCACCATAATGGTAACCATAATGAAATAGAAGCGAAAGTAGTTCGACTGAAGCCGCAAATAGGGTATATATGATGCAGTATGACCAATGATAGGTAATGCAGAATGCCGCTAAAAGATTGGTTAAAGGAGAGAAAGAGAAAGCATGCTCCGTATACGACGCCGTGTAGTAATTAATAAACAGTTCAGATTGCAATGGTTCCGTCACTGTACGTTTAGGTACAGGTCATCGCCATGTCTTGTCGGAGTCAACTTCGGCTGCCACGTTGGCGTATGAGGTAAGGAGCCTTTAGGTGAAGAAAGACCAGCGGTATCTGGGGTAAGTTGGTCCCTCTGCATCTTCCATCGGTCCTTCTTGTTACCCGGGACGAGCGCTAGCGCAGCTGCCTTTCCATTACCAACTCGCTTGGCCAATAGCGCGCTAGTGCCTGAAGGCGCCGAGTCTTTTGCTTTGAAGCTGAGAGGAGAAACGGCACGCGCTACATGGGGACGTCCTTCCACATTGCCAAAGCGCGATGATAGGGGAGATGGTGTTGGAAACTTCTCAGAAATTGAAGGATTAGGCGAAAATCCCGAGCTAGTTGTTTGCATTGGCGGTGTTCGAAGTCTGTCGGGATGATTCGATTTCGAAAACTGTGCTTCGGCGTCGGGAGCCTTTGGTGAGAAGCGTGATAGAGGGTTCTGGGTTAGCGATCGGCCTTCATCAAGCCGTGGCCTTGGTAAATCAACCTCAGAATCTGGAACCACTGTACTCGGCGTTGGCGACTTCTGTGGTCGCCTAGTTTTCAGGGGTTGTGGATAAACCGAGCTAGTTCCCTCATCGAGGAGAGCAGCACCCTTTAATGTTGGGCTAGGTTGGCCTGGGGGTGAAGTCGCGAAGCTTGGTCTCTTTGGTAAATTGACTTGTAGGTCCATTCGGTTGAGCCGTTCTGAGATCTTTGGATACCTAATTGGCGTCATTCCAGGCGATTCTGTGACCGTTGAAAGATGGTCGAAAGGAACTTCTTCATCAAGTGGGCTAGATGAGCAAGTGTTGATGGTTGTAGCGGATTCATGAGTCATCATCGTGTCTGATCGATTGAGTTGAGCCGTGCTGCTCTTCTGGAATCGAGAGTTATTCCTCGTGCGGCCTAAAAATCGGGAATTCCGGCGAACAGCGCTGGCCTGCGAATAAACACTTGATGAACGGTTGAGTGGTTCATCGTTATGCTCCTGGGATAAGAATGCCGGTTGAGGTTTCATGGGTAGCGCAGAAGCAGCCGAAATTGCTGCAGCCATTTTTATAGCTTCTTCCTCCCTTATCTCTTGTGGTGATTTCGTCATCGGCGTGTACGTGTCCAGTTCTGCCACCTCCGTAAGTTGTATTAACTGAGTCTGAGAATTATTTTTGTTCAACACCCAATTTCCCCGATTATCATCGAAATACAGGGGTGTTCTCGACTGAGGCTCATTTTCTGGTGCCCGTGGCCGCTGCAATACCTGATCTCCTTCCACAACTTCGGTGTCTATGTCAGCAAATGCCGTATTGGCCGTCATAATGCTTGTCCTATCAGTACGTTGCGTCCGTGAAGAGGCCATTCGCGTAACCGCATCCCGTGGTCGTGATAGGGGTTCCGGCGGAGGAGGAGGTCGGACCGGGGGGATCATCACGCTTAATGCCGGTTTGGCTGGAAGAAGTCGTGAACGTGGCCTACGAGCTGGGATATCTGGAGATACCGCAGGAGTTGAATTTTGGGACCGAGAGACGGCGAGCCCAACGTATTCCTCGTTGGGATTAGGCGTATGAAAGGGATTGTTGGGCGAGATAGGATTTCCTGGAGGACTAGGAAACCGTGGTGGTGGTGTACGATATGGTCGTGGATCCGGATGAGCAGTAGAGAATCTACGGAAAGGTGCCGATATAACCATGGGGCCGGTGTTCTTCGAACTTGAGGTTCCAGGCTTATTCCTATCATCTTCTTTCTGGAGAAGTCCACCCTCAAGATCTGGATAATTCCGTTTGCGAAAATGTCTAGCGATGAGGATTGCAATGAACGTAATGATGATAGCCCCAGCAACGCCAACAATGATTCCGGCAACCTGGGCACCATTAAGAGAAGGTGCCGAGGAAGGTGTCGATGAAGGAGCTGCTGGGTTTGTTGTAGCCGCCATTGACATCGTACTAGATGCTGTAGGAGCCAGGATAGATGTCACTGTGCCGGCCTCAGTCTCTGTTGGCGATAACACGATCGATGCTGAGCCTCCGGTTGGGCTATCGGCAATAGTAGCTGTCAGGACAGAATGTGTGTTAGGCAATGCGTTTGCTATTTTAGAACACATAAGATAGGCATCGTGCTTCACGGAACCTAGTATTATATTAGTGTCAATGCCTAGGTAGGCATGCCAAGGCTTCAAGTTCGTGTGCTTACCACCAGTGACGTTTTCATCACACACTCCTTGTTGTGCTTCTGCACTGATACACTGCAGTGCCCCCTCTCCAAGTGTGTATCCTGAACTTGACTTCGCTGTGCATAGGCATTCCAATGTTGGGTTCGATGTACACCCTGACGATGGGAAGTTGCCCTGTATGAAGGATTCCAGGCACGGTTGAGCACACGTCGGAACAAAAGCCTGGATATCATCGCCGAGCTCGACGGCGGCGATGAAGCCGACTAGTATCGTTGTCCATATTAAGACATAACGAGAAAAAGAATCGAAAGCCATCCTACTCGGATGCGTCTTTAGGATCTGTTAGTATATGATATTTTCATAGCGACCCCATTTATGTTTTAGTTTTATGGGGAGACGCATTGTATCCGTTGATCTTCAGAGACTACTCATGAAATCAGAAGTCTCGAGGCCTCCCCGGTGGAACCAGAAAGAAGAGCAATGACGATAAAGTGTTTCGAGGTCACACTTTGTGGCCTCGACCTGGGTTATATGATGTTATAAGGCCGACTGAACTAACCTATGAGAAAAGAAAAGGCTTCGAAGATAGGACCAGCATTACAACATGCTGGTTCTGCACAGCCCACAGAGGAAGTGAAGGACGCTTATTCCAGGAAATTATACAATAGCCGAAAGAGTAGGAAATGGAGAAATATAGGAAGGAAGGTAAGGATTAAGGAGTTAAGGAAAAGAAGGAACTTATTACAGAAGGTAATAACAAACCAACAAGAGAATAGGAATGATGATATGAAAGGGGGCGAGACTGGTTAGAAGGATAAGACCGTCCTGGGCCTCACCATGTATATGACCTTGTCTATGATGAATGATTAAAAGTGCACCATCCATGCCGATGACGCTACCGGCGATTGAGCCACATTATGAACGGCTAAGATTGGACGCCGTCAAGAAATAATAGGCACGGATGATACCTAAAACCTATCGAATGAGTAGCAACTGACGGTTAACGTCCGAGAGGTACGGAGATACACCGCAAGCAACGCGGTTGAACCATAGCCATGGACCACGAAAGGCAACCATGGCAATGCTTGCGTGTCTGCTTGCTTGCTTGCCTGCTTGCCTGCTGCTTGTGGCTTGCAGGAAGGTACCATGTTCCCATGCGAAGTCGGGTTAATTACAGATACCATCTAGCCGGTATGGATGTGAGTTTATTGGCATATTGGTACGGTAGCTCTAAGTAGGAGCGTCAAGTGAGTGAATCCAATCCGGTGTAGGTGTAGGTTGAATAATCACGAGTGGGAGTAGGATTGTTCTAAAGCGAGAAAGGATCAGCAAGAATAGTAATCTTCATTGGCTGACTTCTTCCTTATTCGGAGGATAGCTGATGGCCCAGAACGTCCAGCGGCTGACTTGCCAGGTTTACTCCTTTGGGAGACTGGAACCGACCTTGGACTGACAGGGGCTGTATAAAGTTGTCGGCAAATATAGATCTGATGCTTATCTGCAGAATCACCTTAGTAGCTTAGCTCTTCTGCGAGGAGGGTGTCCAAGGCTACATGCTGTGTGCTGGGTTATTGGTAGGCTGAGGGTTGTAAGGGTGTAGGGGTGTGCCACTTTATTTGCGCGCGCCTAATAAGTTTTGGTTGTCGGAATCTCACTGGCTGAAGGTGGGGAGAATTGCACCTTCTTTGGCGTCTCGCTCTCGACTCTCAACATGCGGGCGCTCGCCGTCCCTTAGCGGCGCGTACAATTAGGGTCATACCTGCCCGTACTGCCTGTACTGTCCATGCTGTATCTTCCGCTTCTTTCCACTTTATGTAATGCAGCGCCAAGGTCGCACATGCACGATGCAAACTGCAAACTCATCGCCACCACTCGATTGGTGCATATGAGTTAATGTATGCACTTGCGCTATGTATATACAACATGCATACATTCATAGCCTTCAACTCTGCATGCACATTATATATCAATCATGCAATCGAGGCAGTGTCGTATCGCTGTCGTTCAACCTCAACAACATCGGTATCCTTCTTTATTTGCGGCTAGGGGATATCCCGAACCGGCCTCTACATGTTTCGGAATAACTGCCATCTCCTTTGACATGCGTTGCCAAACCCGCCTATACGAATGATAAGCCGTTCCCTCGTGGCACGACTGCTCCTTTCGGATCCCCTTGCCGTTAACTGTTTTTCTTGCATAAAGTTTACCGTTACTAGAGTCTAGAGCCTCGTCCAACAACCATAAAGTCTAGGAGTCGTCAAGGACAATGTTGCAACTACTATATCGCCGACTCAGCCTATGTCCCCCAACTCCTCGAGAAGTTTTACATATAACCAACAGTTACCGATCAGTTCTCGTGTACTGATGGTGCATATCAGCGCGGTTGGCTATAGGAGTAGCCTGACGTCTCATCACCATTTGCTATGATCTTTAGTGGCTCTAAATTAGGCGAATATAGCATTCCCACATTCGCTTCCACACTAGCATCATATTCTTGATTTTAGAATCTGGAATCTTGATAATTTGTAGATATTGCATCCTCCTTTGCTTCCGTGGCAATATTAGTCTTCCGTAAGACTTGTTTCGAAACGCGTTATGCCTGATTAAGGCGTAGCAAACAACCATGTGAGCTTGGGAATAGGAAGGTCACATGAAAGGATTATTCTAGCGAGGTTCTCGTAGAAACAAATCAGATGAATTTTTGTTAGTACCTCTTCGTTTCTCATTAACTACCTTGATCCTCTCCCGCCTGAAAACATTGTTTACTTTCATTTCCGAGCAAGAACAAAGTGCCAACAGCTCGGTCCAGTAAACTCGCATCGCATCCCGTGATATGACCCGTTGTCATCAATATCTTCGCACATGTAAATTTAGCGTGCGAAGCCTAGCCCCTTTCATACCAGTGAACCTGGTTTAGACAGTATTTCCGCTTGGGACGAAATCTGGTTGAGCTCGGCTCGACTTGATAACTCTCTGGACTAGTTTTTCCGTCTCATCCCAGTCATCCGGCTTCAGTGCCACAAGGTCAATCTCGAGGTCCTGTGCAATGGCCCTGAGAGCATCGAAGCTCTTCTTGTCAGAGATAAATGTAATACTGACGCCAACACGGCCGAATCGACCAGTCCGTCCAATGCGGTGGAGATAAGTTTCCGTGTCGTGCATGGCGTCTCCCATTCCCTTCATCGGAATGTCATAGTTGATAACCATCGACACCGTAGACACGTCTATTCCGCGAGCGAGCACATTGGTAGTGATCAACACCTTGGACTTTCCACTACGGAAATCTTCCAACAACGTATCTCTCTCAGCTCCTTCGTAAGCTCCGTGCAGAACAGAGACTTTGTGACCATCGTTTGTCATCCTCTGCTGTATTTGGGTGGCGCTGTCTCGGGTCTAACAGTATTAGCGTGTCAACGTGGAACATACATCGGTCTGCTCGATCGGGAATTTTACCTTGACGAAGATGATAGAAGATCCGATATTCATCAAGCCGTATAGCTTGCAGAGAATGTCGTACTTGTCCGACTCCGAGGGGCAATCCATATACATCTGCGAAATGCCCTTAACTGTGAGTTCCTGCTTCCTCAGTTTAATCATGTTGGCATTCGGCGCGAATACGGTTGCGTATTTCATAACCTTGTCGGGAAAAGTGGCGGAGAATAGGAGAATCTGGATATCCTTAGGCAGCATGCTCTTGACTCGGGCGCACTGCTCGCCTAAGCCTTGCTGGTCCAGCATGTTGTCGGCCTCGTCAATAACGAGAACTCGCAACTGGGATACATCGAACTGGCGCTTTCGGATCAGGTCCATGACGGTTCCCGGGGTACCAACCACGACGCTCTTATCAACGCGACTGTCCTTAGGAATAGAACCGGGAATAGCGGCTGCCACGGCTAAGTTGGTCAAGAACTGTCCGATTGAGGTGACCACGCTCTGAATCTGGCGGGCTAATTCACGGCTCGGGGCGAGGAGAAGCGCCTGAGGTTGGTTAGGCTTAGAATGATCGACGCGAGATAGGACGGTGGTGACGAAAGCTGCCGTCTTGCCGGTTCCAGACTGAGATTGAGCGATCATATTCTGAGGAGGGTTAGAAAGCATCAGCGGAAGCGCTTTCTCTTGAACCTTAGACGGCTTCGAGAAGCGCAAGGCGGCTAGTGCGCGAAGAACTTCGCTGGGTCTATCAAGCAGGAATTAACACATATTGACCATATATCTTTCAAGCACAACTTACAATCCTAGGTCTTCGAATGTATGCACGGATCCAAGAGGGTTGTCAGTGTCTTTCTGAAGATCATTGAACTGGACCTCGACATCGTAGGCATTCTCCTGAAGCCGAGATTCATCTTTCGCAGGCTCGGCCATGATGAATCAAGGCGACTCGGAACGTGGTGGGGTATGGATGTTTTGGTATATTGCGCGTGATCGGAAGGTTCAAATTGAGGTCGCGTAGATAGAGGTCGAGGTTAATAGACGATCTATTTTTTTTTTAAAGTAATGTGAGAATAGAGGCATAAATACGCCAAGGCTATTAGAAACAATGCCCAAGAAGCGATAGACGAGCCTAACGCCTGTTGAGACGAGTGACTTGCCCACTACTAGAGATGGGAAGTAGCTGGAGGTTTGTGACGTGATCTGTGCCCTACAACCTGCAGTGCATCTGGTGATGGTGACGACGATGTAGGTGTTAAGAATTGATTGCATGGAGCTTTTCGAAGCTGTCAATATTTTGGTGGGGCTATAATTCGCTAGTGGGGTAATTTCGACGAGGGGCAACTTGGAATAAAACGAGGCTTCCCCTGAGGCCAACTGCAGCTTCCAGCTCTGCAAGTGGAACGGTCCGATATGAACTTGGGAACATAGGTGTATTTTGACCTAGAAAAGTACTCATGTACCGAAGTACCGTATTGACCCGAATTACACTATTAGATGTTCACTCGAACCATTTTCTGTCAACTACCTAGTACCGACCTGGTTACAATATCAAAAAAAAATATACAAACAGTAAGGCATATCACACATACGAATATGCATTATGTGCATACCTACGTAGCTGTCACGAGGCGGGGTACGCCTATGTATGTAGACGACTAATAAAGGAGAGTACCGAGCAGCCGGGCATGAACGCTCAGGCGGCAGGTGGCCACTTACTTAAGCGTAAAGTATTAGGTTCTAAAGCGTTAAGTTCCAAGGTTGCAAAGTGGATAATAAAGTGGGCTGTGCTAATGTTGCTCTACATTTCGCAACCCTTTGCATCATTCTCCTAATCCTAGCACCTACACCTACAATCACATTAGCTCTTGTTGTGTCTTATTCATGACATGGAATTGTTATTCGAACCGATTTGCGCAACTAACTCATCCTACATACCAAAGACTTCCCATAGATCCGTCACTTTTGTGCCCATATGCTTAAGGTCGTTACCAGTCCTTTGTAATGGCTGAGGTGGACGTGGCACCGACCTTTGGTGCTGAGTTAAAGGTGTGTGTTGACCGTTTACCACGAGTCTTACCTTTCCCTTCCAACTACCTTACCCAGGCACCTCATCCACCTCCGGATAGTCTCACTAAATAGTGTTATTCGTTTGCTATAGGATGGCTTTAAACCCGCCAGCGCCTGGGTGGGTAACGGGATTGCCTGGCTTGACGATATCCAAAATTTCTACCGAGAACGGGCTGTTATCGAGAAGGAACACAGCGCGAGGCTCAATGCCTTAGCTAAGAAGTATTTTGAGAAGAAAAACAAAAAGACGACTAGTTTGAGTGTTGGCGACACGCCTGCTATGACCCCCGGTTCTCTCGAGAATGCTTCTCTAACTATATGGACTACTCATCTTACAACCCTCGAATCGCTAGCAACCGAGCACGAGAACTATGCGAACGAACTTGTACAAAAGGTTGCCGACCCGATGAAGCAATATGCTGCCAAGTTCGAAGAGCTGCGCAAACGTCATGTCGAATATGCCGCCAAACTAGAGGCCGAAAGAGATTCCTCCTACGCTGATCTTCGTAAAACTAAGACCAAATACGATGCCGTATGTCAAGAGGTGGAGAGTAAGCGAAAGAAGACGGAGTCCTCTTTTGACAAAGCGAAGGCCCAGAGTCACTACCAACAGCAGCTGCAGGACATGAACAATGTCAAGAACACCTACTTGATAGCTATCAACGTGACCAATAAGCAGAAAGAAAAGTATTATCACGAATACGTCCCTGAAGTGCTAGACAGCTTGCAAGACCTCTCGGAATTCAAGACTATGAAATTGAATGCCTTATGGTCTACCGCGGCGAGCCTGGAGATCACAATGCTGCAGCAGAGTAATGTCTTGGTCGACCACTTAGCTCAGGAGGTCACGCGAAATCAGCCGCATTTAGATTCTATGATGTATATCCGCCATAATATGGGTACTTGGCAAGAACCAACTGATAAGATGTTCGAGCCCAGTCCTGTGTGGCACGACGACGACCTCATGGTCACCGACGAGGTGGCCAAAGTTTTCTTACGCAATGTGCTTAACAAATCGAAGAGCCAGTTAGGGGAACTCCGGCGGGAAGTTGACAAGAAGAGGAGGGAAATCGAGGGTATTAAACGTGTTAAGCAAAGGATACGTGAAGGAACAGAGAATAAGGACGAAGTACAGGTCGTGTCACAGATTTTCTCCATGCAAGAAGATTTGCATCAAGTCGACCGAAAACGTCTTACAGCTGAGGTCGAGACATCAACCATTACATCAGCTGTGGGAGATGTCACTCTTGGAGCTAAGAATCATAATTTCAAATCGCAGACGTTCAAGATACCGACCAATTGCGACCTGTGTGGAGAAAGAATATGGGGTTTATCGGCAAAGGGCTTCGATTGTAGGGATTGCGGCTACACGTGCCACAGTAAATGCGAAATGAAGGTCCCTGCGGAATGTCCCGGTGAGCTGTCCAAGGACGAGCGCAAGAAATACAAGGCAGAACGGCAAGCGGCAGCAGGAGCTCTACTGAAACCTCCATCCGGACCGCCTGAGCACGTCGCGGAACTACCAACTTTGAGTCGGTCAAATACTATGAATTCTTTGAGCTCTGGGTATGCGGCTAGTGCGAATAGGTCAATAAGCGGCTCGGTAGCAAGCCCGCGCTCCCCTGCGGAAGATACACCACCTGAACCTGGTCCTCGGCCTCCTGTAAAAAAGAGTCGCCTTGTCGCTCCACCACCCACCGCCTATATCAGTGAGCTGCCCGGTAGCTCGGTCTCGCCCTCAGCTCCGGCCCCAGCCGCTAAGGCTGCCGAGCATAAGGGTAAGATGCTTTACACATTTGAAGCGAGTGGCGGTGACGAGGTCTCTGTGCCCGAAGGGCGGGAAGTAATTATTCTCGAGCCTGACGGTAAGTGTTATACCACCCCTTTTAATTACGTCCAATATTTTCAATATTTACTCATAATATTACAGACGGGTCAGGATGGGTGAAGGTCCGTGCCGGTTATAAAGAAGGGATAGTACCAGCGAGTTACCTGGAAATCTTCCCCAACCCCATCGTTCCTCAAGATACGGGCTCTTCGTTAAATAACCGTCCCGCGTCTACTTATTCAAATTCGGGATCATCAGTGGGCACAGCTGGTCCTACCGTCAAAAAGAAAGGCCCGGCAGTCGCGCCGCGTCGCGGTGCTAAGAAGTTGAAATATGTTATTGCCATGTACGACTACACAGCACAGAGCGATGCCGAGCATAGTATGACCGAAGGTGAACGATTTGTGTTGATTAAGGATGATCCGGGAGATGGATGGGCCGAAGTAGAAAAAGGGGGTGCGACAAAGAGTGTGCCTGCAAGTTACGTACGGAGCGCATAATCTTACAGCGAAAAAACCAGTTACCTACCTACTTACGTTTGACTACCGGCTTTAGCATCAGTTGGAGACTCATGGATCATGAAGTATATGGATATGAAATGGCATTGGATAGACGGCGACATACTTACGTACATATGTAGCGAATGATGTTGATAAGCCAAAAGTGTTGAAAATATAACGTACAATAGGGCTGTCTTGGTGGAATAAAAATTCGGTCAATCACACTACCAGTTTGATCTAGGTGGTTTGTTTCTCCGGTCTACATGGATAGGAGGCACTCAGCCTCATCTCAGGCCAGCCCTAGCTCTAAAGGACCAACTTGGGATAATTTAATAGCGCTCTCAAACCCAGCCCCGGAGATCAGCTACGGCGGCTTCGGACCCAATCGAAACATCACATGTTTACGTATTCCCGGTGTTCCTCTTTGAATAATATGGAAATTCATCGAGGATCTAACCAATGCCGGGCTGGCGAATCTGATTGTTGTAAAACTGGGGTTTAGGTCAGGGATCGTCATCACTACCGGACCATTTCGTGGGGACCCCTTGACAAGGCTAGATAGAAACTTTCAGATGAGCAACGAAGAGGTTTATCTTTTCCCCTGTCTCGTCTACACTAAGTGCTTCTATTCTTCATTGAAAAGCGGTCGATGTATGGATATGGCACTGTAGGTAGGTAATATCCTACTCGCTTAATGACGCGCTTAGCTGAGGGTTAGGTTCATTTTAGGTGACGCGTCACCAATTCGGCCCCATTGGGATATGAAAGGACTGACTGACGCGGCGGCGGACCCTACCTAGCTTCGCTGCCACGAGCAAAATGCACCACTGGGACTTGGCTGAGCTAGCCATTTACCAATTCTGAACCTATACATAGACAACGGGTTATGCCGAATGATGATACGACCTAGTCACCATGGCCCGTCCAACGCTAAAGCTTCATGAGTAAGGTCCTCTGGTGGACAGGGTTTTCTATGAGTTGAACTTGAAACTTTGACTCTAGAATTTACTAGACATGGCAGACATGGCAAGATCTATTATTGCGCATAATTAAGCCAACTTCAACTTAGGCACCGTTGGGTATGTCGTGTAAAAGCCGAAGCTACACTAGTATGGGAAAACCCATGGCGGGCATGGGACCGTTGTGACGATCCGAATAAACATTGCCACGGCGGCTGCGTTGGGACCAAACCGGTGCTATCGGCCGGTCCACCACGTATGCCATGACGCGACTTCGCCCGGCACTCTTTCGTAAGCTAGGAGAGCAGCCGAACCATAACCAGTATGTTCATAGCATCATGTTATGAGGCTGAGCCAGAATGCCGGGTCAATTAAGCTACTGGACACAATACTACGGTCTAGAAGATCATGGGTGGATTATATGTATTAGTACTCAAATCCGTTCCCGGGCTTCATCATGAGCTTCAAGCTTTCTAGCTCGAGGGAGTTTCATACCTCAAACCTAACGTTCGCTTTTTTCCCTATATACTTTCGTTCTTGAAAGATGAAGAGATTTTTGGGCTTATCGGCGGTCGCCGCTTTGGCGACGGCCTCGAATACGACGACCTCGTCTATCTCCGACGTCTGCACAGTGTCTAACGTGCAAGCCGCCCTTCCCGCCAACGGCACTCTTCTTGGAATCGACCTGATCCCCTCAGCGGTGACGGCCAGCATCGTCTACAACGCGACAACTGGTGCTGGCAGCACGGGTGGTTCGACGTCTGCTAGCTCTACCACGTATACTTATTGCAATGTGACGATCCAATACACTCACACAGGCAAGAACGACACCGTTGTCGTTAAGTACGCCTTCCCGCAGCCCTCCGACTTCAAGAACAGATTCTATGTCGCCGGCGGAGGCGGTTACTCGCTCTCTACCGACGCTACTGGCGGCCTTCCCTACGGAGCCGTCGGCGGTGCTACCGATGCCGGATACGACGCGTTCAGCAACAGCTACGACGAGGTAGCCCTGTACGGCAATGGTTCGATCAACGTGCGTAACACCGAGATTTCCTTACCACTTTTTCTAGAGAAATGACTAATTTCTAACGAACGTTACAGTGGGACGCGACATACATGTTCGCATACCAGGCCCTAGGCGAGATGACCCAAGTCGGCAAGCCGCTGACGCGGGCCTTCTACGGCCTAGCAGACAGCACCAAGGTGTACACCTACTTCGAGGGGTGCTCGGACGGCGGGCGCGAGGGCATGTCGCAGGTGCAGCGGTTCGGGGCCGAGTACGACGGCGCGGTGACCGGCGCGCCCGCCTTCCGGTACGCGCACCAGCAGGTCCTGCACGTCTTCTCGTCCGCCGTTGAGCACACGCTCGGCTACCTGCCGCCGCCGTGCGAGCTCGACAAGATCGTCAACGCCACCATCGCCGCCTGCGACCCGCTCGACGGGCGCACCGACGGCGTCGTCTCCCGCACGGACCTGTGCATGCTGAACTTCAACCTGTCTTCCATCGTCGGCGAGTCTTATTATTGCGCTGCCGAAAACAGCACCTCCCTCGGCTTCGGCTTCGACAAGAAGAAGCGGTCAACCACCCTGCACCCCATGAACATGCGCACCCACAAGCGCCAGGCCCAGGGCAGCACCACCAGCTACCAGCCGGCGCAGAACGGCACCGTGACTGCCGAGGGTGTGGCAGTTGCCCAGGCCATCTACGACGGCCTGCACAACAGCGCCGGCGAGCGCGCCTACCTCTCGTGGCAGATCGCGTCGCAGCTCGGCGACGCCGCCACGACCTACAACAGCGACACCGGAGCCTGGGAGCTGAACATCCCCAGCACGGGCGGCGAGTACGTAGCCAAGTTCATCGAGCTCCTGGACCTCGACAACCTCTCCACCATGGACGGCGTCACCTACGACACGCTCGTCAACTGGACGAACATCGGCTTCGTGCGGTACCTCGACAGCTTGCAGACCACGCTGCCGGACCTAACGCCCTTCCAATCCTCGGGCGGCAAGCTTCTGCACTACCACGGCGAATCGGACAGCTCCGTGCCGGCGGCCTCGTCGGTGCACTACCACCAGTCCGTGCGCTCGACCATGTACGGCAACCTGACGGACGCGGAGGCGCAGGCCGCGATGGCCGACTGGTACCAGTTCTACCTCATCCCCGGCGCGGGCCACTGCGGCGCCAACTCGCTGCAGCCGGGCCCTTACCCGCAGAACAACATGCAGATCATGATCGACTGGGTCGAGAACGGCGTGCGGCCGACGCGCCTCAACGCTACTGTGGCTTCTGGCGCGAACGAGGGCGAGACGCAGATGCTGTGCCAGTGGCCCGAGCGGCCGCTGTGGTCTGGAAATACGACTGATTTCGATTGTGTTACCGACCAGGCTTCGATCGATAGCTGGACGTACACTTTCCCGGCTTTCAAGATGCCTGTTTACTAGACAACCCTAAAGAGGATTCTGTTGGTTTTGGTATAGGAACTGCGGTGAGCTTTATACTCGCTAGCAGTAAAACTAGGGGAACAAAAATGAACATAGCGTTTTTCTAGTGTGACTGTATATAAGAATTAGACTGCATCGTCAGTTATAGGGAAGGGGACAATTTGTCATGGAAGATACCAATACGTAATATAAAATACTGATACACTTCGTTCTCAACTTCTTACATTCGTTTGCTAGCAACGAGAGCTAGTTAAATCATTACAGTCCCCCAAGTTATCTCTGAGACTTCTAAGTTGATGGGATTTGTAATGTTTGAACGGCTTGACCACATAGTTCGGAACTCCGGTGATGAATATGCCAAACAGTCCGCTTACTACCTTTTCATGTAAGCGATAATACTATTCTTTTTGGTCAAATAAGTAGTGGAGTGGAAGAGTATAAATCTAAAAGGAGGAATATAGCGATTTAAAATATCCAGATGAAAATATTTGATAGAGGTGTAAAAAGGGGTTAAGTTTCCAACAACCTTACCTAAGCAGAGCTTATTAATAGATAGAGCTCACTTCAGCCAATCACATACACTAGATTCCTTACGTTATACCACATTTGTCGTCCCATCCCAGCTAAAGTGCGGAGGCGGCTCACTGACGACCAAATCCCTCACTAGCACTCAGATATCTCACAATCTCATACCAGCTCTCAGCCATATCACCACCGCGAAAATGGTCTACACAATAGTCGTGCACCTGCGCTCCAAGCCCGGCGCGGAGAACATCGCCAAAGTCCACGCCAAGCTCAACGAAGCATCCGCCGTCTACTCCAAGGACAAGGAGACCATCTCCTGGTTCGTCAGTAAGTCATCCTCTCACCTCTCATCTCTCACCCCCATACCCATATTACTATACCAATTCCCCCCCGAAAAAAAAAAAAAACATGGTACGTGCTAAATATCCCCAGTGCAATCCGTCCACGACCCCCAGGACTTCACGATCGTGGAGCGGTACGAGAACGAGGGGAGCCAGAAGTATCACCTCGAGAACCCGTACTGGCAGACCTTTGACCCGTTCGTCGTACCGCTGCTGGAGAAGCCCATGGACTTGCGGCGCTTCGAGGAGCTGGTCCCGGTCTCTGGAGAGGAGGCGTTGCTGAAGTAAGAGGGCTGTCGCTTACCTAATGTGGTGAGAGCCGGGTGGGTTAGATGAGTAAAAAGTGAAAGTAAAGAGTAAAAGGGGCGCATTCTCGTGTAGATCCAAAAAAAATCGATAGAACTATCTAACTAAGCAACTCATACCCACGATGATATACACGGTTCGAGCATTGATGTTCATTTTATTCTCATTTCCATTTTCATTTCTACAATGTTTAGATATAAAAAAACCTATGCCTCAGTATCAATATATCAAATATCCAATACCACACCGGCCTGATGCAAACACAGCCACATCATGACCTATTCTTCGGCATCTTCCTCTCCTCCAACTCCTCCAAATCCTTCTTCTTATGAAAATGCGGCGCCACCTCGTTAAGCCACTTAGGCAAGATCGGCATGCAATTCCTCATGTACTCCTTGTTGGTCAGGACCAGCTCATAATACAGCACCATCTTCTCGGGCGGGTCGGACTTCATCAGCACGGAGCTGGGGTGGATCCACACCGTTGTGTTGTTCTTGACCGTGCGGTAGCTGTCCCCGCTGCGCTGCAGCTTCGCCGCGTTCGGGAAGAAGCCCGCTGTCAGCGCCTTCTTGATCGGGTCGATGTTGGCGGCTCCGCATGAGCTCGGTGCCACTTCCACTCGCTCGCATAGCTTGGCCAGTTGGTCACGGACGTCGCGCGCGCGCGTGAGCGAGCGCTGCTGGAGGAAGTTCTCGCGGGCCCAGATGGGCGAGAAGTCGCTGTCGACCCATTGGTTCCAGATATTCAAGAGCGTCAAATGGTCGCCGCCTTCCTTGACGGTAAAGCGGTTGCGAGCGCTATCAGCGTGTATCTTCTTGTCTTTCGGCCGGAAGAACAACGCCGACGCTTCGCTTAACATCGACACTATTGATAGCACCTCGTCGACGCACTTGAATTTGTCGGCGGCAAGAACGGCCTTGGCAAGCATCGGGTCAGTAGGGAACTCGGCCATCTGCCTCCCAACCTTGGTAAGTTCACCTTTATGGTTGAGGGCTTGAAGAGCGAAAAGTTGGTTCAAGGCTCCGATTAGAGACTCGGTTGGGGGTGGGTCCATGAATTCGAACTCAAGAAGCTGATTAATGCCTAATGATTTTAACAACAGTACCACACTGTTGAGATTGGTCCTTTGTATTTCTGGCGTAGTAGACTCGTCCATCTCGTTCTCATAGGCGTACTTGGTATAGAGACGAAAGCATTTACCAGGAGCAACACGACCGGCACGTCCCATACGTTGGTTTGCGGATGCTCGCGAACATGGTACGACGACTAAATTTGACATCCCAGTTGCTGGGTTGAAGACGTTTTCTTTCACGTACCCAGGATCGATGACATAGATAATACCATCAATCGTCAAACTTGTCTCAGCGATATTGGTAGCTAGAACGACTTTTCGAGCTCCCTTGGGAGTAGGTTCGAAGATCTTGCTCTGAAGATCGGAGGGAAGATTGGCGTAGATGGGACAGACAATTAACTCTTTCACTCGATTGCCAAGTTTTCTTGCGGTCTCGGTCAGTTGCAGTTCCGCGGCCTCGATTTCATCTTGACCAGTTAAGAACACCAATATATCACCCGCGCCTTGAGTAGAGTGAATCTGGAAAACGGTCGTGATAGCTGCTGTCAAGTAGTTGGCTTCAGGGGCTGGGGTGAAGTAGACGTCAACATCAAATTTGCGTCCTGGAATGTTGAAGATCGGACAATCGTCAAAGTACTGAGAAAACTTCTCAGCATTCATCGTAGCTGAAGAAATAAGGAGTTTTAAGTCCGGTCGTTCCCTAGCTAAATCTTTGACCAAGGCAAGCAGGATATCGGTATGCACGGTCCGTTCGTGGGCTTCATCGATCATCAGGGCTGAATAGCCCGCAAGGTCCGGTTCCGTCATGAATTCTCGCAGTAACATACCGTCTGTCATGTACTTTATGACAGTTTTATCACTGGTATTATCTTCGAATCGAATCGAATAACCAACTTCTTGCCCGCATTTAACACCCATTTCTTCCGCAACTCGGGCTGCGACGCTCATCGCGGCAACTCTTCGAGGTTGCGTACACCCAACCTTAAGGCCTCCCTTCGTATAACCGGCCTCGTGTAGGTATTGCGGTAGTTGGGTAGTCTTTCCACTACCCGTCTCGCCGACGAGAACAAGGATTTGGTGTGTTTCTAAGGCTTTGATAAATTCATCCCGGTACACGTAGATGGGCAGACTTTTTCTGGTCTCCTGGATAGATAAGGCCTTGTGTTCCGCAGCATCAAGTTGAGCTTGTAAGAATCTTTCCTCCTGTGTTAACGCCTTCCTATCACCAGTCATTGTTGTGGCCTGAGTCCACTGAATGTACTGATCTGGATCAAGAACAGGAGCATATTGGTCGTCATATTCTCTTTCCGCCCTATTAATTTGGGCTTTTGCCTTTTGCGTCTGCTCCCGTTCCCACTCCTCGTGTTCTGTGGTAAATTTCTCTTGGCCATATTCGTCTCGTTCGACATATCGCTTGTACAGCGCATCCTCTTTTCGCTTCTTGTCTATTTTCCCCTTCTCCGTGATATAGTCTTCCGGCATATAGTATCCATCGCGATGATCATCGATTCGTAATCGTTCTTCAGCTAGTCGCAGGATTTCTCGATTCTTCGCAAACTCAGCTCTTTCTCGCTCGGATAACCGTACTCCACTCCTTAGCTCTTCAGTCTCTTCGGCGACTTGTTTTCGTAACAAGGCCAGTTTTTCCGTTTCCCTCTTTTTCAGGTAAGCTTGCCTCGAGTGTTGACGAAAGTCCGACATGGCGGCTCTGTTCGAAGCGAGATCCTCAGCTAGACGTTGACGTTCCTTATCTGCTCTACCCTCTGATTTCGACTTGCCTCCATCTCTTTCCTTCAGCCGCTTAGCAAAGGCCTCTCTCTCAGCTATGTCGCGCTCGGTATCAGATTCGGCACCGCCTTCTTCCCCATCACGCTCGTCGTGGCTTAACTTCACGCGTTTACGTTCCGACTCTTTAAATTCCGGTTCCTCGTCACGTCCGTCATCGGAAGCCTCAGGCTCACTTCCAGGCTCTTCGTCACCCCATCTATCATCGAAGTCATCCTGATCGCGCTTTCGTATTGACTTCGACTTTGATTTATGCGAATCTCGACGGGGCGAGCGGCTGCGACTCCGGGTACGATGAGACTTTTGATGCGAGTCATGACGAGAACTGTACTTTTTATCCTCGTCGCGACGTCGGTGTTTAGACTTCTTCTCAACCTTTTGCGGGCCTACTTCGTCCGCGTCCATGGGGACGAAAGCGTATCGTTTGCCGCTCATAGTTGGTTCTCTTGGTTGACTCGTTCGTTGCCTAGCGGCGGGAGAACCTGGGCTGCTACGGCGATAGGGGAAGGAATTTGGTTTTGTAGTCCTCGACCTTATATTTGGGCCTTATAGAGTTACGTCAAGATCTGAGCCCATTGAGGAGTAGCGGTAGTGTCGCAGAATTCGATGTTGGTGATGTGAACGGTGACGAAGCTTAAAAGTTGTCGCGGGAAGCTTTCGGTGTTGGCCAAGTTCTAGGTATTTTTTAGACTGCCTGGATCTAATGGAGTCAACTAAAAGTCGTAGCCAATTAAATCACCAAACGTTACCAAGACAGACGTATGTCCCCACTGTATAAGGTTAGCAGGGCTTATCTTATCTTAGCGGGTCAGATTTCCCATCTCAGCGGGTTCTTACCGTTTTTACCACGTTGACACGCTGGTATTTTGCGAGGGCCGACGCTATAATAGAACTAGCTGCATCTTTCGATCCCTTCTAAACCATTTCCATACCATAATAAACTTCCCAAATCGTATATCCCAAAATACCACGCTGGCCAATTCTAGAGCTCACATGTTCGTCGATCTCCATTCATGGGACGATTGTTGTTCAAAGGTGTTACAGCGTCGCCCATAGAATCACCTATATCTTAATTGGATTTACAGGTATCTTTGTCGTCTGGATTTAGAATTGGAAGACACTTGTCCAGTCCTAGTGGTTGGTGGTTAAGTAGGCTTGCGCAAGCCGCCATTTTTTGGCACGATGCTTCTACGATGGGTGACCTTCGGGTTACTCTTTATCCTAGCGCAGCTTGCTCTCTGCGCCGAGGATTTCTATAAGGTCAGTCTGTTCTCATCTTGCCACCGAAGCTATAAATGACCTATTACTAATGGCGTACCACCAGATCTTAGGAGTAAATCGTGATGCGACGGAAAAGCAAATCAAGTCGGCATACAAGCAACTAAGCAAGAAATACCACCCAGACAAGAATCCGTAAATCCACCCTTCCATTGCACAGCAGAGCGTAAAGCCAGCGCCCCAAAACAGTAGCTAATGCGTCGTCATTCTCAGAGGTGACCCAACAGCCAAGGACAAATTTGTCGAGGTCTCCGAAGCCTACGAAGCGCTATCGGATCCCGAGTCGCGGAAGATATACGACCAGTACGGACACGAAGGGCTGAAGCAGCGCGGCCAGGGCGGCGGGCACCACCACGACCCCTTCGACCTGTTCAGCCGCTTCTTCGGCGGTGGGGGCCACTACCAGCGGGGGCAGCCGCGCGGCCACGACGTGGAGGTTAAGGTCGGCATCAGCCTGCGCGACTTCTACAACGGCCGCGAGACCGAGTTCCAGTGGGAGAAGCAGCAGATCTGCGAAGAGTGCGACGGCACGGGGTCGTCCGACGGCCAGGTCGACACCTGCGGTCACTGCGCCGGTCGTGGTGTCCGTATCATCAAGCACCAGCTGGCGCCGGGCATGTTCCAACAGATCCAGACCACCTGCGACGCCTGCGGCGGCCGTGGCAAGACAATCAAGCACAAGTGTCCCGTCTGCGGCGGAAATAGGGTTCTTCGCAAACAGACTACCGTGTCCTTGAAGGTCGAGCGCGGTGTTGCGCGCGATGCTAAGATCGTCTACGAGAACGAGGCCGACGCGAGCCCCGACTGGATCGCCGGCGATCTCGTCGTCACCTTAGTTGAGAAGGAGCCCGACTTCGAGGAGAACCCTGACCATGTGGACGGGACCTTTTTCCGCCGCAAGGGCAACGACCTCTTCTGGCGCGAGGTCTTGTCTCTCCGGGAAGCCTGGATGGGCGATTGGACTCGCAATATCACGCATTTGGACGGCCACGTCGTCAGGCTAGGGCGCAAGCGTGGGGAGGTCGTGCAGCCTGGACACGTCGAGACGGTCGAGGGCGAGGGAATGCCAATATGGAGCGAGGATGGGGACTCGGTGTATCACCAATACCAATTTGGGAAGCTGTACGTCGAGTACGTCGTGATACTGCCGGACCAGATGGAATCCGGAATGGAAAAGGAGTTCTGGTCCGTGTGGCAGAAGTGGCGGGGGAAGCTCGGCATCGACCTGCAGAAGGACAGCGGCAGGCCAGAAGTGCCCGGTCCCGCGGCTCAGGAGGGAAAAGATGAGTTGTAATGGTCGTAATGATACCTGATCCTATATTATAGATATAGAGGCGCAATAGATGTGTGCAATGTACGAACGATAGAGCTTTCGCACGGTGTGTGATATATGGTACGCTGACCAATGAGGATTTGGAGATATTCGCACAAGTTACATTTCTATAAAGTTAGACTAGGGGTCCCAATCATCTCTAACTGAACTAAAGCTGAATCTGGGTATAAGCTGATTTATCCCTGTCAGGGCATCTGGACCGCGTACAGTATATTGTGAGTCAAATCCTTTTTTCTTCGTAGCAAGGCTAACTAACGGGCAGGCGAAATATAAATACGACCCGACTCCCGCCTTCTTCCGTCCCCCACCCCCTTTCCCCTTCCTCTTTCTCTTCCACTTCCTCTTCCTTCCATTCCCTCTCCTCTCCCCTCTCCCCTCTCCCCTACCACCTACCCCTATCCCCCCTTTTCGCCAACACACCATCCCATCCCATTCAATCACCATGTCTTCATCCTCCCCCCTATCCCAACCCCAATCCCCCTCCTCCCTCCTCACCCCCCTTCAAACCCTCAAAGAAACCATCCTCGGGCTCCTAAACCCCTGGGTCTTCCTCTCCCTTTCCGCCTCCTACCTGCCGCGCACCATTCTCTCCCTGATCCAGCAGCGCCGGTACTCCGTCCTGCTCTCCCCGTCGCGCCTGCGCGAGGCCTGGTTCACCGAGTTCTGGACGGGCTTTGCGGGCCCCAACATCCGCCTGAACGCGGGCCCGCGCGTCGTGGTCCCGCTACTGCAAGGCCGGACAACGGGCGGCGACGTGACGGACGCGCCCGTCGGCCCGCCCATCAGCGGCACCGTGATCGAGGTCGGCGCCGGCGCCGGCATGTGGGTGGACGTGTATCGGCAAGTCGCCGACATACGGGCACCAGAACCAGGATCAGGAGAAGTAGAGGAAGAAAAGGGGGAAGTCGCGGAAGGGTTGACGAAGCGCAAGACTGGTGGTAATAGCGACGGCGAGAAAGGCGTCATCACGCGCGTCTACGGCGTAGAGCCGAACCCGAACCAGCACCCGCACCTGCGGCGCGCGATCGCCGCCGCCGGGCTCGAGGACGTGTACCAGATCGTGCCGGTCGGCATCGAGGACCTGGACAACGAGTCCGCCTGGGACGGGCGCGTGGAGAAGGGCAGCGTGGACTGCGTCGTGTCGATCTTGTGCTTGTGCAGCATCCCCGAGCCGGAGAAGAATATCCGCGAGCTGTACTCGTATCTGAAGAAGGGCGGGAGATGGTACGTGTACGAGCACGTGCGCTGCGAGTATAGCTGGTATATGCGGTTGTATCAACGTGAGTCCATGTTTACTTACCCCTTTTTAGTCCTTCCTCTACCAGATACCTAGAAGGTAGTTAAGCGAGAAAGGGAAGAAATCAATGTATCATTCTAACATTCGCTTCGGTAGGCGTGGTAAACGTATTCTGGCCGTACTTTCTCGGCGGATGTTTGCTGTCTAGGCCGACGGAGACGACAATTCGAAAAGCAGGATCTTGGGAGAAGATCGATGTTGGACAACCCCCAATAGAGCAATGGTATGGTGTCGTTCCTCACATGTTAGGCGTATTTACGAAATGATATATTATCCCGACATTATCACGATGTACAATGAAAAAAGAATTTTTTCACTTTTTTTTTTGATAAACTATTTAGGGTTGTAGCGTACAATCATAGCCATCGTTTCATTCCGTTCAATTCATTCCTTCACCTGATAGCTGTACTTTCTCACAACCCCCTATGGCCTTCCTGAGCGCTTGCTGCATTATTTCTGTGGTTGCGTCCATGTTTATGATCGCCATGTTCGACCACAGGTTCGCCAACATGTTGCCGCATAGTAGAAGGAGGTACCTGAGCAGCGTCGGTAGGATCTTTGGCAACAGAGTTCCCACTTCCAGAAGTTGTTAACTAATTTTCATTCCAATATAAAAAGCAGTCGAAAGCAGTGGTATGAGGCGGTAAATGCTTACTTACGACTGGTAAGTCTTGTTACCGCCGAACGTTTTAGAATTGTCGAGATCCGAATCGACTCGTGGGTCTAACTTGTTGACAATGTCGCTCTTGTGAGGACCGGCGGTGCCAGGAGCGGGACCTGGACCGGAGTGAGCGGCATGCGTTCCGGTCACCCCTTGGCCGTGCGTACCAGTGGTTGTTCCGGTTGTACCATGACCATGTGTGCCAGTGCCGGTAGTTCCAGTAGTGCCGTGAGTACCAGTAGTACCGTGGGTGCCGTGAGTACCATGAGTGCCGGTAGTACCGGTAGTACCGTGAGTACCGGTAGTGCCATGAGTGCCATGAGTCCCGTGAGTCCCGTGGGTACCAGTGGTGCCAGTAGCACCAGTTGTACCGTAGCCAGCACCTCCCGAACTACCATAGGTGTTGCCTGTGGTGCCTGTGGTGCCTGTAGTACCGTAGCCGGCGCCAGTGGTACCAGCAGTACCAGAGCTACCATAAGTATTTCCAACAGTACGGCTGCCATCTCGGTCGCTGTCGACACCTATATTCAAGTCAGTTCATATGCTAAAATTATTCTGGGGAAACTTGGGGGCGTACGAGGATCGGTAGTGTTGGCTAGGCGAGAGTTGTGTGGGCCAGCAACTCCTTCGCGGCCACTGCCACCGTAGTCGCCTGCGGCGTTGCCTGCATAACGACCAGACTGGTCAGAGTCGATTCTGGGGTCGACCTTGTTAGCGACGTCTGATCGATGAGGCCCAGCGGTGTTCTGTCCCGTGGTGCCTGCGCCTGTGCCTGTGTAGCCGCTAGAACCAGTAGTTCCTGTGGTGCCAGTAGTGCCAGTGGTGTAGTTATCACCAGTGGTGTAGGGCTGAGAGCCGCCGACAGTCGATCCAGGGGCAGCGCGGTGATCGCGGTCGCTGTCGACTCTCGGGTCAGTGGCGTTACCAACACGGCTGGTGTGAGGTCCGTGAGCGCCTTCGGGGGCACCTTGGGTAGTAGAAGAGTGGTGGTTGCCGGAGACGGCTTCCTTGACCTTATTGATAACACCAGACATGTTGATAATGTTCTATTGAATTAAAGTTGCTAGTATTGAATGTCAAGATTTGCTTTTAGGTTGTTGTGGGCGAATATGAGAATTGGTGGTATGATGGTATGATAATGATGGAAAACAAAACAACCCGATTGAGCTGAGGTACGTTGACTTCTTATATGATGTGAAGCAGGCTGCACTTGCCCAATTTTCAATGTTTCCATGCTCCTTTCTCAGTTTGACGCAGAATGTCATCATCGATAATCTCGATCAGGAGTCATAGCTTCCTGTGTTTGCCAAATTACATGTACACCTTCCACGGCTTGGTTGAAGGATTTCACCCAATCATTGGAAATGACGAAGCTAGAAAGTTAGATAAAGCCTTTCTTACTTCATCCATCGTCATCACCCCTGATTTAGGAAGTGTCATCCTGGGCATACACGCTTTTAGAAACTTGCCGGGAGATCTGATTCGGGTAGAATAAACTCAAAAAGTACTTAGCGCTCAATCTCGTCTGTGGCTATCCGCCCTAGCGGCCCCGAGACTTCAACCTCGGAGCTCTTACTTGCATATGTACATCCATATTTACGGACGTGTGCGCCTACCTTTCATGTACTTACTTAGGAGCCTTGTGGCTCATCTCTTGGCGTCATAGTGGGAGACGAAGTACCTAGACTTGTGGCGGCCATCTCCAAACAGTTACCGGTAGGCAGGTAATATGAAGATTAGCGGAGAGTTAAAAGAGCCCGTCCGGTGTTCGTTGGTTTCGTATTACGTACGTAGTGGGAAGAGAATGGCCCGATTGGATTGGTAACCTTAGTATTCAAGTTTGGATTCATACTCTAGTATGAAGTGAATCTGAATCAACCATTGCCGGTATCCGGGGAGATCTCACAGTCCTCCTTGTTGAGAGATGGGAGTTGGTTCCTATCTGATTCCTTACCTTGGTGTTTACTGGTTGAAACTGTGGCTAATGACACTTTGAAGTCACACAACGTGGCGTCACCCCACCATGCTTTAGCCTCATATGCCCCACATGATGCTGTCATAGATCTCTCATTGCCAAGTTATCGACTTCTTCTTTTCATTGTGTAATTCTCGTCAAATAAGATTTCCATATGGACGTCTTTGTTTCACCTGCAGGCGATCACAAGCAAGGTTATAGTCAGGCTGTTACGTGTATATTGCAATAAGACATGACTGTACCCAAAGCGGATTTGCCTTACGAATTACAGCCGATGGGACGCCACGCAACTGACGATTAATTCGGCCTTTGATTACTTACGCTTTCTTTATTGTCGCTGGTCTGCTTGTACGGGCTTGTTGGACTAGGTACGTACTAGTTCAATATGTCGTTGGCATGAAATGACCATCTGCTTGCTAGGAAGAATAGTATCCTTGAAGATACTGGGATCAGGGGAGTCGGTTTGCTACGGCTGGTTGGGTACCTACATTAGATCCGATGGCTAGGGGAAACGGGATTAATTCGAGTATGGCTAATGTCGTCATGTTTCTAAAAATTCACCATATGCACATTGTACGTCCAAACTATCATTCTCTCTATTCTCATATACCCGAGTATAGGCGTAGATCAACCTATTCTAATAGCGAAGTAATCGCCTTAATAAGGATTGGTCCCATGGCCAATAGAAGGCTGTTAACAATCAAAACAACTGCTTACATAATACGTTAGTCTGAGACATCCCTATTCTTTCCATCTACTAGGCAACTTACTACGGGAAAGCCTCAAGTGAATCTATCAATGTTAATATAGAGAAAATGCCTTGAACTCCATATGCGCAGCCTCAGTTAGTTGGGGCTAAGTTGATGCTAGCGTATGGTTATAGACTGCCTTGCAGTAAGCCCAGCCGTTTTCTCTGCTGTCAGCCTTATGGAACTGTCAACGTTTCTATGTCGGCCATAGCGATGCGGACAGAAGCGGGGTCATAAGCAACTGGGTGTTGGATAATGATGCCTTTTCCCACCTGAAGAACTCAGATGCAAAGACACCATGGATCCGCTCTCGGTCACCGCCAGCACCATCGCTCTTATCCAGGCAACGGTGGGAATCGCAAAAGGTATTCACTTCCTCCGCTCGTTAGGCCAGATACCCCTCGAGTTTAGTGGGCTTTTAAACGAACTTTCCACCTTGCAGGCGGTAGCCGAACAGGTCAAGACGGTGCTTCAAGAGTTTGATGGCCCGCCATCGACCACGACTTCCCATATCCCTCTCGAAGGTCTCGATCCCAGCATCCTTGTTTCTTTAAAAGATGACTTGGCCCAGACAACCAAGGATTTGGAAGCCATATGCGATCGGCTGAAAACACCTAAGAAACAGAGCGAAAAGCGAAAAGCTAACGACAAAGAGAATATTTCGAAGTGGAGATGGCAAAGGGAGAAAGATAACATCGCGAAGCTTCAACGAAAAGCCAGACAGACTAGACAAGATCTGAGTTTGTGCTTCTCAGCTTTTACTACATCTCAGGCGTACGCACGTAAACATCTCTGGATTTATGGCATTAAACTGACAGCATTTAGGCACCAGCAAACCAAGCTCACCATCAACATACAGGAAGCACTGTGTACCTCAATGCAGAATATTTCCTTGCTTCAAGCTCAATATGAATCGGTGCGGGAAGAAAACCAAGCGCTTCACAGGGAGCTTCAGGGCTCCATCGCTCAGCTCAACCAAGGCCTAGCAGAGGCCGTCTCCAGACCTACAGCCGATCACATCGACACTGAACCCCATCTCAAGAGATCTACTTCGTGGCTAGTAGTGTACCTAAGCGCCTTTCTCGTTCCGGTTTGCTCGTCCCCTTGTATGTGCAGTTGTCATCGACTTAAGCGATCGCGGTCACCGAGTTGGCTTAGTTCCTTGATTGGTGGCCTATTCCTGGAGTATAATACAATACCACTCGTTCAGAACATTCAATGTGATGCAATTTCCTGTAAAGCGAAATCACCATCATCCTTACGGCTCTATTATACTTTTCCCCTGTGGCTTTTAGCACGTTCAATCGAGATCGCTGTCTCTTGGACTAGCCTTACTGGATCTGGCTCATCGCTTCATCTTCGGGTTCCTAGGGTCCTTGGACGACATAGAGTTTGGCGAGCTATACAGTTCGGCGACATGCGCTGGATTCGAGCTCATATGGCGAAGAAAGATATATTTTGTACGGATGTTAATGAACGGGGAGGGACGCTTGCTATAGTGAGAGAAGGACCTCAATCTTAGATCTGACAAAGCTAATTAAAAGAGATAGGTTGCAATTCAATATTGTCGTCTTGAAATGGCCAAGTTCTTCATCCAACAAGGTTGTGACCTTCATTCAAAAGATGTGTTCAGTCGGTATGTTAAACATTGCCAGGACTAAACTTCACAGGGAACGTAGCTAATTCATACAAGCACAGTGTCATCGATAGCTAAGGAAATAATGCTATGGAAGAGCACTCGCAAGCAACGGAAACATGAGCGTATATTGGAAGAATTTTTATCGCCGTTGGGGTTGAATACACACGAGTATCAAGCTATTTTGCAAGGGAGGGTTGATACTCTTCTTTCATCAGGACTAGCTGGTTTGAACCGCCTTGGCGATTGCGGATACGCGCCCTTGCACTGGGCGATATACAGGAATGATAATAATGCAGTGCAGGCATTACTAGCAGCTGGAGCGGAGCCAAATCTTTTGACTGCGGCCCATTTTACGCCGCTTGCTATGGCTGCGTGGATGGATTGCGTTGATATCGCCGAATTGCTTCTAAACAGTGGAGCAGATGTTAATCTAGCCAGTCCGAATGATGGGACAACGGCGATTTATAGGGCATTTGGAAAACCGCAAATTCTGCGGTTGCTATCGGATCACGGGGGGCACATCAATTGTTTCACACACTTTGGCTTGGAATCCCCACTCGATTGGGCGTCAAAGCACTATTATGACTGGACTTTTGACAAGATGACTCAAAGTTCATGGGCAGAGTCTTTGCCTTGTCTTATCAGTATCGGTCTTGATATCAATAACCAAGAGAACCCCAATAGAACAACTCCTATCATGATGGCGCTTGGGAACCGGAATACTATCCTTCTCGACTTGCTTATCGACGCAGGTGCCCGACTAGATGTTCTTGACGTCGATCAGTCTAGTATATTACATTATACGTCGATATCACCAAAACTTGAGTCTATCGAGGTTCTCCGCCGCGCTATGATCAGCTGTATAGACCCTGATATGCCCAACATGTTTGAAATTACTCCTATGCTATCAATTACGCAGCGGATGTATATGCCCGATGACGAGCTTGACCCTGGGGAGCGTCGTGTTACTACCGATGAGTTTTGGGCGTTTAAACAGCTTATCGATGAAATCCGTGAGCGGTATGCAGAGAAGAGGCGTTTGGACTTGAAAGAAATCAAGCAGAACGAGCGAATTCTCGAAGGCGATACCAAATCAGACGGCACTTCGAAGAGTGACACCCCTGTTAGCATCAACAGCGTCGATGCGTGCTGGGGCGGTAGTCAGGCCTCTTCGCTAGGGAGTAGAGAAGGGGGCGTGATCCGCGCTAGATCTGATTGCAGTGGATGCGAGGAGTTTTTTGACTCCTAAAGCCACCGCAACGATGAAGTTTCGTCTGTTTGCTTAAGGTAAGAACGGAAAAAAATGGCTTCATGGCAAGCAGAAAGCATCAAGGTCAACGATGTCGCTCGAGATTAGCGACATATAAAAATTTAAAGAGGCAACGAAGAATGCTACCCCTGCAAAGACTATTCCTCATGGAATTAGGTCGTTTTCAAGAGAAGAGAGTTTGGGCGTGAGTATACAGAGGCAATTCAACGGCTCTGGTATCCAATTGTCCATGCTATGACCCTTTCCTTCTTTAAGATTTCCTAAATGGTTCACAGCTCTGTCATCTGAGTGATTTTCTAAATCTATTTCACTTTAAGTCTGGTGGTCAGGTATTCCAAAAGGTATTAGATTTATATTCCGTTATTCCGGGTATCTTTCGTGATAATAATATACGCTCATTTCCATAAGCGCCAGTGCTGAACAATGTCCCAAAATACCTAACAATATCAAGCCAACCTAAACCCCCAACCCCAACGCCGTCATGTGTGGGACTCGAGAAAATTTGGTAATCCGGCGAGTGACATTAAGCCATAAGGTTCGTTGGATTAAGTCACAGTACACCATTAAGGAATTGTGAGATGCAAGTTGTCGATTCATCTCAGGGGGCCCTTAGACGCGAGATCTGTACCAATTGCGGCGGCGGTAGGCACGGGTTTCCTTCTCGCGAACCCAGAAGATGCCGATGATGGTCGAGACGAGCCAGCATATAGCAGACAAGAAAGCGAAGGCGATGACGGCTTTCCACTTTCCGCACTGATCGCCGTTGCGGAAAGACACATTGCGCCAGTCAAAGGCACGTCCGCACCCGCCGTCGAGAGACTATCCAGGATATTAGCATCTACTGCAGTTTCCTATGTAATAACATGGAGATGACTCACGTTAACTATCAGGCCGAAGGCGGCAAACCAGCAGAGAGAAATGATGAGATCAACAGGCCAGTGGGTGAAGCTTCCGGCGAATGGGAAGAGCCAGATGATGGCAAGGAAGATGGCAAGAGCAGCTACCACTTCCGTGTAGATGAAGCGGCCCTGGTTCCAGCTGCTGGTGTTGTGGACGTCGTGAAGGTATTGGCCATTGATTCCGGCGACGATCGCGGCGAACGCCAGCTCCGCGAGGCGGAGGATCATAGAAAAGATGTCAGTTATAATCATTTTGCCCGTGTGGATATGTCGGTTCTTTGTTAGAGGTCTGCTAAGATATATGCAAGAAGGTGTAGTCAGTTACTACGTAGATGGGTGATCTACTAATCGGGAGAGGTCAAAGATCGAGAAGATGGGATTTTATAACTTTTCCAAGATTTCCTTTCGGGCAACTAATCAGGTATTTATCGGCATCTGGAGCTGTCCAGTCTGATTCACGACCGGAGCTATGACGCCTCCCGGACTTACATACTTCATAAGTAGGCCAAGCAATGAAGCCACTTAGATTAGGTAGGCTAGATACTAGGTTCACCCTGAACTGCCCGAACGCAGGCCAATAATCAGGCTGGTCACAGATCGCCGCCACAAATCAGGATTCTTGGTGACCCGTTATTTACGGCTTGCAATGGCGTACATAGCTGGAGATCGGTCAATCACCCCAGCATCGGCGTAGAGAAGACGTTTTGAGATCTTGTAAGACGTGTCAACCAGTGCGCGAACCAATGCGGTGGGCGCGTGTGGTATCATGTGGACTTCATTCAAGGGTTTAATGGGCCCGTTCATTCGAGAAGTACGTGGAAAGCCGCGGCCAACCAGATCACCGGCTTGTGTGCCTTGACCGCGTGTTGTGTTGTCAGGCCTCATTGCATTGGCAGATATTGATGAGGTCATGAAATTTTGGCACTAATTGGCATCCATGCGGAAAGCCTAGACTGAAACATCTGATGCTTACGTAAACGCTTGGGGCTTAGTTCGATACGTGGATGATCTGCTGCGGGGCCGGCACGGAGAATTACTTACGTAAGGTGGCTGAGTTCACGTGGGAAATGGGTCTGAGATCTCGAGACATTCAAAATGATCGGATCTGTTGCCGAACGGAGTACCTAGGTACTTTCTACACCCAGACCTACATATCTAACTTAGACTTTTTGACTTGACTTTCATCAATTTTTATGGATGTTAATTATTTAAAGTAATTAAAAAGTGGTCCGCCTTGGTTCAATCAGCTTAATATAGGAAGGTATCTGATACAATTACGAGAATTATTGGAATCGTAGTACCTCTGCTCTGTGTAGAAGGCGCGACTTACACCATGTGGGTATTTAAGAACAAACCAATATTTCCTCTCGAAGGAAACTTAACCTCGGATCCTATCTTTTCCTCGTCTGACAGAAAAAAGAATACCTAGGAATCTAAAACTGTCATCATAAACCTCTACTGTCCAGAAAGCGAATAGCTTCTGCCACCGCTTTTGATGTCTCTGCCTTCCATCCCAATAGCGGAGCCAGTGCAAAAATATCGTGAGGGGCATCAGGAACCTCAAACGTACGAAGGCAACCTTCTAATTCGCCATCATTACCCGAACCATTCATCCGCACGGACTTTTCAATACCTTCTTTCAAGATCTCAACGCTTCCCCACTGTACCTAGATAGGAACTCGCGTAGGAATGACCACTATGCCAGGTGAGAGATACGGGTTATTGCGGGGAACTTTTGTGTCTTCGCCTGGCAAAGATTCCCGATACGTCCACGCTATGAGCTCCGGCGCGACGTGGTCAACTTTGGTGGCAGGCCTATGGTCGGCGGCTTCCACACCTATCGTCATGTCGAGCTACGGGCTCTAGAGAAGCATGGCCGCAGGTTCGGGTAAAGAGTCTTGATGAGCATTGATGTATCGAAGCAGTGTAAGCGCGAGATGTGCCCCTGCGGAATCACCCGATAAGATAGTGTCGCCTGCTGGAATTTGAAGCTGGGTGACGAGGTAGGCATATGCTGCGACGGCGTCCTGTAAAGCAGCCGGGAAGCGGCCTCCGGGAAGGGAGGATAGACGGTACTCTGGACAAAAGACGGCGCTGCCTGGGGAATTTCGAAGTAGCAACGAGGCCCCGAAGCTCATGTTTATATCGCGGCCGCTTCCGGGAAAGTATGCACCGCCATGAAGATGAAGAAACACACGGCGCCCGCGCTGATGCCGATCCAAATGGTTGATCGGCTTTGGGAACCATACAGCACCAATGTTGACCGGATTAATAGCAGGGTCACAGACTAGAATACCTCCGTACACAGGTTGTTTGGCCGGATGGATTATGATGAACCGGTCTTTCTCGCTACTTGGCTTAAGACTAAACGATGGCTTGAGCTCAACCGTTGCCGCATACTTGCCGAAGTACACGAACAGTGCACAGGAAACGGTTTGACGATACGTCCAATGACGGTTGGGCCGGAGAAATGTAAAAAGCTGCACCAGGCTGGCGCGCCCATACACTAGACACGATTAGGAATAACGAGACATAAAAACAGTTGTAAATGTTGATGGTTTGCTTCAAGCTTTATGTAAAGGGGAAGGTGGCTGGCTGCTTGCCTGCCGTGTAACTATCGGATGTAAATAAAGCCCCATCCTAGGCACGTCTGTGCCGTTAACTAAGTACCAACATGTTATGCACATTGCCATGATTAGAAGCTTCTAGCTTTTCCTTATTAGGTATTCTCCAACCTGGAAGCATGCTGAACAACTCAGATCGTGCTGCTTATCTTGGCATGGATTTAGGACAATGAAGCGAGTTTAACCTACGTAGGTACGTAGGTTGTTGTTTGCTTCTCAGGGGGGTATTCCGAGGATTTTCGTTCAAGTTGAGCCAAATACAAGAAACTATCCATTCTTGGCACTATCCCATGTCTTCCGTATGACCATCCAGTAGCGGTCCGTATCCGTTCTCATGTCTGCGACGTGCCCGCTGCCTTGAAAGCGCTCTAGTCTGACATCGAACCCCTTCATCATGGCCTCCGCCGCGTGAGCTTCAACCGCGCTCGAAGGGCAGATTCTGTCAGCATCACTGTATATGTAGGTCCGGCACTTTTCGCGGTTCTTCCGCCGGTCGTTGTGCGCTACCGACCACGTACGCTGGTTGTCGGGCACGCCAAAGATTCGGATTAGGACCCAGCATGTCATCGCAACCAGGTGCGCTACGAGAAGTGCAAGGAGGCGTCTCCACCCGGGCTTGAAAGAGGCCGTCAAGACGTCTTTGTTAAACTGGTAGCTCCAGACCCCGGGCGTCGAGTCGAAGATGGTAGCATGTATGGGTATGCAGGCCTCTTCTCCCTCGCTGTCGCGCTGCTGCGAGAAGTGATTGTATAGGTGGTATAAGGAACAGGAACCGCCCCCAGAGAGTGTGAACGAGCAGCTGCGAACGACTTAAGTTCTGAAAAGCTTGTGTATTTAAGATGAATTGTAGAGGCGTAACAGCTGGCGCCGCGTCGCGCGATCCAATACTGGGCCATACAAGGGCTGCGAGTCGAGCCTTGACTAGCAGGATACTTAATATTGGGTCCAGTGAGCGGTAGTGATCAATGTAGCGTGCTAGATGTGCGTCGCGCGCATCCATCCATCCTAGCAGAAGTACGAGTTGCGGATCCTTCCGCCGAGAGGCTTCCAGTGTTTCTGAAGCCGAGTCGTCAACCATAGGGCGATGCAAAAACACGGCAGGTGATAGTTTTTCCATGAAAGACAGAGGAAAAGCAGGCTTTGGCTTGCTCATAGTTGATGACTGCCTAGGATGGGGATCTTGATTTACCTGGTCTGTTAGCTACGTGGATAAGAAAGGGGAGAAGAGGGAAAGCTGTACCTATCTTAAGATGTTAAAAATATTCCGCACGTTTTATATACCTATATATTTGACCGTTTCGAGGACCCACCTCGTATGGAAGCGATATGTGCAGCCAACATAGAGGAACATGTGCCGTGCCGAGGCAGAGCCCCTTGCTACCTATCGTCCCTGGCGCTGGACACAAATAACAAATTCGCCCAGGCGGGAAGGGGAAAAGAAGAAACACGCACACCCTTTCGGTCGACATCTAATGACTTGATTACCTGTCGTTTGAAGCTGAATCGAATTATGCATAGCTGTAACACGCCACAAACCGAAAGGGGCTCTGCTAAACAAGATGTTCAAGAACACGATAAACGCTTTTCGAAAGGAACTCGCCTTCTTATTGCAGTACTTGAGCAACTGAGGATGGACAAAGATCCTCTCCCTGTTCGCCTATCATCTATGGAGAAAGCGATGACGCGCTTAGGGGGGGTTGCGATGCCAATTCTAGAACTTTTTTGGTGTCTCTACTGGAGCTGTCGCCGAGGCGTTTACGCAGAAAATGGCGGCAGCGCTATCGCTCAAGCACGACGAGCTGGATACGGTAGCCACTACCCGTCGCTGCGGCGCGGACTCGTTGGTGGAGGTAGAGCTACGCGCCTAGCTCGCCAAAGAAGTTTGAGGCGATGTGGCTGTCTTGGACTTGATGGGCAGTGCGACCATCGCGGCCATTGGGAAAAGGGCGGCCTCGAAGAGTAGACAATTGTCGTAACTAAGATCACCGGCTTGTATGCCTTGACTTCGTGTTGTGCTTCCAATGATTGATGAGGTGATAGATTTTTGTATGATTATATAATCCAGGAGTTGTGGCTCGTGCTTACTAAATTCATCGGGGTGCTCCGATGTCAGGAATAATTACTTGAGTAAAGTGGCTGAATTACAATTTATTGAACATTGTCTATTGCAAAGAAGGTTCGCGAAGTCTTACCCATGTCTTTTATACAATTCATAGGTATAGTATAAAACTTCAATACAGCTTTTCCGCTTTGGTGTTGTCATGGTCATCAAGACTACTAGAGTTCATTAGCCAGAAATTCTTACAAGAATGATTACCTAGGGATATCTTGCCATGACGATTAGTCATCTCACAATGCCGTATTTGCTTAGTAAGTATCGGTCATGCTTAACATGATTATGTAGGTAATGGTCTAGTCAACGCCCTGCAGTCAAAACAAGGTATAAAGCAGAACCCAGCGCCGTTGAGAGAATTTGTACATACTTTGAGGGTAGAATATGGATGTTATGACAGCTGACCAATTGCAATTACAATGAAGTAAAGTTGAAATCGGTTGGTACCTTCATGTGTCATGATACGGAATTTGTTCATAGTCCGTAGCATCTCTTTTGCTCTAGTTTTCATGATGATCTGAGAAAGTGAAGCATGCACTAGCCCTTCTACTCTGGCTCCTGGTCCAAGTAACCTGTTGTGTTGGCAAGTTGAGAACCTCTGGAGAGAATTGCATTAATGACACATTCAATCTAGTTTTCCGGAGATATATCAAGGGTTAGGGTTAGGGTTGGGTCGCCCATGACGAATTCTATTCCACGTATACTACGGAAATCCGGGTTTCTAGAACAGACACGGCAAGTAATTATTCAGCAGCACATCATAGAGTTGGCTAAAATAAGAGTTTCATTGGAAAATAATGTTTTATCGGCACGTTTAAGTCTCTAGTGCTTCCTACAACTCATTCTTCCCAGTTAGAACATTACCCCTGATTTCTGAAAGATGTAAACAGCTCCATATCCTCTAGGGCTATGAGTCTCTTCTAAGCTGCCTAAGCATTTATTTCTAAGGCGCGTAATCGATGCGCTCGATTACTTGTTGCTATATCCCTAGGTACCCATTTCTTTCGTTCTTAGATAGTTCTGTACCTTAAACTCAGGGCGAGACGTATGATAATTGGCATCGCTCTTTACAGGATGAACATGGTGGCATGTTATTGTTCGAGAAATTGTATGTGAGCCCGCTGAAGGAACCAGGAAACCTTGTTCTATGATAAATGACTTCGTAGATCGATAAGTATAGGAAAACTTGGAAACTACCTAGGTACCTAAGAGCAATCATATTTTCATCCCCTACACCTAAGTGAAGGCTAAGGGAGCACTGAAGAACTGATCGTTTTGCTGCATTTTCATGTCACCTAAGAACAATGGGAGCATATTTCAAAACTTGTCGACAGTAGATATTTGATTCTATTTAGTCCGTGTCATAAACTAGGTGTTTAGGAGAGATCCGACATCTAGCCCGCGCGGCTTCCAGCCCGTTGTTTCATCTCTTCTATTATTTCGCCTAGGCTTAGGTGTATATTACGGGATCTAAATGGTGATCATGATAACCACAGAAGGGATTCTTATTTAGCGTAGGTGGCGCATGGTAATGCTGAACCTCCGACGGACGAAAAAAATCAGATTGTTAAGGAGCTATGAAGTACATTGGTCTATATTACTAATATGTTAACATGCCGATGTGGCAAGTTTCCTTTTGTATAGGGAAATACTAGTTAAAGTGAAGCGCTGAGTGTGTGCATCATCAAGCTCCGCCAATGGAATTTTGCCAGCCCTACTTTCCATAGGGACGTCTTTGTCCACCGAAAGAAAGGGGTTCAGGGGTCAGCATCTCTTAAGTCCAGCCAACTAGGCTCAGGATCGACCCAATTCCCACCGGATTCAACACGGATTATATGCAATATAACCAGGCTTGTATAAGGATTCTGTTCCTCTACCGACGTAACCGACAACATTGAGTATCCTTGCCAATACCAGCTACTTCATATATGATGACAGCATATATGGGTAGGTGTAGGAACTCGTAAGTTGGGGAGTCGTCGAACCGGATTTTATTGACAGCTGTGTTGTTTATATCCAGCCAGCGCCATATGCGCCCTTGAATTACTTGTTTCGCTAAAGTATCTACAGCGTATAAGAGTTCGATCATCAAAGGCGCACGAGGCCACGATGTTACGACCATGAGAGTGGTATTTCGGGGAGTCGGCCGTTCTCACACAGCCTACCGTTAGGAGCCAGACAAACCAAAGTGTACTATGGGGAGTACGGGGAGTGTGGTATCGTACCACGTAAGATTGAGAATCTGGAGATTGAATGCTTTTATTATGATTGGATTTATTCGTCGTTCTGGTTTTACGCCAACCTGAAACGGGAAACCTTCCTCTGGGTTTCAGCTGATAAGGTGTGACCGTTGGACGAACTGCGCCAAGCTAAAATAGTCGAGTTGAAGAACCCCGAAGCAGTCGAAAGCCTCGTGTGGCGAAGAAAGACGAAGCGCTAACGGCCCAGGTGGGAAGTCAATGAGTAGTGCAACTGCCTAATCTAGGTCGGATGACGCGGTAACGTGGGCTGCTTTCGGAAGCTGAAATATAGGCGAGATGGTAGTAATATTGACTGTAGGCGTCTGAACTGCAAATAAATGGCGACTTTCGAAGAAATCCAATGGCTCTTCGTTCCCTGGTGCTTGCTGACCTCCGCCGAGGCTTTCTGACGACCAGACGTGCATACCCTGTTTATCGAAAACTCCATTGGCAGACGACGAGAGTGAGAAAAAAACGCCACAAACGCAAAAATGAAGGACGGTTATCCCTTGATAGGATATCCGAATCACAAATATACGGACACTCGGGCGCGGATGCGTGACGCAGTTTCGTGAAAAGTAAGAAGCACGAGTTCGGTACCGGCAGGGGGGTCGCTGCAATGTGACCAGATACAGCACTGACTATACAAGATTGAGCAATTAAAGCAAATACCGGTATTCGAGCTGTGGGTATTCGATGCTTTGTACTCTAGGAAGTGGGCGGTGCCTATTCGTCGCTGTGGAAAAATGGGGCGTGTAAGTGAGGCGAACCATTGCATCCCTTGTGTATATATGCACCTACCAGACCACAGTCGCATTCGGGACGAAGGTATGGCAGGCCAGACAACTTAGACACACGGCTATTAAAGCCTCTCCTGCACATCAAGAGCGGTGTGAGAATATAACATAGCAGCATCCTCCGGAGGAATTGCGCTGCTGCCGAATGTTTCGGCATTAAGCTTGCGCGGCGCAACAGCTGTTTGGCTTCTCGCATAAATACTTCTCTCGACCGATTCCATGCTGACCTTGTCGTCTTCCTCTCGAGCGATTCTTCTTTCGGCCAGCATACGTTCGAAATATGGCATCCCCTCCCATGAACAGATATTGGATTCCGCATCTAGATATTCATAAGAAGGTTATCACTCAGGAGCTCCAGTATTACTTGGGGCCAGACGCCACCGTTAGACCGTACACCCGAGAAGTATGATGATCAACGACGATGCATTGCGAGTATTATATTGACCAATTTGCTTTTAGGGAGAGGATGGCTTTCTCATCACGACGCCTGGTGCATGTTTGACGGATGTAAGCCATGTCCGCTTACCACGAGTTCCCGTCGCCAATTAACCTACGTCCAGGAACAAATCGACGACATCTGCTTGAAGTCGAAAGAGATGTGGGAAAAGCAGGCTGCAGCCCGCTCGCAATTGAATCCAGAGAAGCCGTTGAAGCGGCCATTACACCAACCAGTTTTAATCTCCAAGGGGTCTGGAGAAGGATCCAAACGTCGAGGAAAAGATCGAAGAAGTCACATTTCTCGGCGGCCATACGACGACAAGAAAGGAAGCGAGTCATCACGGAAGTGACGTTTAGCAGAGAGTCGCGAACTGTCTGGGGATGTGGCAGATCGCCGATGTAACGCAACCGAATGTGTGCCTGTCAGACAGAGGCGGGAGCACAGGTCGAAGGGAGTCGAGAGTCGCACGCCCGACGACTGAGCGGGCCTTGGGCGGCTCCAAGGTTGGTCGAGGTTGGTCGGGAATGGATTGTCTGAGATTGATAGCTGCAGGTGGGAATCGTCCTCCAGCGAGGGATTGCCATCTGGCATTGCTGAAGCCTCTGTGGATCCGGAAGATTGAAACACGATAGTTCAATGGTTGTCTGCATGAGCGCTCAAGCTGCCGCAACAAGCCAAAGAAGCTTAAGCTCTTTTTGGCGAGACCTAATCCCAATTGGCTTGTTCCAGGTATCTCACCCTGCGGTTCTGTGCATGTCATGCAGAAGTCGTGCAGGTAATATGGTCCAAGACATCTAGAGTTGAGACAATTAGGTAGATATAAGGCTTTGATATAGCCCCTTTTGTTTATTCGGCCTAGCTACCAATCAAAGTAGTTATACCGTCTAGCCAACGACCTTTGGGAGATCCTAAAGGTCGCGGCCAGCCGAGAGCGGAGTTTTTATGAAGCAAGGTCGTACCGGGAATCGATCGGAGCTTATCTCTGGAAGAGCAGCCGCCTTTCACAGCTCTTAGTTTTCTTGCTGAGTTGGCATACAACCGGGGTAATTGCGGTAGTTCTTGGCAAAATTTGCGAATGCTTGCAGCCCGTAGCCCATCATCGATAACCTCACCAGACCACCATCACCCCGTAACCCCGTATATTTGCATTGGTTTTGCAGCGTATTTGTACCAGAAGAAATCCTGCGGTGAGTATCGCCATCGACGGTGCAATGGTACCAAATGACGAACGGTAACTACTAGTGATTCGTCACCCGGATGAATCGGGTTGTAATCATGGGTTTTTTTATAGCTTAGTATGACCTAAGCAAATTGGATGGTTACCTTTTCTTTCTGGAGATGCGCAACTTTTAAAATCGACAAGTGGACGACGTCAGGCTCCCAATAGCATGTATCGCATATCGTTTGGTTCCTGTTTGGTTCCTGTTTGGCAATCTCCCTTGGATCACTCCACCGGTTGTGTGGATGAGGAAGTAGAAGGGTCTTCTAGGTCGGCCACTCTGTTGAAAGCGACTGTCCTCTCGAACGTCTTCTCGTATGCTGAGATATCCAGATCTTCGGCGGTCCAAAGAACAAGAGCCTGGACTCTGACGGTAAATCGACTCCGCCCCTCTGATGGTGCATGCGGCGACATGAGCTCGGCAGAGTTGACGTATCCTACCACATGAACCCATTGCCCTACATCTACATGATCGTGCTGGAGGGACTCGAGAATAAGCTTGGCATCGACATAGGCTGTATAGATTCTTCCATGATAATTATGCTCAAGAGTCACCCAGCCTGTTTGAGTATTGTAAAAAGTTACGCTGATGATACCATTAGCGCATATGTCCAGATGGGAAATCCCAAAAGGATCAATTGTCTCTAGGGATGCAAGAAGCTGTCATGATTGCAAAGAATGGTGTTTACCAGACCCACGGAAATGACGGAGATAGTTGAGTTGACCTGGGAATGATATGAGTGGAGATGCAGTCTTACCATCCTAAAAATCTGACCTTCTTTCCGAGGTGCCTAAACAGGTCCGACATGAGGCATCGCACTGAGGGAGAAGGGCCGCTTGACATTGTGAGAGTAATGGGTCACGGACGATTATGAGCTCGAAATAATAGGAAGTGAGCCCGCAATTACGTAGGTATCTTTATTTTAGTATGAGAAGATATCATAGAAGGTTTTCGTAAAGTAGCAGCCCGCAATTTGCAATGCTCACAGTCCCCGTGTTTAGTGAGTGGGATGAGATGTAAAGGGGTACTATTGGGCAAATTGGCAGTCCGGATTCACGAAGCTTTAAATGCTAAGGTTTGCCTTTGTCCCAAGGTTTTACGCTTCTTTGTTAGTGGTTAGCCGAGGAATAATAGGGTGACTAAGGCGACAAGGTGACTAATCAAGGTTAAATTTCGGAGATAGGTATGATAGATCAGGCGGATAGCGGAGGGGACCCACTATATCTTTTTTGGGCAGGCGGCGGGCAGGCACCTTGCACCTTTACACCTTGTCGCCCTTGTCGCTTGCGGCGTCATCTAATCATCCATCCATCCACTTACTACTTACCACTACTTCAATTATCTACTGCCTGGTCTACCTAATCTTGACCTCCAACTTCCACCTTATCTGTCTGCCTAGACCGCAACAATCTCCCGATAAACTAGGCGACACTCTAACGTCTCAACCTCGATCACCTCGAATCCATCGTACTTTCGATAATCACTCTCGATACGTCTGTATTCTCAGACACGCTAGAAAAGCGACGTCATCTCCTCAACCACCACCTTATCGACGATACACCCCGCGATCGATATCATATCCCTATCCCTAGCCGATACTAGCAAGATCCCGTCGCCAAATCAATCTCAGCTTCGACAAATCATCATCGACTATCGATCACCATGTCCGGCGTTTGGGGTTGGTTCGGCGGCGGCGCTGCCCAGAAGAAGAAGGACAGCCCCAAAAATGCTATTCTTGGCCTAAGAGCGCAGTTGGATATGCTGCAGAAGCGCGAAAAGCATCTCATGGCACAGATGGAGGAGCAAGATGCTATCGCACGGAAGAATGTCAACACAAATAAGAATGGTGAGTCGTGAATCATGTGAAGCTTGTCACATGGTCCGAGCTGACGTATGCGCTGATAGCCGCGAAGGCCGCGCTGAGGAGGAAGAAGGGACACGAACACAGCCTCGAGCAGACCATATCGCAAATCGGAACCCTCGAGCAGCAAATTAACGCTATCGAATCGGCAAATATCAATCGGGAGACTTTGGCTGCGATGGAGAGAGCAGGCGAGGCAATGAAGCACATCCACGGCAAGCTCACACCCGAGAAAGTCGACGAAACCATGTACGTTCCCCGACAAGCAAATCATATACAACCAAGTGTTCGATGTGACTTATTAACATGTAATAACAGGGACAAATTACGGGAGCAGAACGCACTCAGCGAAGAAATCGTTGCGGCGATTACGAGCAACCAGATCGGAGAACCCGTGGACGAGGAAGATCTAAACGACGAGCTCGAGGCAATGCAACAGGAACAGCTCGACAAGAAGATGCTCGAGTCGGGAAGCGTACCTGTGTCGGATGCGATTCACAGGATGCCTGCTGTTGGGAACCAGGAGAGTAAGTTGATTTCCTCTCTAACGGTCCTACCTTCCATATACTAATACCATAACCTAGTCCCGGCCAACAAACAGGCTGCCCTCGAGGAGGACGACGAAGAAGCGGAACTCCGGAAATTGCAAGCGGAGATGGCCATGTGATAGTTCGGTTGTTCAAGTTACCCCCTTTGCTCCCACGTTGCCAATGGCAGCAACATCAGGCTCGAGAAAGAATTTCGGTAGTGGGACTCTAGAATGGACGATTGCATGGGGAGCTGTGGTATTGGCACATTTGTGCTGCGATGGAAGTTTGGATCAAGCCGCTCTGATCTGGACGGAGATGTAAGAGACGCATAGCAGCCCCCTTCGAATCAAATTTCCCCATTTCTAACTACGGCGTCGGCGTTTTGAGACCATGGTGCTTCATTGGCGGTAACTCATTTTCAGCATGTTCAGTTGACGGATGAAAGATGTTCTAGTCTACCTACATAAACTAACTTATTGACAATATCACTGGTGCGAGGCCAATTTCTCGAATACTAATGGTCAATATATAAGATCGTCGGCGAATCTTGTGATCTGCCTAGTGAAACCGGAAAGGTAATCCTAATATAATTATTATCCCTCGGCCGATCAAATTAAAGCAAAAGAATCTTGCACTTTAAATTGCACATGAATACCTACCTACCTAGCTACGCATAGCTTATTATAGTCATGGAGGTAATAAACAGGTTTTATCGCAAGTCAACGGCCTCCTTTTCCTCCTAAGACCTAGCTTACAAAGCTTCCTGGCCGCTCAACCCTCGTTCAACAATCCAACCTCCTCGAATATGACCAATTACTAACCTCGATTTTCTTCCTACATAGACAAATACTTAGTCTAACTCTAGGTAAATACGAATGAATGTAGATTTGCAAAATGGGTGCATATTGTACCTAGTCAATTGTTCCCTGCCAGCATAAAGCCGATTATTTTGCTAATAAGCCCATTAGATAAACGTGATGCGTTCCTTTCGTCTTGTGAAAGTAGCATAAACTGTACACCTTCGATCGACCCAACCCACTCCGAATGCGAAGAGAGCCAAAGAGTATACGTGTCTACTCTGATAATACGTGCTGCATTACTGGTATTAATACTCGAGCCTATCATTTTTCACGCAATATAAATACCTATAGACTTACTTGTTAACTATTCTAAATAAAGTAAGATTTGATTCGTCTCATATCTAGTTTCATTTTGACCCTTTCCTTCGAACTACCTAGTAGAGAATATTAGAACCTACCCCAGCAAGTACGAAATGACACTTAGATTTCAAATAATAGTAGGTATAATAGTAGGTATAACACCGTACTGGATTAGTCTTTTAACATGACTTCAAGTCGTTTAATTTAGGTAGGCAGCTACTAATTCAGCACTGGGTCATCTTGGAAGATAGCGCCCGCGGGCCTACTGTCAGGGGGTGGGCCCGTCGTTGAAGACTGCGTCACAGCGTGGGTGATAGTAGTAGGTAGCTTGCCTTTGCCTCGCTTAACTCTTTGATTGGCAGTTATCTACAGCCAGGGATTAGGAGGCAAGATACACATAAGCACCGACAAAAGCTCGGTTCAGGGTATTGTTGGTACAAGTGGTACAAGTGGTACAAAACAAAATATAAGTAAAATCATGTACCATTCGCGCTCTTACAGCCTGGGTCTGGCCCACCAGGTCATGTGAGGCTGTATCTTGCCTCCTAATCCCTGGCTGTAGACAACTACCAGTTAAAGGCATAGGTAGTAAAAGACTTTGATTAACGTCTGCTCATCTCCTAAAACCCTTTATATATTTGTCCCAGATAATATACAAGCTGCACCTTACAAGCGGTTATCTAGCCCCTTGCTCTTCGCCCCTTACACCTATGTAGATGATCTGGCCAACTCCTCAGATGCATAATACGTGTACCTACTTGAGTTGCATGTGGTTATTCAGGTACCTTATCTCCAATATGAGTTTTTCTAGTTGCGATCAATATCTTATTGTCTAGGATCATCCGTCTCTACCTGCGACTACTGGTGTCTTCGTGCTAGTTATCTGGGTAGAATTCATCGAAATTATTTTTATTGGTTCACAGGCATATCGTGAAAACTTTGGCGAATGCATACGTATATGCCTTTATGAACATGTTATTATCACTTTGTGTTTCCCATTTCCTGAACAGCGTCATTGGCACCCAAGTACGCAAACTACCCTTCCATTAGCGAAATAATATACACTTCTCAACGACCCGACCTTTTGTTTCTTATAAACGTCTCATACCCCTATTATAGGTTTTGGCTCCTTTTTGGGACTTCGATGGAATAGTCCTAGTCTTTTAGGACTGGGCACTTGTATGCTGGAACCTGGCAGCTCAGGGGTTGAACAGAAATCTTATATTTCACAATGGCTTAAGAACTTATTTTATGCAATTTTGCGTGAGAGGGTATCTCAAGGCACTCCAGTATAAGAAGGCTCCTAGAGGTATTTATTCTCTTAAGATATGTCGTATGTACCATGCGAATACTACCAAAGTTGATTTGGTTCCTTGATGTACAGGGAGAGCAAATAAGATAAATTGCAGAGGATAGGAACATATGAACATCAAATTGAAACCTCTCCGCCGAGAAATAGACGCACGATATGTCATATGAAGGAGGTTTTCTATAAGGTAGGCACTCATATAATTGGAAATATAGGTAAGTGCTCGCTTTATGTACTCGTATATGGCTAAGAACTGGAATGCTGATTTTTCCATACCGTTATTTCCATTAAAGTTCTCCTATCAAAATTTTATTTTATTTGTAGGATACCTACCTAGGTAGTTACTATGCTTAGAATGGTGGTCCAAGTAGAAATATGTAAAGTAGTATTGCTAGGCATCAGGTAGCTTGGCTTAAACTGGGGTTTCTCCTTTTCGACAAAAGACCGTAATAGGATAGTCCAGGAAATTTATAGGTAGGTAGATAGCTAGGAAATGTAGTTCATAGGAGCATTAGTAGAACACCATTAAGGAACTTAACCCATATTACGATTATCATGGCTCCCTAGGTATCTAGTAGGTATAATTAGGTCGAAGGGGACACTTATTCCATAATTTTCAGCTATAGTGTTGTAAAACCTTATATTAATTTCCCACATGTCATGAATTTTCCCAATTATTTCTATGTGATTCAGCGATCACGTACCTACAAGTCATAGTGCGTACGAACATAGGAAACAAATGTTAAATTGGGGATTGTAGAAGTTAACCCGGACTTCGATGTTTTTAGAAATCCCGTGGTCGAGTTATATCGCAAGGGAAGATGAAGACTTGAATATAGAGATTGATTTTGGCGTATCATTTCCACGCGCGCGTGGACACGCCTGTAATATATTTCGTAGTAACTAACTTATAAGAGACGTGGCATCATAGCATACCTACTTACCTAGGTATCTGTATTATCTTGGAGCTGAATAGAACGCATGGGAGGTAATGAGACCTTAATGTCTCGTAATTTTCTTAGGTCCCCATATCGACTACTTGCCTAACCTAGGCACTCTGCTAGGGGCTAGTGACAAACGGCAGTTCGTAACAACGAGAACACTTAACTGCGGTGATACTAGGTAGGTATTGCATAGCCTCGGCTATACCGCCTCGTTTCATGCCTGTCTGTTTGCTTACGCCAAGTCGTATTAGGTGTGCGTATTTGGGCTATAATTCCATCGGGCACTTCAAAATCGAGCCTTGTTGGACACCCGCATGGAAGTTTGCGTTGGTGTCGAAACAAGGAGAATGTACTATGTATGTGTGAGATATTACCAACCAATAGGCTGGTTACACCGTTATGTAATAATGGAAGTTGCCAAATCGGGACCCCGATGTGAAGTTCGCCGTTCGGAGAGAGAGCAATTTGCGGGTGGTCCGAACATCATTCGATGCACGTGACACGTTAGGGTGGTTTGCCTTCGTCAATGGCTCTTATCGATAGGCTCTTTTTCCATTTCCCTCAGTTTCCCAAGCTCGATTCGACTCAATTCATTTTCATTATTTGTCAACCAACTTCAAAATTCGTCAATATGCGTTACTCACCACCACCCTTCATCTACCATCATCTATCATGTTGCATTATATTCTTGACTCACCATGTCAGCGGGTGGGAAATCCCTTCAATTAAATTGAACAATTGAAGGTCTAAGGCAGATCTCGTCCAGCTGGGCTGGCTGGTAGTCCAATGAGGGATCAACAATTCCCGCCCACGCTCGCCCCACAAAGTGGTTGGCTGTCGTGGTGGGGTTAGGAAAGTGAAGCCAACGAGGACGACCACGTTGCACATAAGACCAGCATCGGTAATCATGCACGCTGTATTTGATCCTGCCGGTTGGACGGTGGGTAAAGCCGCCCGCGGCCAATTCAGGGACCGTACGGCCCATTCAAAGATACTTGCCTCTCACTGTTTCATCCGCGAAATCATCGTTGTAATCGTTGGAGAGAGCGAGAGAAAGAGGAGGGAGGGCGTGTTGAAGCCCAATGACCCGGACTCTACTTATCATCTCTCAATATCCGCTCCTGGCGGTGGCCAAGTGGTCTTGCATGACGCTGTCAAACCTCATCCACCTCATAAACCTCATCAAACTCTCCCGTTTCACCGGAACTTTTATGCGTGGGTCTGCCCCATTTCCGTTCGTCTGCATCTTCTTGCGTCTGCTTGCATTTCTCGTCCATTGTTGGGCCGCTACCAGCTTCCCTGTCAAGTCAGAGCCGTCGCCCTTCACTTGGTACGGTGTTATACCATGGGTCTACTCCAAGCTTGCTCCAGTATGCTGCTTCCGGTCTCCAGATCCAGATCTGTCTCAACCCTAGCCCAACCTCCTTCGCGACGTGGCGCCAGTTCTGTGGTGTTCGTCGTCGGTAAACCCCTTGAGCACGATTATTGATCACCATAGCCTGAGATCTCGCTCCACTTTGACTTGTTCAAGCCGTGGGGTATGTCCCATCTAGGTAGTTCCTCTCGAGGGTGTAGATAGTCAATATTACATAGACGTCTTACATTTGTTCTCGGTCTCGTCAGACGTCATTCTATGGTTCCGAGCTCGCATCAAGAAAATTCTTCTACTACACACCATATGTCCGTCATCTACCCACTCAATTAGTTTCCTACCACCCATTGTCACCATCGTAATCGTTTTCATAGGTAGAGCCCGCATTTGCTCCTTCTACTATCATCTCGTTGTCCATATTTCCCACACGAGATATCCAACAACCAGAATTTGGTACCTTACTATCCAATTGTCTTGCCCGGCTTCTGCCAATACCCGCATTATACTCGTCACTTTGCATAGGGAAACAATTAGAATAGTCTTTTAAATCACCAACAGGTCTCGTTCCTGTGGACCAACGGAAGATGGAAGACCAAGATGAAATTGCGTATTGCCCCTCTAGGATTAATCCATATTCGAATGTTCAAGTATCTCCCTGGACACCGGTACAATATTATCAAGTCCCAAACCTAGACGAGGAGGCTGAGGATAAAGGTATATACGCCCATAATGGTTAATCGTTTGCGCTAATAGACCTCGTAGTCGGCGAAGGTGAACCGGAAGAAGATGATGTGAATGAAGGCCAATCCGAACCAACTACACCTCATATACCCCGGATACCTCAGTTACCTCGGACGCCTCCAACC